CCCATTGATCCTAGAACTGAAGCTATACCGCTCAATATTATTATTCGATCCACAACAACAATATTTTCAGAGGATGAATACACAGGAAATGCTCTTAGTATGGTTTTGAGAATTTCCCCACGGGTGGGCTGTATGTTCAAACGAGGCGTTGCGAGATTGGGGGCTTTTTGAAAGGGGGTTCCGAGAACAACTAGTTGTAAAACTTCATCATTCAATTGACCACCGCCTGTGTGTATAGCTGAAGAAAGTTTTGCATATCGAATGACAGTTTCGGAAAATGGATGTTGTGGCATAGCCTCCCCATTATTATTCGCAGCACGAGTATAGAGATTTAAGATTCTATCCAACAGCTCTGGAAGCAAAATAGCCAGATTCTGTAGCGAGACTAAACGGCTGCTTGCGGGACTTCTTGGCTCCAGAGCCGACGTTAAGGAAGGAGCTTTTTCTGCAGATACATAGCAGATTTGGGGAATTTGAAAGTCCAAGCCAGTCCAGGCGAGCATGAGCATACTCACAAGAATGTTATCGAGTGCCTTTGCATGCCATAAATGATCAAGATTTGCTTTCGCAATAGCGGCACTTTCGACAAGCTCGCGTAATGCATCACTCCACCGCCCTGCGCACATATACATCGAACCAATGACAATGCCAACACGACTTTTCCCTTTGTTTCTTGACCTTTCACTAGTGCTTCCTGATCCGAATCCTATTATCGACACTCTGTCCCTACTACTATCTCTGACCCCTTTGCTACTCGGAGTGCCGAGTCGAGAAGGTAGTTTTTGCGTTGTAAGCCCAGTATCCCCAATTATGTTATCAAAGGTTGGTGGCGAGTCAGAGCGGAGTCCGGTTGCAGGACTGCCAGAGCGACCTAGTAGTGAAGATGTGCCAGAATCCGAGGGTGCCGATCGAATGACTGGCATCGACATTCGATAGTTCGCACGATCAACGGCGCTGGCGGGAGAAGAAGATCTGGAGTCTTGTTGAGGGACTCCAAATTGAGAGTTCCGTCTTGAGGATCCATCGGGTGAGCCTCCGCCCCAAGATCCTCCATTGAACGGCCTATTTCCTGATTGGGCTGGTGACTCGATTGTAGGTAAGGCTTGGAGTGACCTTGCGAGTGTCGTCATCTCCGCAAGCAACAAGGCAGATATGTCGCACATAACAGTCTTCATTGTCGTTAAACCGCAGTCGGCAGCTGGTGGTATAGCCACTAGGCCTTCTGGCAAGGCTGTAGCAGACTTCTCATGTATATGGTCGAACAATAATACTTGGTGGACCAGCGCCTTGGGGTATCTATCTCTCAAATCTTCCAAATCTTGGTATAAGTTCCGCACATTTTGATCTAACCGCGATACTCCAGTGCCATTGGGACTCTTCCTCGAAACCCCTTTATAAGATGTATGCTCAAGCTCGGCACCATCCGCGAGTGCTATAATAACGAGTGGCTCTCTGTGTAATTCAAAGGGAGATAACGCGAGGTGGGTAGAGGGTGGATAATGTGTCGTGAGATCATAAACAATCATCCCCAAAGGAAAGGCTAATGGGGAGAACATATCTGCCAATTGTCAGCGCTGCCAAATGCGCATCAAGGAGAGTTTAATTCTCACTTCTATTGGGACGTCCATCTGGACTGATATCCCCCAAACGTACAACATTCTGAGGTTGTAATCTTTCTACGAAGCTCAGAAATCTTGCGCGTTTGATTTGCCCAATTGGTAACAGCACAACTCGTACTCTCGCAGGAGCAACGGGCGACAGCTGATCGAGCATTGTGAGAACATTTGGATGCGATGCGCCTAGCTAGGTAGAGCTCGAATTCGTGATATGGTGATGTTACTACCGGCTTGAGCTGAGATTCATGACTGTTAGAAATAATATATTAAATGTCCGAGAATTTTTAGGACCAGAGAACAGTAAAATATGACGAATAATGAATTTGTGTTAAAGCTATCTCTTTACTTTGAAACGACGAGGATACCAGATCCCCTGTTATACGGTGACTATTTTGCATGATTGGTAAATGATTCAAGGTCCCCCAGCAGCGGCACATCCCGAGGCTAGATTCTTAACTTCACTCCAAGTCACTCAACCTCATTACTTTGGATATCAACACAGCGATAGTATATATGTACACGAATGTTTCGAAGTCCAATCAATGTTCAAGGTTCATGACATCGCGAGTGGTCTATTCACCTAATTGGCAATCTCACTTGTGATGCACTTCGATTCACAGATTAGACGAGCTTCTTACTCCCCAGGGCGTAAAAGATCTGATCTTCGTATGACTAGCTGGAGTGCAATGATATAATGAGGTTGAATGATTTACTTCGGATTTCACTACCATATGTGCACGCTACTGGACATGTTCCTCCTTTGTGAGTAGCGACTCGTGAAGTACTCGATACGCTGAATATCGTAGAAGCTGTTTGTTCTCTTCGGAGACGAGAACTTTTGCTTAAGACTATGCACGATATGACTTTTCCACCGCTCCTCCCTTCACCATGATCATCTGATATCACCACATATTACAGCCAATCTAGCCGCCCCAGAAGATCCCTTTAGCTAACGAAACCAATTTGATGCTTGTCACCCACACAAACATATCCAACTACCACTTCTTTCGCTTCTTTGGAGATACTCTAGTAGTAACCTTCAAAGAACATATCAGCTGTCAAATCACGATGATTTAACTTGGGGGACTTACGTTGGGATAGACGCAGTATGCATGAATTGCGCTGCAGGTAGAGCAACTAGGCAAACTTTTGTCACACCCATGATGCCGCTCATAGCAATTGATACAAGCTCGAGGTGATGTTGCAGGCGTGCGCTGCTTTGGAGAAGATGCTAATTGATAGTCACTTCCCGAAGAGTATGGTTCATCGTCCTCGAGATCTTCCATAGGCGCCTCAGATGCATACTCTGTCGAAAGATTTCTGACTCTGCCTCTTGACTCGGCACATCGGTAGGAACCATTCTGCCAGTGACTTAGAAAGGCTGTCTGCTTGTTGACTGTCCTTTCTTTCAGTCGATCCGCAAGCCAATTGATACCATCAACGACTGGCGGAAGCTCTAGTTGCTTTGGGCGACGTCGTATCTTATCCGTAATGCGATTAGGGCGCGGTATGAATTCACTACTTGGCTCGACGTATTTTCGGATGATTCCTTCTTGTTGTGCGCGAACTCCATCTTTTTGAGCGATGTCTTTTGTCATTTGTTTGTTTCCAGGAACCCCATCTGCATACTGATGGGCAATCCAGCTCTCCTCATCTCGAAGTAAGGCTTGTGAAGTCCATTTCGTCCTGAAATTGATACGGTCGCTAGCCTGAGCTTTTCTGTGAACTTCGTAGATGTCATTTATGGTTCCGCTGTCGCTGAAGGTGACAAATGGAGCCTCTCTTATACATCTGATCGCGCGATCCTCCTGAGCATTGGTACCGATGAAGTTTGTGGAAGAAATTATTTGAGCCTCATTTATACCACTCAAATTCCTAGTATCGATAGGTATTGATTTTGTTCTGCCCATAGTTATAATGTTAGAAAGCGCAAAGGAGGAGTTTTTGAGGATTGTGAGGTCGGAGGAGTCCGAGTGGTTATTTCTCTGGTTGTTGTTTAAACAACCTCCAAACCTAAAAGATTAATAACCGAAGCAATCATACCTTGAATCAATGAACTTTCTTTGGTGTCATCTGATTCGGCCAGTTCCGAATTCAACATTTTTCGTTTTTGAAGATACTGTTTGTGCATTGTTTGATGTACTTCAAAGCAATCTCCATGGTGTAACTTCGTGCATTTTGGACAGTCAGGCAGGTTGATATAATTCATAAATGCTACACAAAGATGAGAATTGCTTCATACAAAGCTTCATAGAGCAAGTCATTGGATATGTCAAGTACTTAGGTATCTGTCTATCGATTCATTCACTGGCTATTGTATACTTTATACAATTGTCTTGTATTATATGTTCAACTTCTCCATTGATATTTACTACGTTGTTTACGTTGACACATATGTATATTCTATCAAAGACTTCCATCTCTACCAAGGCTACCGTTTCCCAGGTACATACTAGGTTTCTTCAATCTGGGACTCCGTTTGCTCAAAACTGCTGAGCTCATCCATTATTGTGGCTATAGAATAAAAAACAAGTGGCTTGTAGCTTGTAGCTTTATATTACATTGATTGAAGTTGAAAATCATTCAGATCATCTCACAAAGAAAGAGCTTCATCAGAAGGCAAGAAAAAGAGGCTAGGACTCTCGCATCTAAACAACAATTTGCAATTCTCTTGTCTTTCAGTACATCAGGTCCGCAAGACCAGAAACAACATTGGATGATATCACACCTATCATCTGAAATGAACTCGATAAATGTAACAATATCCATATTCCAACTAGAAGAATCAAATCATCAAGATCTATCCAATCATTGCCACCGTTACAGTGTATAGACTTATGTTAGGTATTTAACATGCAATAAAGCATATAGATTTAGTAATATCAGTACCAGGCACGATGTATGGCTATTTCTTCTTGTCAAGTGGCATGTGATATTTAGAAACTCGAGAGATTAACCAGGGATGGGCTTCGGACTCGATTTATTCAGATTGGATGGCAAGTATCGTCCGTGAAAGATAATGCGCTGGCAAAGCTCATCTTGGTTCTAAGCTATGCAGAACAGATGATAGATCAATGAGATGAAGGATTTTTCATTGCTGGATCCTTTTGAAGCTGTCATCTCTCTCAAATTTCGCTTGTGGGGAAGCAATCTTTGATGATGCATCAGAATGGCTTCAACTTTCCAATTCGTTTTCTATCACCGTTCTTACTGATTATAGGTGAATGGAATACTGAAGAACTAAACACTGGCATAGAAGTCTCACCCGAATCCTTCCTATATGGTAGGTTTTCCGTGCGACCAACGCCCCTCATTGTATATCTCGGGACTCAAATAAGAGGTAATTTCCAAAGAGTCATTCTCAATTTTGCATGAAATGTACGTCTATAGCCCAGTGGCGGCTTCAAGACGACGGTAAGTGCACATTCGATCCAGAGCATCCATAAAATCTCTTACACTCTGGTCTTGTGAACCTCCGTGTTTGTTGAAGAATGTTTGCAGCCCTTTAGCAACAGAAAGATCATCCTTTGCGTAATGTTTTACCGGGAGATAAACCTTTGTGGTTACTTTGGAACTACTAGGACGAACCTCAAAATAGTAGAGGATTCCTGAAGTAATATGCGATTTGTAGGGAAGATGTCCGGCTTGACCCTGTTCACCAACTGAAAACCAGATTCCACAACATTCGAAGCTCTTCTAGACCTTTGGCAATTTTGGACTTATCCTCAAATATGCTCATGATTTCCATGACGCTTGCCAGTCTTATATCTGGACACCTAGCATATATCTTCATGCGTGACTTTTGAGGCGAAACGCAATCAAAGGTAATCATGAATGGGTCAAGTCCCAGTGATTTGCTCTTCAGATCTAAAGCTCGAACCAAACTTTGGAGGGATGACCATTCCAATTCCTGAGCGAAGCTGGCTAGAGATTCAAGAATAATAGCAGATTCAGTTCGAGATGTTTCCGTTGCTTTCGCAAACGGCATCATGTACAGCTTGACAACAGGCATCTTATCTCTCATTTCAAATGCCATGAATAAACTTGAACGGGGTTGTTGCGGGTCGAAAGGAGATATAAAATCTTTAGAAAGAACGTCTCTTGAGGGAGTGAAATCCTTAAGAAGACGATGGAACCATTGCACTTTTATCTCCGGTACATCGAGTTCAAGGCGGTTAACAAGATCAATCGTAGCTTTCTGATTCCATGGATCGGTAATTGTGCCAGATTGCTTGTTAATAGCTTCAATACTAAAGCGCACTCTTCTATCAACATCTCCTTGTGCATTCCCCCAGTTCCAGCTAAATTCAATAGGACTGAAATCATCAGTCATGTAGCTTTTCATTGAGGGGGCTGGTTTGTCTCCATCGGAAATGGACCGAGATTGGGAACGACGTATGTGTGGTAGAACATCATGGCGGAAGTCTGCTGGCGCAAGTCGTATTTTCCCGACACGAGCAAATTCCATAGGATTTCAATTGTAGCATTCCACCAGAGGAGAGCATCGGAAGACAAGTGTTGATCTGAAAATGTGGAGGAGGCAATCGTAGTGTCATGAGTTACCGAGCTACTCAATTAATGAATACCCTGTCATTGCACGAGTATATTAGTGTCGAATTCTTCAAACCAAGCAGAGCTAGGACTAAACGAGATACAGTCCATAATGAAGTAAATTTTTAAAGCTTGTCAATTGCTATAGAATCTGTAGAGATAAATTTAGCGTCCGAAATATGATTGAGTGTGAGAATGCTGTGTGAATGGTATGGATCTTCTCGAGGCAGCGGGAGACTTTTATATCATAGAATCATACTACACTTCAGCAATGCAATGTTAATCTAAACCACTTGGTGCACTCAAGTCCGTTAGTTCTATTGTGTAATCTTACAATTCAATCCCATCTAAGCGAAGCTTCAGAAGCTTGATGTACTATACCTCCAACAAGTCACTAACATCCAACATTGAGGTAGTATTCTTGAAACCAGATGATAGCTACCCTAGTGGAGATAAGGTGTCAGTGCCGCTTATAGCACAAAGGTACATTTGAGGATAATCATCGCATCGGATAAAATGTATCTCCAACAATTTCTTCATTCTTCAAATGTATATTTGTCATCAACAAAAACAACTGCATACAGTGCCACCACCATAGACGCAGACCCTTGAGCTATACCCACATAAGCGTAAGGGTGAAAAGCTGGGCGCAAAAGATTCTTGGATTTTCTGTCCATTCAACGTTCGATTGACTACACCTCTACGAAGTCAATACCGAAGAAATTTTCTCTTTCTGTAAGGATAACGCTAGCAATGAAACCGCACCCATAAAATATTTGACAACTATTTGGCATCATGATTCGGTTTTGTTATCAATGCCTCAGATATGCGAGTAGTATTCGCAGAGTCGACACTTGTGGCTACATTCGTATGGTGAACTTCTCCAAACAGCGGCATTCTGTGAGCTTATGGATCTTCAACTCGATACTGAAGCTATCCATCATAGTTGGAAAATCGTTGGTGGCGTAGTGGCGTAGTGCATCTGCAGATGCAGGCGCTAAAGATTATGTCTTTAAGACGTGAATTGATCATTTGAGACAGTATTCTACCTATGGAACAATACTACATTGGCAAGGCCAAGAATACACTGGTGATAGATTGGCTTTTTGTTTATTTAATCTTCGATAGATTTCTTAGGGTCTCGATGACTTTTGAACCCTGGATTCAACGAGATTTTAAACTCATGACCCATCTGCTTTCTTGTATTATTACTTCTTTCATTAGAAGTTGGGGGTAAATAGCGATCCTACGAGAAATCTACATAACACAACTCTTCGATCGTTCTAACTTTGGTGTAGAAGTGCCCTGGTGAATTTCACTTTGACCCTTGCTGATGTGTTCGCATCTATCTGCAGCATCCCAGAGTTGGGATAGATTCCAAGGCTCTAGATAAATGATATCACCTGGGAAATATCTTGGAGTATGTGATCATCATCCGGCACGTAAAACTAAAGACAATGCGTGTACTCGTCTGCAGCCATACATTTATTTGGCTTAGTGTTTAACATTCTAGCCGTGAAATAGTTGCTGGGTATTTGGATACGTATGTATTTGGAAGATCCTGATACAATCAATGTAACACTTGTCTACAATCTAGGATGTCACTATAAGGACGCTTTGCCTTCTTCACTCCAAAATTTTACATGAGTCAAATGCCAATTTCTAAGCCTAGTTAATCTATCACATGTCAACCAAGAGGGATCTTCAGCCTGACCCGAGACTCTGGGCCAGGAGATTAGTTTGTGTAGGTGGTGTTTGGTTAGGTCCGTTCAAGTGTTTGAGTAAACGTGTGTTACGACCTAAGAGCTTTGAAGTTATATTATCACTGAATAGACATATTACTTGAAGTGAAGATGCTGGTGTGAACCATCATGCAATGTAGGAATGGCATGACTTTTGCTCCAATCCAAGTCACTTAGTACACTGCGCTTTCCCTATCTATCTTGGGTATTCATGTATCTCATGAATTTCGTGATTGAATGGTGTATCGTATTCGAAAATCGTACACGACAGTAGCAAATTCATTCCCCTCGGGCGCATTTGGTTTCGGAATCACGTTCCGAGAAGTATTTTACCGGGTAGTATTTGCCGTTTTACCGGTGATGTGGCGTATAAAGGCCAGTCATTGCAACCTCAACATACAATTTTTTCCAATTTTAAATGTTTAGTCACGGACCCTTTAAAGTAAATGCTACCGTTGCTTCAGGATTGTGTGTCTAGTAAGACAGCAGTTTATCTGGCTATGACATGATCATAACATGATGTATTATATCATTCAGCATCTAATCGTCAAGCTCTTACCATACATTAAGATTCTAGCAATGACAACCACCAAGAGAGAGGCCATCAACAATGCGGCTGTGAATACCTGCAGAGAAATTCACCCATAAGATTTCAGAGCGCCTGCAATTGGATTTCCGACCAATATGCCTACAGATATCGGCATTAAGAGAATCCCTAAGCGGACACCCAAAACGCCCGTATCTGGAGATAGTGCAACACCGAGATTTGGAGATATCGATGTCAAACCGCCGGAAAAGAAGCCATGCGATACAGTGAATAAAATTATGCTAGCAGTGGTATGAATATTTATCCAGGTGAAAGCTAAGATTCCACTTAGGAGAACACAGATTATGTCGATATTAAATGGACCATAGATGTCGGCGAAGTGGGTTGGGATCTATAATTTCTTTAGAAACCAGGCATTGGTAAGGATATAGATAAATCTTAAACATACGATGCGTCCAAAGAAAGATCCGACGTTGAGTAAAGGGAGAAGATAAGGAACAAGGTCACTTCCCACTATATTGGTGTCAAGAGCATATGATTGAACATAGAAAGGCGGGATATAAGCGCCCATAACCACTAGAAAAAAAGATACTAGTAACCAAGAACGGCGGTTCTTTCCAGGCTTTCGTATCGAATATCTTTCTGATTGCAGACGGAGGAGTCCGCACACGCATTCCGAGTACAGGAATTGTAGCGGCCAAAAGAATGATAAAACCAATGACGCGGATCGACCACCCAAAACCAATTTTTGGTTGCAACTGGTTGAGCATTATCGGAAAAACAACACCTCCTGCAAATTATACGTGTCAACGTTTGATATAAGGCCTCTATATTTCTCACACGTACCTATAGCACTACCAGAAGCTGCAACTCCCAACGCCAATGCTTGTTTCTTGTCAAAATAAGCTGGAAGCACAGCAATGCTGGGGATAAATAAACAACCACTGCCTATGCCGAACATGACTCCTTGAGCCAGTATGAAATGCCAATATTCAGAGCTTATACTGCTCAACATCATTGCTAGCACGCACAAAAAGCATCCTATCGAAACAAGAGACCTCAAATATCCATGGTCGAAGACTGGACCAGCAACTATGGAGAATCCGAAGAGAAAAAATGCTTGAATAGACCCAATCCAAGAGATCTGAGACGGAGTCCATGAAGGATAGTCAGTCTCGTAGTATGCTTGAAAAAAACCTAAAGGCTTCAGTAAGGATATGTTGAATAATGCAGTGCTCAGGAGTTACCAAATGGGCTCAGGAGACCCCAAGACAGGAAGAATAGAGAAAATGAGCTTGCGCATTGCACCCAGGCAACAAATCCTCCATCTGGTGCCGGCGCTTCAGTGGCTGATCTCGGTTCAACTAGCATTTTGATTTCGATTATTGATTTTGAATAGAAAGGGGAATTGTGCAAATTCCTGAACTTTTAATGTGGCAGAAATATGGAGCATCTATCCGTCTACCTCAAGGCATCGTAGGTCTTATTGAGAATATTTGTTTGACTTGTGACTTCATCCCCGTACCGAAAGTAACTCTACCATTGCATCTAGCAATGCAAATGCATTTCATCGTTTTGGAAACCTGGACGGTGCATTAAGCAGTTTTCATCCAACATTTAACGGACAGCTTGCCTTGATTAGTCGGTACGTAGTAGCAGTGCGTATTGTGAATTTCTTGTGGTCTAACAAGATTGGGGCGGTTAGGACATGAGCTGGTTCTTGTCTAGCATCAACAAATGACACTGCGCGATTAGAATGTCGGGACTGGAAACTATCCAATACCCCAGGATACCACATGCATTTTTCTGCATCCGGATAGATTCGATGCTTGAGTTATGCTTGCTAGGTGTGGGTAACCATACCATAACTACCCATATGGATTAGCGGGAATCTTTCGACAAATCATACATGGATGATAGGTTATAACAAAACATTTTAGGTGAAAGGTTCGGCTTGGAGGATGTCAAGAAAGGATGTGGTAGTCTGCTTGCGAGTATCGTGTGAACATGTCTCTATGGTCATTTCTACGCACAGTTTCTGGATGAGCACCGCATCAGTAAGCCAACTACAAATGTATTCCTTTGTAACTTTGCTCCAAAAGAATAGTGAAATTTCAAGCGAAATTGGTCAGGCCACTGAAACTGCGCCAGGGATTTCCGAACGCCACCTTCCCTTTTAGGAAATTCTCAGTACCGGTGTTGTGGTACGGATGCAAGTATCGTTCTTCCTATTGGTACTATAATATATTTCTCAACTACGCAACGCAGCAATAGATATACTTGGCCCTTCAAATTACTTCGTATGCACGCAATCTGAGTGGAGGCGGGGTGAGAATCTTCGTCTCGCAAGGCAAGCTATGAGCATTTCTCCCCGCGATTGTAGCTTTCCTCTCAATAGGAGTCTGAAACTAGCTTACTGAATGAGCAGTTTGCATGAGCTGTTGGAATCAATGCCAATTAGTGGAGTTAATACATTCTGATATATGAGTGTCTCCGATCTGGGGGTCAATGGATTGAATTCTAATTGTTACAGCAAATACCTCCTGCTTCATCTGTCAATGTAATCATGCAATGGATCAGTATTGATTGTATGGTAAAAGTTCCTAAGTCCTTGATTTCATGCGGAAAATATGCCCAACAACACTTCGTTTTTTTTGGCATGCAGGTTAGTATCTCTCTCCCAGAGTTACAGCAATCTTTCGAGAGATTACAAGTTACAACAACTCACTAATAGATACCAACAAGCTACCTAGATGTCTCTACAAAGATCGTATCTTCGCATACTATGCTTTCTACTGTTGCCCACGTGTTTCGAGAATCCATCCATCTGTCCTTTCATTATGACTTGACAACTATACTCATACGACAGTTCAAGCTCAAAGAAAATGCAATCGACGTGTATGTATATGATATTATAAATAGCTTGAGAGTAAGTAAAGAATACACGGCATTTGAGATAACTTTCCAGTCATTCTGTATAAAAATTCATGTCAGAAATTTACAATCATACTATCAAGTCCTCTAAACTTACTAGTATCGTAGAATACGATTTCAATAAGAGACTATAGTAATCAACTTGCTACAATAGAACTTGATTATACCGGACTAAGATATATCGGAATCTTGAATATATGGAATGATTTCCTTATTTAACTACTTTTTATATAGTAATATCAGCATGTTGAATAAAATCAGAATACTGAATACTTTTTTGTAAATCTAATATAAGATTTTGATAACAGATTTAGTTTAATAAGTTTTTTTCAATGAATAAGTTTGATTTGATTATGATATAATGTTTTTATTTTTTCAAAAAGATTAGGGTTGGAACTGAAATCGGATATAAATTTTGATTAGAATATTTGAATCACTATTTTATATATCGGAGTCTTCTTTATATTGGATTTGATTTGATCGAATTTTTATTCCGGTATAGTCAAGTTCTATTGTAACTTCTTGTCGACAATTTCGATAAATCCTGCTAATCAATATACATATAGATACCCTCATTTTCCTTCTCCTAGCTCTAGTTCTACACAGCAATCAATCAATCAATCAATCTACCTCCAAACTTCAACTTGCACACATCCCCAACAAAAACCACCAACAAGTTCCCTAATATCCCTCACATCCCTCCTAAAAATCATTCTCATCTCTTTACACATCTATTATATATTATTTCTCTCCATACTCACATATTCCAACCCTCCTATCTCCTTATCCTCTCATCCTACGAGTACTTTTATTTAATTCTCACCTGGCAAGTCATAAAGTTAGAAAGAAAGAATCCTTAATATAAAATATATACATATACATATACACACAAGATTTATATACAAGCAAAACAAACAACACATACATATACTCAAATCCTCAATCCAATAACAAATAAAGGAATCCATCATCCAAAAATGATTTCCTAATCATCTCTAAACCATCTCTCAATCATGATATGTACAATTATAAAATATACAACCTCACTCTATTCTATTCTATCTCAACCCTAAATATCTTAATCCAGATATACACTCGCTTATTCATCCCATCAAACCCCCTTACAGAACCACCATCTCTATCTCTATCTTTATCTTTATCTTTATCTTTATCTTTATTTTCATTTCTATCTCTATTTTTATTTCTAATCCCTATTCTTATTCTTATTTTATTATTATCTCTATTTCTATTCTTATTTCATTTCTATTCCTATCTCTATCTCTATTTTTATCTCCATCGTTATCTTTATTTCCGATCCTTATTTCCATCCTTATCCCTATTCCTATCCTTATCCCTATCCCTATCCTTATCCCTCCCCTATCCTTATCCTTATCCTTATTTTTATTCTTATTTCTATCCCTATCCCATCTCCCTATCTCCCTATCCTCAATCTCCAATCTTATTATTCATACACTCACACACTCACACACTCAAAACAACATCCACATTTTCCATTTTCAAAATCCTTAAAATCCATCTCCACTCTAGAATCTAGATGTAAACACCTAGATATCTAAATCATAAACATGTCCTTTGATTCACCATCTACCTACCTACCTACTTAGATATATAAGATGATAGATATCTATACTACTATATCTGTAATATATAATACATACATACATACATACATACATAATACATACATACATACATACATACATACATACATACATACATACATACATACATACATACATACATACATAATACAATACAACACCATAAGTATGCATCTGCATTATATGACACCATTTCATCCCATGTCAAATCATATCATATCACATCACATCACATCACAATCCTTTTAATTCCCCTTCTCATTTCCTCGCGCACTCTTCTATTTCACAAACTTTCACCCCCTTGCTCATCCATCTCCCATCTCCCATCTCCCACCACCTCTCACAATTCATCCTTGACCTTCCCCCCCTTCTCCGCCTCAAAAGCCCCTCCACTCAAATCCGGCATCCCCATAATCTTAACCACCAAACTTGTCCACCCAGTGAAATGTTGAGTTCTCTGTCCCACTCCCGTTTCAGGATTATATTGTTCCCACGCAAATCCTGTTTCCTGCCAACTATCATAGACCGTCTTGATAAGATTCAATCTAAGTTTCGTGTAGAGATCTTTAGATTTTTCTTGGTGGGGGCCAGGAATTTCTGCGTATTTCTATGAAAGGATTAGCATTTTCGGCTAAGGAATCATCAGAAAGGGGGAACTTACGAGTAATTGAGAAACGGCCAAGAAATTCATATTCATCCAAATAGGACCTCTCCAGTAATTTTCATCTGTTCCATAGAATGAATCTCTCTTACTCAAAGATCTGATACCATGTTCACTCCACAATTCCTCTTCATCACCCAACAAGTTAAGAATGTGACCCAATTTATCACTATCCTTATCAATGAGACCTGTCAGGAAAGGAAAGAGAGAAACATATCCCTTGTGACAAACCAATTGATGTTCTTCGTAATCATCAATCGTAGCATCGCAATAACATTTTTCCTTTTCGCTCCAATGTAAATCATCAATATTGTGATGAATAGCTATTTCAATGGTAGCTAACTCGGCAACATCATCTGCCATACCGAGGAGACCAGCAATGTTCTTGAGAGATTTGGTCATCATACCCATCCAGGACATCAAATCAACATGTAGCTCTCCCGGGTGAGGTGGTTGAGGACGAGGATAATCATCGAGACCACTGGTAAGAATATGTTGTGGAGTTCGACCTCTCCATCTATAACCTTCCTTGGAACTAAACGCATCACGATCATAAGATTTCAAATCTCCGGCTTGAGTTTTGCGGAACCAGTAGTAGTGCTTCTTAAGCTTAGGATAGAGCTCATTAAGATATTGAAGACCAGCTTCTGGATTCTTCAAATATGCCGAGTAGATTGAAGGTTCTTGGCTGAGTTGCTCCTTTGCTTCTGGCGAAGTACCATTCAGTGCACCAAGCTTGCTAATAAAAGCATCGATGATGAAAAATAGCGTGGGTGGATTGGCATAATGAGGATATTGTGTTTGGAATTCAACAGGAACCTTGCTGCGAGCTTCAGCACCAAGAATTTGTTCTCTACCAATCCATCCATCTTCATCCATAAGATTGAACCAGCTTCTGACAACCTCAAGGGTAAGATCAATATCCCAGTCGGCAATTGGAAGAAGATGGAATCCTTCATCCCAAAGGAATCCTCTAGGGAAGAATGGTCGCGATGGAACGGTAGTGAAAAGTTCAGATGGACCTTCCAGCTTTTCTTGTCTTCGTCCCCTTGCTGCTGCGGCTTCTTCCCAAAAGCCCTCGTTACTCTCTTCATACTCCTCAGCATATGAACGATCGACCACCGAATCTCCATGGAAATATCCAAGACCACCAATCAAGTTTGAGAACATTTTACTCGAGAATCTTTGAAGACTCTCAATATCAAAAGGTGGTTGCAGATCGAAGTTAGAAATAAATCTGCTGTAGAAGGATACACTATTTTCGCCAATCAATCTCGAGATTTCTTGACTAGAAAGCTCCTTCTCCGCCGAGGCACTGTTGAAAATGATATCGAATTCAAAATCTCCCTCGAAGACCTTTTGAACCAAATGGAAGTTTCCTTCATCTGGTGCGTGTGAGATGGTATAAATCTGATATGGAGGAGGAGCATTATCTTCTCCATAAGTTCCAAGATATTCATCGATTTGCTCCTTCAACTTGCCGAACCAATGAGGCTTGGCAGCCCAAAGTAACTTCTCATCAAGTGTAAGAGAGTGGACAAAAGTTCTATCCAACGGCTTCTCCTTGTAAGACGGATGATCCGAAGCAGGATGATAGCCCCGACCAGGAGTAACCGTAATCTTATATTCGCCCAAGCCATCCGAATCACCATTGAAATTGACTTCTCCCTCAAACCCCAAATCATCCTGCTCATTCGCAACCGTCAAACTTCCCAATCCTTCAAGAGAAGCGTAGAAAATCATCGTCGTCTTCAAATCTGCAGGCGACCCATCCCTAACTTTACCCCTCACTCTCGTAGCCCAGTTTCCGCCATGTTTGCCCCCAGGGGACTTGACAAAGAAAGTGCTGATATCAATCCCATTGCTCTCATCGTACATAGTTTGTTTCCCGCCATTGCGAGCATCGAATTCCTCCCATCCATAACCTCTCATACCATCACCTTGCTCGCAAGTATGTCTAAAGTCTATAAATTATCCAATTAGCCATGATTGCTCTATCTTCCTCCTCATCACTACAACAACAAACAAAACCCAAAACTCCCATCCTCCAAACCTCCCATAAAACACAAAACTTACTATGTTGCACATCACGAAATTATCCACCTTCGCCCACATCAAGCCTCCGGTAAAACTCTTAGGAATCCTCGGACGAACCCCAAAATACAAATTCGGTTTGTAAGCACCCCATAACAAACTACTATTCTGTTCTCGCGCGATCTCCGTCGTCACAATTCCCACATCTTGTTTCTCAGCCGCGTGGACCGAAGTGCCCAACAGCGAAAGTACCGCTACCAGAGCTGTGACGGGCCGCAATGTGACAGGCGTCATCTTTTTCCCCAATTCCAATTGAAGAAAACAAAAAGTTGAAGATCCAGAACTGGCAATCTGGATACTTAACTTATGATGAAGAAAGGAAAAAGGCTTTTATGGGAGAAATCATAGGACGTGATATCCAAAGAACACCGTTGCGAATTTGTGGATAGATTGCGTTGCGATCAGCCTGTGGCGCGAGGCTGCAGGGAAGGCTTCATGATGCCATATGATTATTGGTTCAAATGTTCAAAGCACGGATAGAAACGCGGGCCGAAAGTTACGGATAAATGAATTATGTTTCCGGTAATCGGGAAAGTGTTCCTGAGTATTTATCCTCTCGAGTCTCAACTATCTTGGTATGGGGAAACGCTCAAAAAAGTGCCAATGGACAAGGTTGATAACTCCCCGGATATCATGTGGTCATGTATTAATACCAATTTACCAATCTGCCAATCTTCAATCCACAAATCTACGAATTCACACAGTCTTCCCCTCTCTCTCAATATGTAACCCCTCATCTGGCCTGTTTGCCATGATCTATTCTTCCACTCCTTTGCTCCTCATTTAATCCCTACTCGGACTCAGAGGTCTATTAAATCCTCCAACCCGATTCATGTATTGACGATACTGTGTCTTCTTTTCCTTCCTCACAGCACTAACATTATTTCCTGCTACCTGTTTATTTTGCGTCGTTGCGAATCCCCCAAAACCCATCATGGCCTGCATGGCTGCCATTCCATCATCCTCAACCACAATATCATCGTCCTCTTCTTCCTCTTCCTCCTCCTCAATTTTCTTCTTATGCCGTGACGCCTTCTTGTTTCCACCATCAACATCCATCCGATCGTGATCTTGAGCTGTAGCTGTATTTGTATGACTAGCCCCAATACTGAAGCTGACAGGTTGTGGAGCGTCGTCTATATATTCGCTATTTCGTGTCTTCTCACTACCTCTATCTTCTTTATAATCTCGCTCATCGTCGCGCCGCGGACTCCTAGATCTTGTTCGTTCATTTGATTTCTCTCCTGATCGCGCATTGTCTTGATGCGTATTAGACAGTGTTCTGATCGCAAGTACAAATGTTCCATCCTGCGCTGAATCCGGTGAAAACATACCTTTTCTCCCATTTCTATCCTCATCAATTCCTCGAGATTGTCGAGTATCATCTTGTTCAACGTTAGATCTACCTCTCAGCGCAAACACCGTCTGCGAAAGCGCATTGGGCATAAGCTCACCTCTAGTCCTATCCGGCACATCTCTTCGATGTCCATCTCTCTTATCCGACCTCTCCTCGTTTCTTTCCCGATAATCCCTATTCCTGTCACTCCCTCGCCCATCTCGATATTCATCTCTCCTCCCACCGCGATCTCGTTCCCTCTCTCGATCTCTGTACGAACTGCGTCTATGATCTCTCGAGTCGCGCGGCGACCTGCTTCTATCTCTGCGACTGCGATCATGATTGCGATTTCTCTCATCGCGTCGATCTCCTCGATCATTTATCTCATCTCGGTCTCGAGCAGACCCACGACTTTCGCTTTCCTCCCACATTTTTGTACTATCCGGACGTTGTCTTCTTCTTGGTAAATCCGACATTGTGAATTAATCTTAAATTTTAATTCTTTCTCGAAAAGTCCAATCCAATGCACGGAAATTATCGTTGTTTATGAAGTAAAATAAAATAATGTAGAAGCTACACCATACACTTGGCTCTTCGCGACAAAACCGTATCGCGCCGTATCAACTCGGATCAAATTTCAATGGGTCCAAATCACATGATACCGTACCTCCAAACTTTATGTTGCATATCTATTGGACCCTTTAACATTCGCAATTGACGCCACCAATGGGTGTACAGACTAACGGGGCACCACTACAAGAATGAACTTGTAAATATCTCTTAATATATCAAGTTCTATATCTAAGAATTCTTAGAAACATCTTCCTCCTATACATTCCCACCCCCCAAATAAAATAAAAATAAATCTCAGAAATTTCAGAAATTTCAACCTTAAACTCATATACTAGGTAGGTACTCCCACTCAAATTTCAATCCCCCAAAAGCTTTTCCCAACTTTTTATCTACCTACCAAGGGATTCCGCGAAAAAAAGGATGCGATTGAAATAGAAAATCCATGAATAAGTGAATATTTGTTCAAATAATGAACATGCGTTATTATTAATAAGTATTCAGTATCAAATACCTATCCCTCAGGATTAATTGTGATATAAGATTGAAGACAAAGTGAATATCTATCTAGGTAATATCTATTACCTCGCTTGGTATATATGGTTTTTGATATTAGTCTCATCCCATCTCAACCCATCTCATCTCATCTCAACCCATCCCATCACTTCTTTCCCTCATTAATCATTAATACCTACTAGGTAGGTATCTATACAATAACAAGCAATATCCACCATTATAATAAAAGAGAAATAAAAAGCAATTCCCTCTCTTCCTCTTCCCCTCCCCCTCCTCTCCCTCAATCCACATCTCTACTATCATTATCACTAAGTACTTCCACTAATCTCAAACCCACTCTCTCTCACCCTCACCATTCAAACCCACCCAGCCACTCCCTCACCATCCAATTCAATCCTACCTACCTCAACCTACTTCAACCATCCATCCATATACCAGATACCTATTCCCAGCTCCACAAGCAGACTTCCGAACCACCCAACGCAAAATGATAGCCTGTAGCTTCTAGCCATGTAAACCAGCCATATACATATATATATACAAATACATCTACATCTACATCATTCCATCAGCATCATTCCATCAGCATCTCCAAACTATAGCATCTCTATTCATATTCATGGGTATCCATAGATACATACCCAGTAACCATCCAGATCTGAGATTCTCCAACTGCGCTATACACTGCATCGCACTACACGGCATGGGACCACTCCACTCCACACCTACAAATTTCCTACAATACACATCCAGTGATTAGATGACCAAGTCAAAAATCGATAAACAAACATATTATTCTAATTCTGATGGATTTTTCCATTGACCCTACACCCAACCATAATACCATACCATACCAACGCTATGCTATTCAAAAAACACCCATGTCCCCCTCTACAAACCTCCTTCTTCCCATTATCTCTAAATAACATTGAAGATTTCTAATCCCATCCACCCCCCTCCTCCAATCCAACCTCCCCCTCAAGGCCAACCAAAAACATTCAATACACCCGCAACATTCCACCTAATCCCCACCAACACAACCGTCAAAGTAATTAAATCCGCCACTCCAAGCACCGCACCCGCCATCATGAATTTCGGGCTAAAGATGCGATACAACATAAGATGTCTTCTCAACCAACCTGCCCACATGGTAGTAGCCAATGCCATGACTGCATAGTAGAGAATATGCCATGCCAAAGCAGCGGTGGCTGTTTTCAAGAGTCCCTTCTTCTTTGGTTGTTGTTTCCAGAAGACGATGAGGGGAACTGCGGTTGCGGCAAGGATTTGAGGACCGAATGAATTGAGAGCGACGAGTAATGGAGACCAAGGGTAGCGGATAGTGTGGAGAGGAATAAAAGCGGATTCCCATTGAATGGAAGAGAGAGTAGCTTGGTGACCAGTTTTGAAGAAGTGGAAGGAGCCGAGGATGGCGAGCATGATTGGTCCAATAGGAGAATTGGTCAAGGAGTTGAGATCGAGGAACTCTACTAGAGAAAGAATTTGGAGAGACATGAGAGAAAGAGCACCAAATCCCACAGGCTTCTGAACCATGAGTACTGCTAGAAGCACACTGGTAACAAGAAGGAAGTATCGAGCACCATGACTATTACCATAGCCGAGAATCATAACCCGAGTACCTTGTTGTTTGGGGGCTCCAGCCGGTAAAAGATCACCGATCGAAACGGTACCAATAGCAATACAAGGTGGTGCAAGATAGAACGCAACAGACCCAGCACCCACAACCATGGCAAGAACTGTCTGAGCAATTGGTACTCGAATAGCTTTCAAGGCACCTTCATAAAAGTCAGGGAACCAATTTCCATCATCAGCGGCATCTAAAGTCCAGAAGATAGCAATGAGGAAGAGCCCGAATCTAAAAGCTCCATCAATCCAGACTGGCGCAAACCCTTCATAGGAAAGACTAGTTGCATAGTAAGCTCTGATGAACGCAGGTAAGGAGATTGCGAAAAAGAATGGAATGAGTAATTGCCAAGGAGCAGAAGTTGACGATGTGGCAGAGGCATAGTAAGTAGATCTACAGTAAGGCATCTGTTCTTCTCTGCACAACTTGGAGTACGAAGCAACCCAAGCAAGACCCATAAACACAAGAGAGTGATACACTCCCAAAGTGCGACTGCGTACTTCCGATTGTCTAAGCGAAGAAACAACACCAGCTACTCCGAAAGTTGTAATGAAAAACAACAAGATGGAGTCTTCCCAGATAGTATAGGAATTCGATGCAAAGCCAATAGACTGACTGATTGTGAAGACAGTTGCCATCCAACCCCAGAATGTTTTGGGGAAGGGATTACCAATATTCATCAATGACAGGAGAGCTCCAATGAGTCCACCAATGACAGCACCATTTAGACTCAACTCAATAACTTGTCCCTCGATGACATCTTCCAAAATGGTAGCTTTCATTGTCCAGAGAGCCAATCCTACGGCAGCACCAACAGCAGAGGCCAGAGAAATCGACAAAAGTAAGTTTGGATTAATTTCCTCATCTCCAATATCTCTCTCGCCCTTTGCATAAGCTTCGAGTTCCAATTTGGCTTGAGCTTCGTCAAGATCTGCTGATTCAGGTTCATTACCATCACTAGCATTACCATTGGCATACAATACCAAAGCTAATACGCTAGCAGCAAGAATGCAAATACCCAAAATCATACTAGGAACATCGAATCGCGCCCAGAGATCTCGACAAATTCGTAAAGTCTCTGTCTGATAGGCAGAAAATGCATGATAAACTTCGGTAGACTTTTGAGCTGATTTGGAACCCTGGATTTTTTCAGCTGACAACCAAAGAGCAGATGGAGAACCATCAATTGTGCTCTCATCGATACCCCTGGCGTCAAAGTAAGCAGCTTGGTATCTCTTGATTCCAGCAGCTGTCATTCTAGCCACATTTGCCAAATTTTCCCAGGCATTACCTTTCTTGCCTGCAAAAGCTTCTTCGATAGGCTTTCCGAGGTTATTGAAAGGAATTGGCAAACCTAAAAGCAGTGCAAGTGTAGGTACCAAGTCGATTTGATTGACTGGTCGTGTCTTTGCGTTTTGTGGAGGTGATGCAAAAGCTGGATCTGTGCGACCGAATATTCCTTTCTTAGAATACATCCACAATGCAGCTTCGACTTCATCGTCGCTCTCTCCACCATGATCACCTTTACCATCCATGCCATGGTCGCCCATGATGACCAATAAAGTATCATCATCAAGCTTCTCCACGAGTCCTCGGATCATAATATCCATTTGCTGTAACTTGCTCGTCATAGCCGGATGATTTGGTCCATATCTGTGGCCCGCATGGTCCACACCCAAGTAGTGGGCAAACATAACGTCCCATTCAGCTTTCTTCTCTTTCGCGAGCAACGGCATAATATGTTCTGTAACCCCATTGTCAACCGTGTGCAAGTCCCAAACATTGAGAGAATCATATGCACGACTGATATTTGGTTCAAAGTATCCAGGAAACAGCGCGGTCCATGTATCATCACCCAGATGTACAATTTTCTTGCCAGCATCCTTCAATTGACCCAAAAGATTATCCTCTTCAATAGCGGTACCTGCAAAGTTCGAACCCGCATCCACAAATGTAGGAAGTGTTCCGGTTGTAAGCCCCTTTAATCTTTGCAATGTAGTTGTAGGTGGATCCGCGATAAAAGGCAATAAGAAAGCCTTGTTTGGTTCTCTGCGCGCAGTTTCGTACAAGAATGGTAATGCATTGTGAAAGGCCTGTGAATCGTCACCCGCGAACGGTACCGTGAAATCGTAGCGTAACGCATCCACAATTACTACCACAGCCCTGTCGAATGTCTTTGGATGCCAACATCCTCCCTCCGGTGTACCGGCTCCTTTATAATCAACAGTTCTCGCAATTGGGGGTTCGGCGCAGGTAGATGATTCTTCCAAAACTAGTCGTGTGAGTAAGAAGCCCTTTGTGAAGTAATAGATTCCCACGGCATGCATAACTCTATTCATTAAATATATTAGCACAATGCCCCTCCACAGCCCGCCTTATAGAAAACTTACGCCAGCCAAGCCCACCATCCTCCAACTGCCCACCACTCCCTTCTCCATTTATCTCTCTTTGCCTCGTTCAACTCATCCTTCTTATCCTTCTTCCTGGGTACTTTGGGTACTTTAGGTTGTATTATATTCCCATCCTTATCCAGTTTCTTTCCCTCTCTAAGTGCCTGTTCCTGAGCTTCCTTGCGCGCTTTCGCTCTCGCATATTGCGCTGCGAGCGAATCATAGGCGCCAGGTGCTGGCTTTGGATCTACAGTCTTCACCATTTTTGTTTGAGCTCGCAGCTCTTTGGTTCGCCCTTATTAAAATGATAAGATCTTGATTGGGATGGACACTCCCAGCAGATTTTAGGTTCTTCAATTATCAAATATAAAGATATATTCCTAGATAAAATATTATGAAGCCATCAATTGAAAACCTATGTTTGTGTAGAAAAGAAAAATATTATTGAGGACAAATCATTCAATTAAAAGTAGAGTAATGATGAATGATGTGCATAAAGCTTCAAGATGAGCTATTTTTTTTCGAAGGGTTTCTCGGCTGCCGATTCGTTAGAGCTACTTCTAGCTCGGGAAATCCCCATACTTTCTTAAGTCTACCTATGGGAAGCTTGTAAACCATTATGGCATATCTGTATCTAGGTGTTGACAAAACGGTATTTGTCTTCAATGCGGAGACAGATCTCGTTAATTGGAAAGATCAATTGGATCCATCAAGTGTCTATCATGCGAGAACGTCGAAGCAATGATCACATATTCTCCAAAAAGTCAGAATGTTATCACTAACACCAGATAGAAATTCAAGATTATATCGCTAACAGATTCCCATGCCCCTTAAACTACAAGTGATGCTCTAAAAGCATTTGATCATTCTTCATCATGCCCCTTCCTTGTCCGTTCATTCTTCATACCCATATACCATCATGTTCCGCATTTTCTAAGCTTACACCTCTTATCAATCTATGCCAAAACCTTCGCACATGATAGATTCTCTTAAAGAGCGAGGTTATAGGAGTACTCGTCCTCAATGTTTTGCGAGATCCAAAGGACCACCGAACTAAGTGATGTTAGCCTTCTACTCCTTATCATCCCGCCACGAAACCCTTGCTTCCAACCAGACTAAAATGTAGAACTTACCTCAACATAACCCCAGCGTTTGCTCCTACATTTGCAACACCCATTCCCAAAGTAGGCCATTGTGCACCAGGCACCACATACTTCAAAACCAACACGGTAATACCTCCAGCCAATCCTCCAGCCAAACTTGCAAACCCTAAGAACAGAACTACTCTTGCTTTCCAAGCGACACCACTTCCACTGTAAGAGAAAGAGTCCGCGGAGAGTCGGGACTTTTCGATTGAGTTGATAATGAGCATGCCGAGAGAAGAGAAGATGAGTGGGAGCCAATCGATAAATGTGATATGAATTGGGGGGTCAGACCCATTGAGGGCCGACTTGGACCAAAGAGCCGCATCGAGAAGGATGAAGAATGAGAGAGAGAACTGTTTGTAGATGTGTTAGTAGAGACATTTGAAACACAGATCAATCGCAGATTATCGGGCTTTCCGTAGAATCGCAATAAAAAACACCACGGATGAGATTGCAAGGCCATCATACCAGAGCCCCCGCAGCATAAACACCAGCACCCTTCGCCGTGGCACTGTTCATCCATTCCGGCTTTCTGAATTTCCAAAGACGTTCTTCCGACATTATTACTTTGCGATTCCGATTATCTGCTCCTTGACCGTTGCTTTCTTGAATTTCGCTCCGCCTTCTCTAAACTTACCCTTTGGCGCTCAATTCAGTAATCACTTCTTGTCGAACAGTATGTCTCGACTGATGGCGCAACTCGTTTCAAATTTGTAGATGGATATAGTTGTTGGTGTTGCGATATGATTAGCTAGGTAGCTGTTTGAATCACAATCAAGCTTGCGCAATGATAGCTTCAGCCAAGCCCGCTACCGCCGCGCGCTTACATTAATAAGAGTGTGAGTGTGAGCATCACGTGCCACGTTAGAGGTATGCTTGGATTGGGGTCGTCGTTCTCGTTTTGTGTATATTGGGTATTTATGCTGAGACAATGATAATGAGATATTGTGGCGAATCCAAAGTTCACTTGACTTGAGTCTCAAATTCTGATTCCTGAATATGATTGCTACTTAGGAAAAGTATCTACAGGTTGAGTTGAATACACCTAAAAGATAGACGAGTCCAATTCAACTCAATACCCAATGCTGACTCTAACAAGAAAAAAGCTAAATAACCGCATTGCATATCAAGGACATATCTTCCTTTCCTACAGCTTTGAAACCTTCGATTGTGAAAATGTCTTCTCCATCCAATAAATCGATTTTCGCCATGAAACAACGGTGACATCAAAAGCCATCACCACATGACTTATCCCACCAGCCTCATCAGCCCTCTCCAACTTCCCCTCCAAACAATTCGCCATGTGCCTTCTGGCGCCTTAATGAGTTTATTTCCTAACGATCAATATAATCACCAGCCAGAACCAATCATCCCGTGTAACCCCACGGTCGTTTCGGCGGTCGACTCGCCAAGCTTTTTAAGGAGCTAGAGGAATTGATCGCGAATAGATTATTGGATGAGATGATATCAAATGCCTGATTGTGCTTGTTCCGCTGCACGGGGAGCGCAAGATGCAGGTTTATAGGAAGCTAATGTATGGTTATAAGATTTGAAACGAAGCCACACGAGGTTAATTTTGACCTGGGATGAAATTAGCTTTGAAAGATACATAACGAGATGAATACTTTGTAAATCTTTGTAGCGTGTGGCGAGGGATAGTGAGGACCAAGGCTTGAGAATATGTGTACGTGTGATGCTACGCCGCCAACAGTTGGTAGGAATATGTATTTTCGTCGTACATTCTCAGCCCTGAAGAAGTCTTCTTTCCCTTTTCTTGTTGCGCAGGCAACGTATGGTATGACTAGAAGTTAAGGTTAATATTGATCAACGGTTTTGTGATCCCTCGAATTCTTGATTTTCGATGACGGGTAAATATCTGGATGCTGATATACCATTCGCCAAGCACCTGTCGGTACTCTGTACTCTGTACAATATTCAGACGGTGATGAGATTTATAAGATTGATATGTTAAGGTTACCCCTCTGATAATGATAATCCTGGTTCACTTATATCGACTTCCCCTTTTCCTTTTCCGGAGATGTCATGCAAGCGGGAAAGAATGAATTAGCGGTGGAGACTCAAAGGGAAACCCCCATACCTATTGATACTCAAGGATTTAGGGGGTTCAGGGAGTGATGCAAGCGAAATTTGATGGAAAGATGAAATGGACATCTAGAATCGATTCTGGGGAGGGGGGGATTGGGGCAGAGTGAGGGTAAGACTGTTGGACCAATGTGGATGTGAAGGATTTCCTGGTATGAGATGTAATTGATTGGTATTTACCCAAATATATATATATCCTCAGCAGCACTCGATTCGTTTGCATGTATGTGTTAAACTCGTGGCGAAGCGTTGCATATGATATGAATCAAAAGTTCAATTATAGAATACCGAATACCAGATATAGGCTAGCTGACTGTATTTTGACTTGAAGGTATCATCCATTCGAGTTAATGTTGGGTTTCCGTCTATTTTGATGGAACGATTCAGACATCAGATACAATGCGATGAAGCCAATCTCATAAGAGTAGTAATCTGCAGTTATCATATTGTATCATGACTTGATGCATATGGGATATATCATATCGCCAACATCGTTATCTTGATCTACTGCGAATCTCAGATAGCGAATACCTATTGTCTATAGACTGTATGCACTCTTTTCTTTTTTGCCTTTGTTCCCGTCGTCGTCATCGAACAAAGTATTGTATGCACGGCAGGAAGGTAGGTAGGTCGTTCAAGTTCTTTCTATAATCATCCCCTTTTGACTTGAGCTGAAACGATAACAAACAAGATTGGATTATAAAACGATAATAAATATCTATTTATTTTACTTCTCCATATATAGTATTTAATACATTTATACCCCAAACATGCATGAAATAAGCCACCATTCAAACGAATGATTTACTACGGTCGAGTGCTCCGGCTTTGTATATATGGATTAGATAGATACTTGAATATTCACTATAAATGTTGAATGGATGATAATCATGAGATACAAAGGAGAAGGACATTACAACATTACAAGATCTCTTCTAGTTCTTCTAGTTCTTCGACTCTTCTTCTAGATCCCCTCGATGGTTCTTCTAGTCCTCCTTAATTCTTGATACCAACCTAGGTACACCTGTCTAGACATACACACATAGACATACATATATACGTCCATCTATACGTACATACATCCACACATACATACATATCAGTACCAATAAACGCCTCGTCACCACCTCTCCTCTCCTTTTTTCTCTCTCTCCCATCCATCTCCAATCTCCTTCTTCACTTATCGCGCTCGCTCACTATCGGCATTTTCTCCCAAGGGTCCCACCCAAATTTCAGCTAGTCAGCTCTCTTGACGTTGGGATTGGATGACTGATTGATGGGATTGATTGATAAACTCACTTACCACTTATTACCATTTACCACTCACCACCCAGACCAGGAGACCAGGACAGGAGACCAGGAGGACCAAGGAGGACCAAGGGCGGGTTTCAGGGAAGGAAGTAGTAAAGTGACCATACACCAAATTCAGGGCAAAGATTTTAGGTGCAGATTGTAGTGTACGTACTAGGTAAGAAGGGTAATAAGTGTAATAAGTGCAATAAGTGAAATAAGTGTAATAAGTTGCAATAAAAGTAATTAAATCAAACCGCGATTTGATAAATCTTTTTCACGACTTTACTACTTACTCACTTACTATTCACCACTCACCACCACTCACTCAATCACCCAGTCTTCCAATCTTCCAGTCTCCCAGTCTCTCAATCTTCCAACCTCCCTCCCTCCCTACCTATCAATTCAATTCAACTCAACTCAACTCCAACGTCAACTCCATCTCCATCTCCATCTCCATCTCCTTAATAACCCCAAATCTCCAGCATCATCTCTCCTCGCTCCTCTCTCCGTACGGCGCATAACCTCTCAAGATCAACAACAAACAAATCAAAACAAATAACCACCTCCCCGCCTACACACGTCAAATATCTTTGGGAAATTTCTCATCAACAGCTATCAAAACTGTGACAGTTTCATCCAGTCATCTAAATAAGTATTTACAACAATACTTGAATAATCGCCAGTCATGGCAGGAAAGTAAGTCATCATTCAAAATTCCCCTTTTTGTCTTGATCCTCTGTTATCAAGGTTATCTATCACCTCCAATTCGCTTTCCTTGAATTAATAATTCTGCGAATGATGCTAACTTTGATCCCTTTAGCCCATTGGGCTCTGCCTTTAAGTCTTTCTGGCATACTATGACCAGTTATGATCGTCGTATGTTGAAACCAAAACTCCCCGCGAAACTTTAATCTCTCTTCTAACCAAAATAATCAAATCAACAGACTCGTCGTATGATTCTCCATATAGAACTGGCGGACATGTTCCTCTCGCACAAAGTCGACACGAACCTTTAACATCAGTTGCAACAACAGCTTCAGAATCACGCGCAGATTTGAATTCCCCCTATTTTGAAGATTCAGGTCGACAATCTACATCGGCACTCAATGGCAATGCTTACCCAAGTTCACCATTTGCTCCTCCTGCTAGTCCAGGTCCACAATCTCCATATTCGCCAGGAATGAGATCATCTACACTTCAGCGACAATCTACGCAAGAAAATTTTGAGAATGTTACACCAGGAGAAATTCAATTGCAAGCTTTCCAAGAGGGGCTTCCTCCACCACCACCAGTTGGACACTCGTGGAAGAAAATCGATAGATGGGCCGAGGACAACTACGAAGAATTATTCGATCAACTCTGCGAGGGATGCACAAACAATGATTTGAATGAATTAGAGCATCAATTGGACTGTTCCCTTCCAATGGAAGTTCGAGAATCGATGCAACTTCACGATGGACAAGAACGTGGTGGTCTACCTACGGGAATTATCTTTGGCTCCATGTTGCTTGACTGTGAGGAAATTGTACAAGAGTGGGAAAACTGGAAAAAGGTCAACCAGGAATATCTTACAGAATCTTCTTCTTATAGACCTTCGATTCCACCCAAGGCATTAGGTGGTAGCTCATCTTCGTCGTCGAAGCAACCTGCAAATGCACAAAACCCCTACTGGAGACAAGATTTATTGGCCCGCCAGGATTCTCAACCTCCTAATGCCATTCAAAAGGTTTACGCTCATCCCGCTTGGATCCCACTCGTTCGAGATTGGGGTGGAAACAACTTGGCAGTTGATTTGGCACCAGGACCAGCTGGTAAATGGGGTCAGGTTATTCTATTTGGTCGGGACTACGATTGCAAATATGTCGTCGCACGATCGTGGTCTGCTTTCTTGGCTACTGTCGCAGATGATCTCAGCAGTGGCAAATGGTTTGTGGATGAAGAAACCAATGAGCTAAAATTGAAGGAATTTAAGTCAGGAAAAGTTGAACCTGGTTACTTTGATATTTTAAGATGGAGAATGGATCAGAAGTATGGTCGCAAGAATGTGCGAAGAAGATCGGCGCCACCCGTCAATGGCAATGGAGGATCTCCGTCTGGATCTCCTTACGCAAGCCCAGCTGCCGAAATTGGTGAGCCACGCGGACGTTCTATGCAACGTTTCTCAGGAGCCTCACCAATTCCAAGTCCAAATCGTCCTGGTTATGGAAAATCTAGTCCTTTAGCTCAAGTTGCTGAAGAAGGATCCGGATCAGGAATGAAGGTCAGCACCATAGATATTCCCTCTACGAAACTTGTCGATGTTCAAACCCCAAGACCAAGTGAGGAAAACAAATCTTCGGACCAACCATTTATAGAATCCGATTCGCCTAACGAGAACAAAGAAAATGAAAAGGCCGGTGAAAAAGTTACAGGATTGGGATTAGTATCAGGAACTTCTGAGAAGGAAACCCATGCTGATGATGAATCTGCGATGAAGACAATTGAAATCTAATGCCAATGCCAACATACTATTGAGTTTGTTAGTTGCATTTCGGGGATTCTTTCGCATTGCATGAGGCGTTTGGGCGTGCGTTGGTATGAAGATTCAGAGATTCATAATAAGAAATTTGAGATATTCTTTTTTTTTTTTCACTTTTTTTTTCAATCTTGTCTCAATGGCATGATATGTATGGCTGCGTGGAAATGTAATGTTTCGTGAGCTAGTTTCTTCCTTTATGAATATACAGTTTGAGGAAGGGTTTGTGGGAGAGAGAGAAAAGGGGTAGTTAGAGCGTATATTTGTGGATGTGTGTATGTGGAGCGAAAATTCATATGCGATTGCGATGAGTGCTGGAGGGTAGAAAGTTGGGGGTGTAGGTAGGGGTTAAGAGTAGGTAGGAGATGGATGTATGTGGATGGCGTAGGGATGAATAACAATTACTTACTTACTTATTGCTCGCTTCCATGTTATTGAATGTTTGAAATAGTTTTTTGATTGTTTTTGATTATAAAAGAATGATTTTTGTTTTGTGTTTGTGTTTGTGTTTGTTTGTGTTTTGTGTTTGTGTTTGGTTTGGTGTGTGTGTGTGTGTATCTAGTGTATGGCAGGGGTTTGATAGTGTAGATTCATTCCTGGAATCTGCTTGAAGGGAGGGGGTAGTGTGGTGGTGATGAGGATGATGCGCGGAGGAGGAGGATGATGATGGGAATGAAATGGGATAGAGAGGAGGAATAGCGAGGCGGAATAGAGAGGAGGAATAGAGCGGAGGATAGAGAGGAGAGAGAGGAGAGCGAGGAAGAGAGAGGAGAGAGAGGAGTCGAGGAGGAGAGGAGCGGGAGAGAGGAGAGAGAGAGGAGAGAGAGGAGAGAGAGATGAAATAGATACGGTGTAGTTGTTAGCTATATATATATATATAAATTTATAAACTCGTAGTAGATAGGAAAGTAGGAAAGTAGATAAGAATATCGATAAATAGATAGATATATAATATCCTCATAAATCACCTCAAACTCCTTCAAATTATTATCATTATCATCTTCTTCTTCATCATCTTCTTCTTCATCATCTTCTTCTTCATCATCTTCTTCATCTTCATACATCACATCACATCAATATGATATCATCTATAACGCGTTCGTGTCCTTATCCTTATCCTTATTCTCCTTTTCTTGCTCTTCTTACTTTTGCTTTTGCTTTTCTAAGAGTTTGGTTTGTTTGGATATATTTCATTTTAATGTATATTTTGTGTTTCATTTTTTACTCGTACTCTACTCTTATTCTATTCTATTCTTTTGACGGCAGGCACGAATAGGTTTTTTGATTGAATGAATGAATACATGAAGGAATAGGAAACTTTGGATTGGCCGGTTGAGATTTTTTGCTTTTTGCTTTTTCTTACTCTTACTCTTTCTTTGCTCCTTGTTGTTTTTGGCTTTGGCTTTGTGCATTTTTATTGTCTTTTCTTCTCTTTGTTGGACTTGGACTTGGATTGGAATGGGGAGTTTGGGAGTTTGGGGGGTGGGTGGGAGGGTGAGGTGGATGTGGATGGTTTGGTTTGTTTTGCTGGGGTGGTGGTTGCTAGGTGGAGTTGTAGTTGTTGAGGGCTGGGGGAAAGAAAGGGAAGAGAAAGGGTGGGGAGTGGAGAGTGGTTGGGGTGTGTTAGTGATGGAATTGGGTGTGGGTGTGTGGGAGAAGGGGAGTGAAGTAGAGGAGGGAGAGGGAAGAGGGAGAGGGGAGAGGGAGAGGGAGAGGGAGAGGGAGAGAGGGAAGAGGGAGAGGGAGAGGGAGAGGAGAGGGAGGAGGGAGGAGGAGAGAGGGAGGAGGAGAGGGAGGGGGAGCGGAGAGGAGCGTGAGGGGAGGGATTGGGTAAATGGAGTTGTGAAATCTAGAAAAGAAATATGGATGAAAAGAGAGAAGAGGGATAGGAAGCCTGGGACTTGGGACTTGGAATTTGAGAAACAACCCGCGAGATAAGAGGAGAAATAAGAAAGAAGATGGTGATTGACAAAGAAGCTTTTGGATTCTGAGTTTAGAATGAAGGGATTGGGCCGAGTACAAGTACTGAATTGCAGTATTATGAGGTTTAAATTTTAAATTGGGAGCTCACCAGGCTAACACTCTGGAAGACAGTCATGTAGAGGAATGGAGTTACTCGAGTAGTTGATAAGATGTAAAGGGGAAGGAGGGCGTTGTAAAGAGGTGTATGAAGGTGAATATATTTGATTATAGATTGTTGGTATATGCTCTTTGATATGAGGTAAAGTGTAGAGAGATATGAACTGAGAAATGGGAAGGGAATCAATGACTTCGGAGTGGTCGTCTCACTACCAGCAAACCATTTATCTCCACTGTTAATTTCTATTTCGATAAATGTGAAAACCGCGATTATGAGCACAACACTCGGAGACTGTGTTTATGAGATCTGAATATTTCCGGTCTTTCGATGGTCTCGGATTCAAACGTTCGTGGTGAGAGTCATCATGGGATTTACTGTAGGCAAAGCGTTTTTGGCAAACGACTCTAAGCGATCAAATATAGATCAAGAACTCTCAACGAAGAACAGTAGCTTAAGTACCTAAAGAAAGGAAGCAAGTTCAAGTTTTGCTTGCCTTGTTCCATGAGTAAAGGCAGTCGAAGCTGCGGTACTACCAAACCACCAGAAAATAATGCGCTTATGAAACAGTTTATTGATCTTATTCAGTAACGTAAACTCGTGAGATTCGCATGACTGATTGCGTACATGTCTTGAGTAGGCTGTTAGGAGGGCGTTCTTAGATTCTTCAACTTCAAAGACTCGAGTTGCGGTTGGATACTAGGTATGTATGACCAGTGAGTTCTCAGCACTTGTCTGATGTATCAAATTGTAACTTTACATAATGATGCTGATTGAAACAGTAGAGCGCCCCGAGTCCTTCATTGTACGAGTAACTGTTATTTTATGCAATGTAGACTTCCACATCAGACTCGAGCAGCTCTTCAAGACTGGCCCAAGGAAATATGTCGAGATGATCTCACACATATGTGTTTAATAGAGCAAACTTCACAGGTACCCAAATAAGGGATCGTACGCAGGGAAGTCATGAAAACCAAACGTGTAGGTTAGTAATAGATGCTTGATCTATCAACCATGCGATACTCTAAAAGCTGCGCTGCAGTTGTATGGCTGGAATTCAAGATTGTCAAGAAAGCTGTTATTGGTGGGAGGAAATGTATGAATAAGCAAGCCATCATTCTCCCACCGCCAAAATTCTCCTCTCATGCCCTGCCAAAAAAGTCTCGATTGGAAGCATCTCGAAGTTAGTAGACATAAATAGACAAATTTAATTAGTCATCTCATAAGCAAGAGAAGAAAACTTTTTAGATACGTTTTTACTCAAAATTACAACCTTCTCTTGATCTCATCTACACTTTTTTGAGAAATAAATATTTTCATGTTCAATATCCTATAAACCCTTTTCGGCCGCAAAGCAATCTCACCTACCGATTTTCGATTTTTCGATCATACGAATTTACACAACATTCAGTTCTAGAAAGAATATAGAAATCTGCCATCATGGCCATGCCACCAGCAATGAACGAACTCCTCAAATGGAGTGTAGAGAACTCTACTGCCACCGCCGCCGATCCTAGCGCACCCCTCCACAAACCAGAGCCCTCCCAGCGGATGCCATGAATGTGCTATTTGGTGGTCCCAGTGACGCCGACCTCATGAAGGCTTCCATATGGGCCGTTCAATCTAACGACCCCGAAGTCACCATTGAAGATAAAGTTATTGCATTTGACAACTTCGAACAACTTATTGAGAACCTCGATAATGCCAACAACATCGAGGTACTCGAGTTATGGAAACCTTTATTGGAGTTTTTGGGACATGAGGAAAAAGAAATCAGGAAAATGGCTGCTTGGTGCATAGGAACAGCAGTGCAGAATAATGAGAAGAGTCAGAAGTCTATGTTAAAGGAAGGGGGTGTGCCACTTTTGGTCAAGATGTGTGTCAATGAGAAGGAGGAGAAGGACGTTAGGAGAAAGGCCGTTTATGCTTTGAGTAGTGCGATCAGAAATTTCCAGGAGGGAATGGATGCTGCGACTGAGGAGCTGGGCAAATTGGGAAGAAGTAGTGAGAAGATTGATGCGGCAGATATGGATGCCTGTGATGTCTTGATTGGGGGATTGAGGGAGGAGGCTGCAAATGCAGCATGAGTGAGGATGAGATATCAACAAGGTTAAAACGATTGAGGGATACGAGTTATAGCGAGAGCTACTACGTCACATGGATGAACCGGGATGGAGTTTTGGAGTTTGGTAGATTAGACATTTGGGAATGACACTGGGACATTGATATTGATATTCTGCCAATCTTGTTAAGGGGGGGAGGGAAGTTGCAACAGGACTTTCTGAATAAGATTGCCACCTCACTGAGGACTTATGATAGAGAATGCATGAAAGTTACATCTACAATTAAACATATAAAGCTTTATTTGAAATAAGTCTTAAAGCTTACTAGGTACCTAATCAACAATACACGTTGAATCCCCAATATAAAACGAATTCATGCATAAATGCAAGTTGGTTGATACCAGCAGACAAGTAATCATCTGAAGCTTTACCCCACCAAGCCCCTCAATTATTGCATGATTCTCACATGTCGCTCACCGTATTGAACAAGTGTTTCCAACCGTCAAATGGCTTTTTGTCTTTGACTCTCGGACCAGCAATGCAATTTCTTGGTTCGACACCAATGGGAAGTTGCCTCTCGCCGTTTTTATTTCAGGGGGCGGATGCTGTCTTGCTTCGGACTTTCGTATAGCTACGTATACGTAGGAAATGGAAAGCGATTACGAAGGATGATGGAGTTAGGTAGCTGGATATTGATCAAGATGTAGTAGAGATTTGGATACATTTGGGTAGATGTGGAAAGTAGACTTTGCTCGTTCTACCAGTACATAGAGCAGATATACGTATGTCAAGACAGCGTTACGGGAGATATCTTGAGATGCCTGCTTGGCAATCGAGTGTAAGACTCGTTCGCTGATGGTATGGTAAGGAACTTGAAGCTATCAACCAATGATGGAAGAGATATTGTATCTGACTGAACATCTAACGCGCGTCTGATGGTGGTACATGAGACTTGAGTGTAGATGTAGTTGTCATCGTAGACCTAGGTGATCTCATGTAACATTGTAGCCTCATCATTTCCAAGAACGGGAATGAGAGGTTATATGTTCGGAGGGTTGGTACGATATACATCCTCTTCTACCTACCTGGATAGAGTCGGTGTGACCTTGAATGACCCTGCTTGCATGGGGGTTGAGTCAACTTGGTTGGAACAGGAAAAGGGGGAAAGGGGAAGATTAAGAAGCTTCCTACGAAGTACCCAGTCCAGTATTGGATACTTTGGCTGAATGTGAATGCTCCTGAGGAACAACGAATGGATGAACAGAACACGAATGGATGAATAGAACACGAATAGAGGAACGGATAACTTGGAAAGCAAAGAAGTTGTTGTCCAATGTCCCTACCCCAACGACACCGACTTCTTCCCATTCACAGCCACCTGGATTTTTCTCACACCTGTTACCTATCCTACCTATCTTATGGGCATAAATAATTCGGAATAGTTACATGCTGCTTTTAATTGTGAATCTACATTGTATCTTGTCGTTCCCCTCTCTGGCCAGCATTTGAAGCTATTTATATATATTACATGAATGCCCAGGTAGATCCGTTCATGACTAATTTACCATTTCTTTCCTCTCTCTCCTGATACCAAAATTCACTCCCACCGAGTCTCACACATACCTCCATCCCCTCATTCCCCTTTCTGCCTATCAAATCCTTCTTCAGCATTCTATTTTAAAGCGGCGAATACCGAATAAGATCGCTTCGCCTCCTGCAGTTGCGGCCCACATTCAAACTTCGTGACATCGTCCTTTCCCATTTACTACGACCACGATCACCAATTCTTTTGACAAAACAACAACACACCTTCTTCTCTTTCAACCATCTTCTTTTTTATCAACCACGAATTAACAACTTCGTGAATCTTACTTTAATACAAAACTCCATCATTCTCGAGATCTTAATTATCACGAGAATTAACTCACCGCCATATTCCACGCCTCTTTTATTTGACTTAACGTCTTAATTTATCAACCATGGAAGGTAAGCTTCATTCCGACATGTATATCGCATGTACATCCTTTGCGCAGCTACATGATTATCATGAGCATCTACTAACATCATCTCTCAATCAACAGAAGAAGTCGCAGCCCTCGTCATTGACAATGGGTAAGCTCCCACCATCCAACAAAATGGTCGTGAGCCTCGAAAGACAGAGGGGTAGCTCTCGGAAGGAATCAACAACCGACCGAGAAACCCCAAATCTTCTACAACGGCGAAGACTCTATGAGTAAGAAGAATGAGACTGATAGGTTCTGTAGTTCTGGAATGTGTAAGGCCGGTTTCGCCGGTGACGATGCTCCAAGAGCTGTTTTCCCTTAAGTAGATGATCATCCTTGCATGCAACTGCTGCAACCCACCACCTTGATTTCTATCAAAATCAATCATCGACAACTATCTCGATGATATTGAAACATCTCTAACATGCAATATAGCTTCCATTGTCGGTCGTCCCCGTCATCATGGGTAAGAATTCCATTTCCACGACACCCCGCCATTTCCCCCCACAACTCGTGTCACCCGAATAGGAACTGATAAGGGATATTATAGTATTATGATTGGTATGGGTCAAAAGGACTCATATGTTGGAGATGAAGCGCAATCCAAGCGTGGTATTCTCACCCTTAGATACCCAATTGAGCACGGTGTTGTCACCAACTGGGATGACATGGAGAAGATCTGGCATCACACTTTCTACAACGAACTTCGTGTAGCACCAGAGGAGCACCCAGTTTTGCTCACTGAGGCCCCAATCAACCCAAAGTCCAACAGAGAAAAGATGACACAAATTGTCTTTGAGACCTTCAACGCCCCTGCATTCTACGTCTCTATTCAAGCCGTCCTCTCCCTTTACGCTTCCGGTCGTACCACCGGTATCGTTCTCGATTCCGGTGATGGAGTCACTCACGTTGTTCCAATTTACGAGGGTTTCTCCCTTCCTCACGCCATTGCTCGTGTTGATATGGCTGGTCGTGATTTGACTGATTACCTCATGAAGATCTTGGCTGAGCGTGGTTACACTTTCTCCACCACTGCCGAGCGTGAAATTGTCCGTGATATCAAGGAGAAGCTCTGTTATGTTGCCCTTGATTTCGAGCAAGAAATTCAAACCGCCAGTCAATCCTCCAGCTTGGAGAAGTCATACGAACTTCCTGATGGACAAGTTATTACCATCGGTAACGAGCGTTTCCGTGCTCCAGAAGCTTTGTTCCAACCATCTGTCTTGGGTCTTGAGAGCGGTGGTATCCACGTTACTACCTTCAACTCCATCATGAAGTGTGATGTTGATGTTCGTAAGGATTTGTATGGTAACATTGTTATGGTAAGATTTTCCATCTGCGAAATTTACAGGAGGTTATGCTAACATTTTCTCTCAGTCTGGTGGAACTACTATGTACCCAGGTATCTCCGATCGTATGCAAAAGGAAATCACTGCTCTTGCACCATCATCGATGAAGGTCAAGATCATTGCACCACCCGAGAGAAAATACTCCGTCTGGATCGGTGGTTCTATTTTGGCATCTTTGTCCACTTTCCAACAGATGTGGATCTCAAAGCAAGAGTACGACGAGTCTGGACCTTCCATTGTCCACCGCAAGTGTTTCTAAGGTATGCAATCATCCCTAGTTCCCATGATGATGGGCCTACGCTAATCACCAATATCACAGCGTATCACGGTCGATTTGTGTTCACATCACGAACTTCACGAATTTGATCCAAAAGAAGATTCGAACAAAACAACAAATCCCAGTGTTTTGTTTCGCCGCGAAGTGTTGTTCCGAAAAGTTCTGGTAGCGATTGAACGACTGGGTGGACTCTTTCGAAGTAACGGATGGGCTTTGATCTAGCTGACTGTTTGCTTGGGGGAGGAATTCGAAATGTCGTATCAATCATACAAAGCTTTTTTTCTTACTTTTTAGTGGTGCCAACTTCTTCATGTGTTTTTGAGCTGCACCATTTTTTTTGTTCTTCATTCATAGCGCGAGAAAGTTTCTTCTCTAGAGAATCAAATTAAAAGGTAGTACACTGATTTATAATTGAGTTCACTCAGGCTTCAAGGGAATGTGACTTTACGCGTGTGATGGTATGATATTGTGTGTATTGGAATGTGCATGATCGATGCTACAATAAAATGTGCTCATCCTTGTGATAATTCAAAATGGATAATTCGTTCCTTATCTCAAATACTTGCCTAGCTCTGCATCGCCCAAGATTCCTTAGCTGCACCTCGCAGCGCGAGTACTACTTCCCTAATGCATTCCTTTCCCCATCGTTCATATCCGAACGACACGACTTCACTTCCATGATTTGTACAAACATTACTGTCATTCATTCTCGGATCACCTTGTGTGTCCTATAACTTACATTCTTCGTGACCATTCTTTCGCTCTCCAATCTCAAAGCCATCTGTTGTCTTCTTGTAATGGCCATGGGATCTGGTACGAGTTTAGGCTTGGGCAGAAGCTTCGACCATGGCATATTCGTCTCGCAATCCTCTTCGTATTCTGTTATGATGGTCCTGTCTGCGTATTGGTTAATATCTGCGTAGTATTGGTCAATCGGTGACGATGGGGAGCATAGTGGTTCTAGAGAAGATAGTGACTGTGGAGGGGGCGTTGAGCGAGGTCTTGGCCGCGCAGGGCTAAGTTGAAAGGTGAGGTAGAGGATTGTGGATGGGGAGGTGAGAGAATACATCCACATGTATCCATCGAGGGATGGAATGATAGCGGCTCTGGGAGGTAAGACACGGAAAGATTTTGAGGATGGTCTGAGGTTCAATAATGCTGGATCGACGGAGATTTCGAGGGCGAGGGTGGAAATTTGGGAGATGAGCCAGCCATAGAAGGGCTCGGTGCGTGAAAGATCTTCGGAAATTCGGTTGCTGATTGGGAGAAAAAGTGTATCAAGACGGCGATGGATATAGAAAGGTTTGTTGCGGATTGTTTGGACAATATATTCGTCGAGGCAGATGAGACGACTTTCTTGGGTCGTGAAGAAAAGGGCTGGAGGTGGTCTGCGACGGGAATATTGCGCTTTTTGTTCATCTAGAGGGAGAGTGTGTTAGTTGATTGTAAGTGTGCATATTTGACAAGTAAAATTGGTGGGCACACCATTGGGAAATCTAAGGAGGGTTCTAAGACGCGGGGGAGGATGGCTAGATGCCATATTTTGTAGCGCAGTTCTGTGGGAATACTGGGGAATAGATGGAATTGGGTGAGTGTAGGTGAGGATGGGTCATCATGATCCCCTTGTTGAATATCACTGCTTGAATACAATCGTGGGAGTAATTTGTGCATTTTTGAGGCTTATTTTACTGTGTTGTTATTCTAAAGAGATGTGGCGTGACAGTTGTCGTCGTATAGAATTTGGGATATATATCAAACATAACTTGATGTTCACACTCGCTTATTTACTAATGCCACGCGGTGTCTTGAAGCTGCGGCCGAGCTTCAGCATATCGGAATCCGTGTCTCGAAACCCAATTAATCTCCAAGCGTCCATAATTTATAGCACATCTGCGAATGGCATGAAACAAATCGGAAAAGTAATGCGATTTCCATAATATAGGATATGTCAGGAAGAGGATATGGAGGTCTCGGGGGGGACCCTTACATGAACAGCAATTCTACTGGATATGCGAATGGGAATGGATATGGAAATGGCAGCTGGAATGGGAATGCAAATACAAATGCAAGTGCCTATCCGGGACAAATAACTGAAGATGGAGACTATGATCCCTATGGCTCCGGCATTGATCGATATGCCACTCCACCCCCTATACCAGAAGGGCTTCGAACGCCATCACCTTCCATGCCTCGAACACCTCGATCGAGAGGTCTTTCACGACCGAGAGAACCAGCTGGCAGACCAAAGTTAGAAGAAACCAATGCGGAGAAACAAATTGGGGAAGTGCTAGAACACATTAAGACGGAATGGCCTGCGTTGTGTCAGAATGAATGTGTGCCAGTACAATTGGCATTGCAGCTTCTAGACACGAGTTCAGTTGGCAAGGCTCATGAATATGCGCAGTTTCAACAATCGATGCAATATTTACAAGACTCTTTGAAGAACATCGTGCATGAACATCATCAGGGATTCAACAGTTCGATTGGTACTTTTCATAAGATTCAAACGAGTATTCAGACGTCGCAGAAGAGGGTACGAACATTGAAAGATTCGCTCGCACAATCGAAAGCTAATCTCTCGACTACCGATCCCGAATTGAGAAAATTGGGCGCGGCTTCGACGACTTATGATGAGTTGTTACATACGCTCTCGGAGGTGGAGGACTTACGGCTGGTTCCGGATCAATTAGAAGCACGGATTTCGGAGAAGCGATTCTTGACTGCGGTAGATGTTCTACAGGATGCGTTAAGGAGAATTCGATCGCCTGAGTTGGATGATATTGGAGGTCTGAGTGAACTGAGGACTTATCTCGCGAATCAGGAAACGGCCTTGACGGATATATTGATTGAGGAACTTCATGATCATTTGTATCTGAAGTCGCCTTACTGCCAGGAGAGATGGCAGATGCTGGCCAAGACTCAAGGTGGTGTTGCGAAGGAGAAGTTCGAGAGTTCAATGACAGTGAGTCCATTTTTTGAGGTTCTTGACACGATGGATTTGGCAGAGCCGATGGTAGAAGATGCGTCCAGAAATCCAGAAGCGGATACGTTCTACTATGTGGAATTGTTGACAGAAGCATTGAATAAGCTGGGTCGTTTGGATATTGCCGTGAATACTATCAAACAGAGACTTCCTGTCGAGCTATTTGGTATCGTCAATGAGACTAATAGCGAAGTCGATCAAAAACATCCAAGCTCTTTACGTGGTGGACTCGCATCCACACAAGGAAACCAAACGTTCTCTAGTCGAGAGAATACGATTCGTACCGACGTCATTTATGATCTATTGTGGACGTTATACGCAAAGTTCGAGGCTATTGCTGAGGGTCATCGTGTATTTCATGATGTGGTAAAAGCTATCACAAAAAGAGAAGGCATGAGGAATTCAGTCATACTTCTTGGTGGTTTCAGGGAACTATGGAATCTATACCAGAACGAAATTCGCTCCTTGTTGCATAATTATGTCACTACAGATGCAGATGTCTATCAATTCGATTCTCCCAGACCTGGTGCATCAAAATCGTCCAAGTTAGAGAAGCTTTTCAGGTTTTCGGATGCGGATGCTAAGTCTGTCTCTATGACGACTGAATATGACGATCTAGAGAACATCATCAGAGCTGCCGTACCGGGTCTTATGTCGAGCTCGAGGAAATCAGGTGCCGATAGTAAGAAAGCGAAATCTTTCTTGGAGAATTCCGTTGGCAGAAATGGAACGAAACGTTTGACTGGTTCCGCTTTCGATGCTAAAACGGGTGGTATGGGAACTCACAAGTCTTTGGTAGAGCCAAGTGTGTTCAACATGAGCCTGTTGTTGCCTCCTACTTTGAGCTTCTTACAGAGATTAAAGGCCATTGTTCCACCTGGTTCGGACTTGGTCACAAGTACTTTGACGTCGTTCTTGGATAACTTTCTTGTCAATGTCTTTCTACCTCAACTTGACGAAACTCTAGGCAAGCTTAGTGATTCAGTATTTGAGGAGACGGATGCATTCCAACAAGATGCACAGTGGGCAAGAGTTGCCAGGCGACCTGTTTTCAAAGGTACAGCTGCTTTCTTTACATTAATTACAGCTTTTTGCAGGATGTTGGACACAATTCCACATGATCAAGCATTGAGTCAACTTATCATCACGCAAATGATGAGATATTATGATAGATGTTATGACTGGTTCAAATCGCTCGTATCTCGAGTTCGAGATTCCGAAGGGTCGACACTGAAGCTGTCTGCACTGCTTGCCAGTGAATCTGGTGATATTCACGATACCATGCAGAAAATATGGACCAGTGAAGAAGTCGATTATCGGTTACTAGACAAGGAAACTGGTCTTTTGATTCTACAGACAAATGAGAATCCTCTTGAGGCGGATGATCTTATCTCGGATCGAGAAACCATCTCGTCTCTTTGCGTTTTATACACCAGTATGAAGTGGTTAGCTATCAAAATTGGTCAGCTAAGACATATCACGAGGAATGATGCAGATTCATCTCGTACACCATCAATGCAGAAACCACCGCATAGACGTTGGACTCTACTAAATGATCCCACGAGAGCACAAGATGAACAGGTCGTGGTTTATCTTCCTATGACGCAAGAAACTGTTGTGTAAGTCTTTTTCCCTTTATGGTTTGATCTATGGCTAACGTGAAATACAGCGCATTCGATTCAATTGTCTCCTCATTCCAAGAACTAGCCGCTACTGTACTCCTAACCCTGCACATGGAAACACGCATTCAAATCCTCCACTCCCTAGCACGCGTTCTCTCGCCCTCCTCGGGATCAAACACTTACCCATATATTCTTTCTCAACCTGTCTCAGACCCTGACCCAACTATCCTTTCTCTCAACGCAGATTTAGTGGCGTATGATGAAACGATAGTGAAGTTCTTGAGGGAGAAGGAAATCAACTTTGTGAGAAAGGGGCTGGGATTGTTGATTGATACATTCATGGTCGACAACGCGCCGAAAATCCAAAGAATCAATAAAGAAGGAGGGAAAAGGATGAGACTAAACGTACTAGTGCTGCAGCAAAACTTGAAGGGTGTAGAAGATGGCGTGGGCTTGATTAGGAGCGGAAGATATTGGGGATTGTTTGAAGAGGGACCTGATGGGATTGTGGGCTGGGCGAAGGAGAAGGGTGGTGCAAATGCTGGGAATACGAATGGAGATGGAGAGGGTGAGGATCAGGGGGTTAAGTTTACTTATGATGAGTTGAAGGGGTTGGTTGAGTTGTGCTTTAGTGAACAGTTGGGAAGTAACGAGAGAGGAATCACGACAGTAGCTAAGAGGGGAATGGGAGAGTGCATGTTGCAGTTGAGTGAGCATATGTGGCAGAGCTAAGTGGGGCTGGAAATTCAGGAAGAGAGTAGAGGGGAGAGAAGGAAGAAGGACATAGAGGTGGAATAAATTAAGCTTACATCACACTCCTTGGGATAGGGTAATGAATAAATGGGGGGACGGATGGATTGGTTGATATGCATTTGGCGTGGAGTTCTAGGAGTGATGGATGGATTTGACAAGATGTATGGGGATTGTCAGGCAGTTGAGGAAATGTATGGTATGGTCTTAGGACTTTGGTGTCGTTGATCGCTAGGTGATGGTTTATAGTTGATGGTGGTAATTAAGAAAACCATGGAAATTAAATCTAGACGTCTGGTATGAGTTCATGAGTGCGCATCAATCTACGTGTCAAGAGGTTCGATTCCTTGGGCTGGGATAGAAGAGGACCTTGTAGATCTAAGATTGAGTGATGGTGATGGTGATGGTGATGGTGATTGTATATAACTTTTGAGAATGGAATGACATGTTGATTTATATACCTTAGGACAAGAGGGACTGCAGAGTCACAGTTGAGCTTTTGATCAATGGGAGAAACAGCTTTTGGTGAACACTACCGATTGCCTGCGAGGTGTGGAACATTGCTACAAAGTCTTTGGTTAAGGTCCTAATTTCACTATTGATAGGATATACTAGTTTCTATAAGTACTCGGTTGTAATGTCGATCAACATGACTCCAGTTCAATACATACCTAGTATAATCACGAACTCCTGGAGAATAAAGTCGAAGAGGAAAGAAATCACGTGATATTATCATTCTCCCCTCGCATACAACTTTTCATCTGTGTTAATTCGTGATGGAAAATTGAAAATGTATTGATAAACTTTGATGCATATTCATACTTGTTAGATATTTGGTCTGATATCGATGTATTAAATAATTTGAACATATCTTGAAAGAATTATCGAGATCACGATTTATTAAGTACAGCTAAGGTTAAGGTTAGGAAACTAATAAAATTTCCAGTACCGTACTACTTTTCAAGGTTATCCTTCCTTACCCCGCCCCCACCACATCCTAAAGCTCAAAAAAGTTCTCACCCTTTCCCGCTGATCATCGCATCACGAGTTTTTTTCCCACTGGTATCTTTCCGCTCCGCCTGGGGATTTTGTATCGCACATTTCTTTTATCCATTCCTATCTCATCTCATACAGTTAGGGGGTTCATAGAAGTATACGCATACATACATACATACATACATACATTTGAAGCTCCTGAAGACGAGCATGGCGCCCTCACCCCTCCAACAGAGAAGAACGCATAATACGTTACTTTTTCAGAAACTGCTGAATTTGAGAGATGGAGCGAGTCCGCTTACGCTGGTGCTGGATTCGTTGGAGCAGAGTGGGAGGTTGGTTGTGAGGGAGTTTTGGAGGAGAGCTTTGGTGAGTTTTGGGGGAGGGGTTTTTTTTTCTTTTGGGGATGGGGTTTGATTGGGAAGGGAGGGAGGGAGGGAATGGGAAGAACTTGGACTTGGAGGATTGTATAGGGAGAATGAGGCTGGGATGATGAGGAGTGAAATGAGGGGAACAGGATGATGGATGTTGTGTACGAGTAGTTCTCGTATCGTGTGGAAAATTTGTGCTGGATCAATGATCACGTGGATGAACGAGTCGTCATGTTTCCTGATAGATTGTTTTGGGATTTTGTTTTCTGGTACGTCTTCAGCTACACTGACCGAAATATACAGATATCAAAATCAAAAGTCATCTTCATATCATTTTCCACTCTCCAGAAACGTTTACCCTTTTCTCCAGATGTTTTTGTCTCGGCTCATAGTAAACCACTTGCTCAACTTCGTCGAGAAATCGTGGCGCATTTACCTTCGCCTACAACTCCCCCTTCTGCTCTCAACAAAGTATGTTCTTCTTCTCTTCTGGAATGGTTAATAGTGGAATCAATCAGCTGACCTCATCCAGAAATCCTCCTCATAATCGATAACCTCCATCCCCTCACAGCTCATCCAGAGCACCTCTCCCCTTTCCTCTCTTCCCTAATTATCCACCCCACAATCTCTCTCCTCTGCACACACCACCTCGATATTCCTCTCCCCTCCTCAACAACAAACCCCTACATCCCCACTCCCCTCACAACTCTCCTCTTCCTCGCCACCGCCATTATCACCCCTCAAAACTTCACCCACGAATTAGCACGCAAACGAGCGCGCGACAAGTCAGCACGCGAGCCTGAATTCGGCACCGCAGAAGGAAAAGAAGGTGTACTTATGGGTTTTGGCAATAATGCCAGTATGACCAGCGATGCGAAAAATGGGGAAATCGTCCTAATCCTCGAACTGCGCCGGAAATCCGGGAGAGGAACTCGTGAAACTTTCATCTACACACCGCCCTCACATCATACCACATCTCCTACGACGAAAGATATAGGAAGTATTCAACTTCTCGATGAGCATCCCGCATTCGCGGTCCCGGATATTTCGGATGCTGCGATGGGGAAGGAGGAGGAGGAGGGAATAGAGGGCGATGTAACATTTTCGCTGGGATTGACGGAGAAACAGAAGAGGGATAGGGAGAATGTTGTACTACCGTATTTCGATGCGCAGAAAGAGGGAGGCATTGGGAGTGGTGGAAAGATTCTCTATGAGATGGGGGCGGAGGATAGAGAAGATTTTGATGATGAGGAGGATGAGATTTAGGGGGAAGGGAAGCGGGTTTGATTTCCCGCTTATTTGGAAGGACATTTTGATGATGATGTCATGTCTGGAATAGAATGAATTTTTGAGATTGAGATTTTTTTTTGGTGGATAGGATGATAGATTAGGAGTTCGTATTTTATCTTTCTTGAGGATCTGTGTAGGTAGGTACCTAGGTAGCTAGTGTATGAAGGGGAACCAGCAACTCCATGATTGATAGATCAATGAACGAAACTCGATATAATCCATAAAATCAAATAAAATACACACACAAAAACATCTCATATTCGAAATCGTTTGTAGAGAATTATGTACTAGGTACCTACCTACATATCACGTTTCATTAAATAATGGATGATTACTCGAATAATGTATGTAATCCTATAAGGTTACTTGTCACTTTGTAAAATTTACTACGTGGAAGGGGAATGAATATGTTTTTTTTTCTTTTTTGGGGGGGGGGGGATTTTGGTGTTTTGGTGTGTAGGGTGGTATTGGTAGGAGGGAGAAGGGAGGGAGGGAGTTTGATATAGGTATTGGTATTGTGTACTGTGTACTGTGTATTACTATGTATGTATGGATATATGGATATATGGATGTATGGATATATAGATATATAGATATTATTATATATGAATGTATGGATATATATATATTATTATATATGAATGTATGGATATATAAATATATAGATTTGGGAATTTGGGGAAAATATAATCTTGGGGGGGGGGGGGGGGGGGGGGGGTTAATTATTATTAGTGGGGATTGGAGGTTGAAGGGAGGAGGTTCTGGGGGGTGAGTCGGATTCGTCCCATCTAATTTGTTTTGTTTCGGCTCGGCTCGGCTCGTCTTGTCTCGTATGGTTGTGTTTTTGTTATGGTGGTTGGATTTTGTTGTGATTGGATGTGGTGAGGTTGGATATGGTGAAGTTGGATGTGATGAGATTGGATTTTGTATTGGCTTTGATCGCTATTGAGGAATGTTTAGGTTTCAGGTTTGATTTGGTGGGGAGGTGATCTGGTGGGGAGGTTGAATGTGGTGAGGATGATATGGGTGAGGATGATGTAGATGATGAGGTTGGAGTTGGGTTTTCTGTGATTAATTGGGATTGGGTTTGATGGAATGGGTTATACAAGTATAAAGAATTGAATGGGCTGAATTTTTTCTTTTGTCGATGTTTGTGCAAGATGATGGAGGGGAAAGATCGGAGATGGAAAGGAGGGAAACGAAATGGGAAATGGGAATGGGAAGAGGAGTGTGGAGGAGAGGAGATGAGATGGATAGACGTTGGTGAAGGGCGGCGGGGTCTAGTATATGATTATGTGAGTGTGTGTTTGCTTTTACTTTTACTTTTGCTGTGTTGTGTTGTGTTGTGTTGTGTTGTGTTGTGTTGACATTTATTTATTTATTTATAGATGTGGAGTTTATATACCTAGATATCCAACGTCTTCTGTATGGATATTGGTTTTATATAATATGGATGTTGTGTAGATATAAAATCGAACTGATCTCATCTGTTCTTTGATTATAGTATATGTATGTACGTATATGTGTGATTTCTATATACAGTTTACACATGTAATTCTCATACAACTTATATATAATGGAATCACAGTCGTAATTACATCAGTCAGAAAAGTACGAGATGTTGATAGAGTATAATTTCTTAAATATATGCATAGGATACATTGGAACCTGCAGTCTGGATTCCGGAGTCTGAGAGGAATGTTGTTTGGTAAGGGAGAGAATGAGGGGATGGAGAGAGCGGAGGAGGAAGGCAGATTCAAGGGGTGGGAATTGGGAGGAATGGAATGGAATAGGAAGGGAGGGAGAAGGAGTGATGTATAAATATCGTATCCAAGAATGAGAATACAGAAATAAGAAAGAAAAGAAAGAAAGAAAGAAATCAAAACAGCGAGGAATAAAATCTCAGATTGAGGATATACATACAACTAACTACACAGTATCCAAAAAATGAGTAAATAATAATATCCGCGCCAACTTCCCCTTTTTTTCCCCAGATACCCACAGAATACCCTTAACGACTTACCAAATCTGATCATTCCGCCAATCCATGCATGTACGTATGTAAATCATTCACGACGACTGACTACCTACCTAGTATTTCAAACATTTCAAACATTTCAAACAATTCCAAATAGTGATATTCATTATCAGATCGCACTAAAAATTAATCCCCACCATCCAGACCCAAAATGCAGATTCCCAATTGAAATTCCAGAAACACGGAAAGAATGGGTGGAGAGGAGGTGGAGCGGAAAACACGGAGTGTGATATATACGAGGAAAGTGAAGCTATTCACTCTCTAACTTAAAAATCCTATTGAAAAAATTGGGGGACTCCGAGACACCAAAAAGACCCTTTTGAAGATCTTGTCAAAGACCCTTCGATTCAGGGTCCTCCGATCTGTATCGCTGTCTCACAATGTGAATTTGGGTGTGCGAATCGACGCTATCTATTGCTTGACAGCTGCTAGTTTGCGCACTATATCTTGTGAATCACCTCTTCCATTTACCGCTAGTTTGAGGACTGCAACAAAGGGACACAAAACAACACCGATACAATAGTACACACCAATAGTTAACTTTTCTCCATTTGTTCCAGAAGTCTCTAGTGCCGTGTAACAATAAACGTTGTTCAATAATTTCTTTATATTATCGAGCACCGGTACAACATCCAAACAACAATCCAATAACAATCCAATAGTTCTCAAACAAAGGCGGACACGTGGCTATAAAACGCCACATATAGGACCCCTTGTCGATCTCTTTAGATTTCCCCATCCACTTAGATTCGCGACAAAGTAAATCAAACATTCTAACGAGTCCCTTAATAAGCTAAACCAATCAAGTCTAGTCTAGTCACTCTAGTCTCAAGTCAAAGTAAGTCATCCTAATTTCTCTAACCATGGACAACATTATGAATCGACCCGAACGATTCAGCGAAGCAAACCAAGATAAAGGCTTGGGAGAAATTCTAACACCATCAGAATACCTCAATCGCGGAATCAAAGTGATCCGCGCCATCGAGGACGCCATCAACACCACCCCTCGTCAAGACACTCCATTTCCCGATTGGAACATCCGCTATTTCAACCCCCGGCGGACGCCATGGTCAAGACAGTATTGAAAGACTCTGTTTCGGCGCCATGCGCAACATCCTCACCGACCCAAAGCATCCTATCGACTTCGAAGGCTATCACTGGTCCGAAGTCAATTTCCATTCGAAAGGATACACCAACAGGGGGTTTGACGCAGTTTGGCCCGGATTCAATTGTGTCTGCAACGTGTGGGTATCTGCGAAGGTGGGTACAGTCATTGTGCAAACGTCAGCTACGGCGACTGATCTTGACATTCCCGGACTAGATACACCACGTCTCTACAATAGTGAGCTCATCTACCAAGCTTGGCGCGATGCGGTCACTGCGAATGTGACAGGTTCATCTCCCCAAGTAGTGTCAAAACTTACAGATTTAAAGTACATCATCCGTGCTCCAATTGGTAATTCAGGAACCCTTGCTACCATGAGAGATGTTCTTCTCTCGCAAGGTGTCTCGAAAGGCCAAATTGAAAGTGAAGTGACGGTGAAGCGAACTTTTGACGACCCATCGAGTGATGAGTTCAAAATGTTGATGGGGACCGTAAACGGAAGACCCATCGGCAGATTGTGCGCTGATCACGCGGAGAGCTTGAACGGGAACAGGTACAGAAGATACATGTTTGGAACAAATTCATACCATTTTTGGCGCCATGATCTTCGAACTAGGCGAGGAGAAAGCTTCGACCGAACTCGAGAGAGAAAAAAGCGCCCCTAGTCAAGGTAAGTCAACCACCACACACGCTCCTTCCCAAAAACCTCAACCCCCCCAACTTCCCCCAGCAGCCCCGGCCAAAGTCACTAGGAGGATTAGCGAGAGGGTAAAGAATTTGATGAAGAAGTTTGAAGAGTGATTCTCGGTAACGAGATAAGAAGGCGCTAGCGCTAAGATATCTCAAATGTCATCAGTAGGCTTGGAGTTTAGTTTGCTGATGTCTATTGATACAAAACACCTTCGAGCCTCTTCCTACTTTGGAGTTGGGTCTCTTCTTTATGAAAGCGTTTTCCATGAAAACCAAAACAAGAATAAAAATTCAAAAATACATAAAATATAAAAACCAGAATAGAATTTGAGGAATGAGATAGTCTTGATTAGAAAGGTGATGAAAGTCTCAGTGTGAAAATTGAACATAGTGCCAATGCACTAGCAAAGTAAAATAAAATGTCAACTACCTGACCAAAGGCCATCCGGCCCCAGGGCAACAGCTATCCCCTACAGTACTCATATAATCTATGTCAGCGTAGTCGACTGTCTACATGTACAAGATCTCTCAACTCTCCATCTCTCCTCCCCCAATCTTCCACTACCCACCAACCCCTCCATCCCAAACATCTTGCACCAAACCAGAAACTCAACTATCTGTACTAAGATCATATACAATATGTAAGTATCCCAAAATCTACTGAGTGACTGGATAGCATATATCTTTCGCATCCCTCCATAAAATTTCCGTTACATCACGATCTTCTCCTTCCCCTCCATTTGCACTAGCGTATGAAAATTGAAAATCAAGACAAGAAATCAATTCAACACGTAGGCTCCCCTCTCCATCCTCAAAATTTTCCATTCAATCTTTCTCAAAAGATATTCTTCAAAAATCCATTTTTCTTACAACCTAAACACACGCAAGAGGTAATAACAGCAACAACAGTACATAGACAAAGCAAAGGATTCAATCCCCAAGCGTGGGGCAATCGCGGCTCGAAAACTGCAGTATCAAAAATGGGGTTTGCAGTAGACATGTGGATAAAAGAAAGTTCCTCTCACCTAAATCTTTCATGTTGGCGACGATGCTCGTATGCACATCTACACCTGCATCTAATTATATCCTCAAGTCTTTTCGGATATATCATTAAGAAGTTTTTAAATCACGTGAACATGCAGGAAGGAACCAAAGCAGTACCATGAAGTGGATTGAATCTCGCAAACCCAGTAAAATCCCGAGATTTTCAAACCCTGCCCACTTACCGAGGCGAGACGGAGATGCCTCCGTAGAAAAGATGGAATCCATCCAAGCGGTATGGATTGCAGATATCCCATACTTATTTTCGATATGTAAAGAACGCCCTGCAGTACAGGCTGCACTGCAGTATCGAGCAACTATCGAATTCCGCCACAAAATATTCAACAAGCTCTCTCAGCTAGCACTGCTAAACAATGCAAGATTCGTAATGTCTGACGCCACCAAGAAGAGGTCAAGAAGCTAACGTGCACGAAGATATGTAACTCCTGAGAGGGTAGATGCGATTGGCAGATATCATAACCCAATGGAGAAGCTGTATGCAGTGGAAGTCGTGAAGAGTAAAAACACCGCTGAACCATAGAACGCTTGGACGTGTAAAACAATACGAACTTGAATTCAAGTTTCAGATGGTCGTTTTCTGTATTCTCACCTCGAAATCATAAACAGGCAATTTGAGAAACGGGATCTCCAAGAACATAATCACATAGTGACCTCTCTGACCTTCTATCCCCTGTTTCTGTTATCAGATGACTTCTCATTCAACATGAACTCTATGATACTGTCTGATCTATATTGAGATGGCCATTTTTCCAGTGACACATTTGGTTATACTCGCGAATGTTTAATGAGCTAACATTTCTGTAGTCAGATTGATTAGCTTGACTAAAGGCGGATGTAAAACATTCAGCAGTAAAGTAACAAGGATGGCGAGATTAGAGGAGTTCACTGTATACAACGTGGTAAGTTAGTTCATTAATATGTCTTACGGCAGTTGGCCTAGTTGATCTGCGAACCAGATCATGCAGGAGGGAGAGTTAATGCAAGTCCCTGCTCCTGTTTCTTTAAGCCTAAGAGGTGATTCCCATAGCCGAAAACATCTTGCCATGAAAGAATTGCTATCTTATTAAATGAATGGAGATGAATGAGAAGGCTCACGGCCTGAAGGGGCGTCATGATGGGATATTGTGGAGTGAAGTACGGTGTGAAAAGGAAAATTGTCAAGGAAGAAGAGAGGGGCAACAGGCTATACCGGCAAACATGAAGTGGGGAATTCCGCCCCACTCACCAAAGCGGAGTGGATTGAAATGTAGTTATCCAGCAATCCGAAATATCGCTAAACCTTCATCCGAGCTAAACGATGAAACTCGATAAATGACAGCGGTTGCGCACCGCGCTTGACAGCCACAATATATTAAAGTTTCGGCTCTTCCCCTTCTCATTTCTGGGGTTCAATCCAAGTCCGAGGGCGAGGGGTAATTCTTGCCTTGTGTACAATTGGAAACGTTCATGATATTCGGCCGGTGAACCAATTACACGAATATATTCATATTTTGTTTCCTGTTTAAGAAAGATTCAGTGCAACTGATTTGTAGCCAAAGTGGACCGTCTCACAGTAGAGTTACTAAATCCTCAGATGCTGCATGCATGAAAGTGGTACGATGAAGACTCTCTACCCTGTCTACTCTGGGTGATCAGACTTGAGGACTAACCATCATGGGAAGGATAGTTGGTAATTATCAATCAAGATTGAGGGTCTTCTCAAAATTTAATCACTTCAACGTTGGCATACGAGAGTTGATTGAAACATATTGATATTAACAACAACAGTATATAGATGATATGATGAGAAGCTTCATTTTACTTTTATGAAACGGGTGCTTAATGACAGGGAATCGGGTGATAGACCAACTCCAAATTGCCCCCCATCTTCAAGTCTCTCCGATGAGATTAAATTCGCGGGGTGGTCTCAAACACTCATATATGATTCTTGAGTCAAAGCCCTAAGCATGAGTAAGAGTAGTATGGTTGATACTGCCATGGAAGTTTTATCTGCCGCGCCCTTAACGGATAGCGCGAGTAAGAAAAATCAAGGTCTCTTGGAATGCAAACCCTCTGCAGCTCAGAGCATTGATTTCAGCAGATTCATTCTTTGCTAATCCTCTTGAGACACTTGGGAATCTAAGCGGTAGCGAATCAAAATAGATGTGATGTCCGCAATACACACGAGATCATCAATCTTCAATACGACGCAATGGCAGTTGTGATCGATCGTGTTCTAGCCAGAAATCTCTTCTAGAAATTGAAAGACGAACCTAAACGGTTGAAGTTTGCGAATTAAGCAAAAGAAAAACATCCAAACGTGCATATTTCGAGGATTTTGGGATCTTACTTGAACCAATGCATGCATAAGAATTGTCACTTAAAACCGCATGCATCAGTACGGAGTAAGATCATGAGAATGGAAGCGAAAATAGTCTTTCCAGGGGTGATTCGGGTCTGGGAGCGGCCTAGCGCTCCGTAACTAATCCTGCGTAATCTCTCAAATCCATGAAAATCTTGTTGGAGATTGCACTATCTGATGACCCAAATACAATTGAAATAGGCCCTTAAAGATTAGGACGAGCTTATGGAGCATCAAATGAGGAAAAGGCTAAACCAAGATTGGGCAAAAGCTGTACTGCCTCGTAAACTCGCGTTTGACCCGCAGTGTCTGGTTGCTTTTTATGTGGTCAAAAGTGGCTTGTAGTATGATCTTCGTACCCATCAATATCCCGTGATAGAGGCTCAAAGTGAAATTACCGTACAATGAGGTCAATTGTGATTTGCACAACCTGCGAATATGATGGCTGTGAAATCGTGTATTGCGGGAAGAGCAGCCGATTACAGCAGTATGAACATGTGAGATATGGATTGATTGTGTTGACAGCGATATTTGCATGGTTCGTAATCAGATGGTTGGGGACCCTGTAGGGTTTCAATCTGCCTCCGCACAGACCTTGGTATGTCGACGAGAGGATGCAATTCGATATAGGAAACGATTAGAATGATGAACGTCTGTGCAAAAGCCTCAAAGAGCAGGGGGGCCTTCAGGTTGAGGTGAGACTTACATGGTCGGTTGTAAAGGCAATGTGTGACCAAGATATTTACTGTTTCGATTCGGCACCAAATGGAGAACTCGGGAGTCTGTGCAAAAGGCATAAGTTTATCGGATGAGACCCTTGAGAAGTCGGGACTAGACTGCTTCTAATTCTAAAAGATAGTCAACCAAGTGTTTCTTGCTCGGGTCTCGCGTAAGGTAGCTAGGATATATCAAAGACTAGGACGGAGAGAGCGTAGAGGGAGGAAGATCGAAAGCGATTTGAACCGATCAGACATCTTACGTAGGGAGGTAGACCAGTGGTTCTATGATGAATTGATCGCTTTTATGAATGCATCCTTGGACCATCACTCTTAATATAGATTTATCTTCCACATGGAGTTGAATTGGTGGCCCTCTTCGTATGCAATGATGGCTGTGGTGTGATAAGAAAGAGAAGATGATAAAAAAAAATGGATGGATGCATTGGGGGTTGATTAAATCTCGAGCTGTCGTTGCTGTTGCTGTTGATATTGTTGTCGGTATTGATTTTGAGGTTATTGATGTTGATGATAATGATGATGATAATGGTGATGATAATGATGATGATGATGATGTTGTTGTTGTTGTTGTTGTTGTTGTTGTTGTCAATAATGGAAATGGAAATGGAAATGGAAATAGAAATGTTCACTGGCGCTGGTCATCGATACCTACCTACCTGTCGCACAGACACTTTAGCTGGGAGTACGGTAGGTTGTATGATCGCACGGTACTTTGACAAGAGATGACGACCTCACTGCCTTACTAATTTACCACCTCACCACCTTACTACCTTACTTCCCTACGACCTATTGCCTAGCTACCTCAAAATTAATCAATTCCTGTCAATCTCTCCTCCGTCTTCTCCTTCTCCCTCTCCCTCTCGTCATACACTCGTCGGCGGGGTAAACAATCCCATCACTCTGCGGGTAGCTACCGCATTTTTATAATTAATTCGATCCATATTGGAGACATTTTGGCTTCCTTACTAAAAGATGTCTTGTCTGTCTGTCTGTCTCTGCTCAGGTAGGTAGTATCAATTATCAAATACCTTCCTGCCTTCCTTTCCTCTCGCAATATTGACCTCATCGATCAATTGAAAGCATCCAACTAATCATCTTGCTAGATACTCATACCACTATCTCGAATCTCGATCTCTCTACAAACGAATGAAACGATCCTCGTGCAATTACAAAGGGAATATGCAGCCAGCCGTTTGTGAGACTTGACTAGGGAAAATACCCACCAACACGACAGGGTCATAAACAAGGAAATATATGCGACAACCACATTCGATATACAGGATATACAAGATATACAGTAGGATACTCGAATGCAGAATTTATCAAGTGAACGAGTCTCGAGCAGGTGATGCCAAAATGCACCTGGGCCCAACATCCACTTGTAGATCCAACCCACTTAATGTATTGCCATGCAATTTGATTTCGTTTCTTCATACTCAACCGGTTCGCGACTTCACGTTATCTTATCAAAGATGAGAATGTATGCGCTCCACTTACGCATCGACATCTCTACGACTTCCCAACATCCATTTTGACGAAAAAGTTTGGAGATGCCGACCCATTATTCTCGCAAGACTGGACTTATTGAGTTGAATCCACGAGGATCTACCACCAACCAAAGTGTCGGGTCTCCAGTAAAGCAAGGGGGTGAAGAGTAAGCATTTCATGGGTCAATTGGATGGGTGACATCGTGAGAACGTCACTTGCAGTAGATTTGTGATGGCATAGATTTCGAGCCCCAGCCGTGGAGATTCTTGGTGAGATCCGTCTAGCATTCCCCACAACTAATCACATACGAAGTTTGCATGGTTGGCGTCTCACGAATCTATCATCCCCCAAATCTATGATGGAGGTCAATGCACACAGTCACGACTGACTGAGATGTGTGGCACACACATGCAACTAGCTACATGCCACAACATCTCAGATTTTGGGTTTTGAGTTTGCAAGTTTTACAAATTTACGCGTTATGATCCAGATAATCTGTTCTCTCGCCACAAGCTGTGGCAATCAGCAATCAGCATCTCGATGCTCAATCTTCTCCAATTTGCAATGCCCCTAAATTCGAAATGCTGGTCTACCTAAAGTCGCACTTATTCTGTCACTATTTTGGTTCAAAAACAGTGCCATGCATGGTTGTCAGGGTATAGAGCCAACCATTGGTGAGAATTTCCAAGGCTTCAGCCCTCAACAAGGGTTGATCAAATGCAATTATCCGGGACACAAGTCAGTCTGACACGGCCATATCCGTACAGTACCATTTCCACGGGATCAAGCCGTCCGCCCCCCCCGGCTTAGTATCGCGTCTCGTATTGGCTCTTTATTCTCCTCCCATGGCACATCACGACTCTCTACTCTAACCCAGCGAAAACAATTTACCGTCCAGATGGGCGCATGTTATGTACAGTTTGTTCAACCACATAGGGCTGTTCAGGCTTGAATATAATGCCCCTCTTCTTCTCAGTGATTTCCTGAGACCAGCAATTGACTCGAAGCCTCGAGCGTTTGCTAATGTTTGCTCCACTAAGCCCGAATAACTCATCACATATGCATGGATCTAAAAGTACTCCGCGGCGAGCTTTCCGAGCCCCGCCAATTTATCACATCTTTCTATCACAATTTGATATGGTATTTGCATATACAAACATTTCTTTCATTGTTAAGGCCGCGTAGTGCGCTGGAAAAGATTTTATCTGACCGTGGAATAAGTTATTCTATGCATACCGATCCGATAATATCAGCCGATCGGGCTCTAGGCTGATGCTAAGAATTTACTTAGAACTAGTTATTATAGTAATGGCGTTCGACATAATCCATACCTCAAATGTCGCCAACAGATTTCGCTTCAAGCCACTTTAAGCAAGGTCGAATTCATCACTCCCCCATGAGATCTCTAGACCTTATCCTTCCCGCCTCCACTATGGATTTAATCCCAGTGCTTATATCTTCTTGTATCATGGCTCATGGTAGATCTTGCTTGGTGCCTCGCAAGATCCATGACCCATGAGGACTTGACCTCTTTCGAAAGATGGTAGTATATCCCTTTCATCAAAAGCCTCAGCGCCACACACTGTAGGTTCACAAGGTAGCCGATGCTGCCTCGAATTCTGACGTGCTGGCATGATGTTAGCGTCCTTCTGGATCACGACCATGTCAGTTTCCGATTGGCCATCACTCTAGCTACAATGTCTTCGAAATTGCAGCCTTGGTCAGGTATCTCATAGATCCCTGCCAGTAGCAAATCTATCAATCACCCTTTTAGGATATCGTTTGTATGGGAATGATTTCAGCAGTAAAGCATACTAGTGAATTGCCAGCCTTGTCTGTTTTTGTTTCACTATCTCTGCCTCCCCGGTCAAGGCACTCGATTGGAATAGTTGGAATCGCACTGTACAACCTTGTCTACCGGCACTTTCACCAGTAGTGGGGAACAAGTCTATATGAATCAATTTCCTTCCATTGCTTTAAAGGCCGGAAAAGACTTGTCCAGATCTCACAATACGCATTCATTTCCAAGGTGTGACGCATATACAAATACTGAACATATTTCCTTCCTCAATACATACACTTTCTCAATAACTTCAACCTCTTTGATCATCTTCAGTTCATATCTGTTCTCAAGTCACTTCTTTCTTCAAGCTTTTGTGTCAACTTGACGAAGTATCAACTTCAGATCAATCTTTACACTATCAGCAACAACAAGTCTTGCATCAAGCAAGAAAACTCGAAAAAATGACGATTATATCACACACATCAGGCAACGCCTGGCGCTGGAGTGAGGATTCTCACATTCCATTTTGCTATATGGATACAGCCGGCATGGTTCAATCTATGAATCCCCAAACAACAACTTCAGCAGGCTTAGGGAGAGCAACCGTTGCTGCTCCCATCATGCCAATAAGCTCTTATGGTGGCAGCACTTTCAACATGCCCAATAGCCATCAACAGATTCAACAGAACTCATATGGTTTCACATCTTACAATGATGGTAGCTTAAACACTATCATCCCAACTTACGGAGCCAATTACATTCAGCCACGACCTCTTCCCGGCATGATGCAATCTTTTGCTCCTACTCCAAAACAGGCACCTTTCAACGGAAGCAACCGACAAGGATTTGTGGGAAGTACGCATCAAAATCAAAGTCCTCAAATCAAACCTGAACCTTCATGGGCAACACCTGCAGGTCAAAAATCACCACCGAAAACACAATCAACCCCACCACCTAGCAAAGACATGAATCCTCTTCCTTTGACTGGCTCTGATGAGGCACACATTGGGAGCACAGCAATTGACCGACTTATGAAAGTCATTCAAACTAAAGCACAAACATTGCAAACGCAATTACCACCTATTCCTCAGATTACAACTGTGGTAGGTGCACCCCACACCCTTTCTCGGCAGGATTCAATGTATCGAAGATTTTATGGATATGAAAAAGAAGAAAAGCAAATGCTCACATCTGGTAAGGCTTCGAGTGAACCAGGACACTCCAAGAGAAAAGAGAAGAAGTATCGATGCACTTTCGAGAATTGTCCATCAAGTTTCCCACAGAAGACACACTTGCAAATCCATCTCCGAAAGCATACCGGTGCAAAACCATATGTAAGTAGTCAGAATCTATGCATGTCACTTAATATGTACACCAAACTAATAGTATGTGTTTAGACATGTAGCTGGAAATCTTGCGGTCGACAATTCTCTCAAGCAGGAAACCTCAAGGTAAGAGTTCCCTTTTGCCTCTCATCTGTCAAATTTCATGCTAATCAAGAATCTCCTCAGACGCATATGAATCGTCACAGTGGCGAACGACGCTTTTCTTGCGAAATATGTGGCAAGCGTTTCGGACAACCAAGCAATCTGAGTGCTCATGGAATCGTTCACACTGGCGAAAAACCCTATGAATGCAAACTCGACGGATGCGAGAAACGTTTCACACAACGTGGTAACCTCAAAGTACGCTAACTCATTAACTTCTTATTTTTACCTTTCCTTTCATCGTCCCACTCATGGAATAAGCTCTAACATTTCGTCAATCAGACTCACCACAACAACTTTCACCAGCAAACAATTGAAAATCTCTTGTTGAAACTTGAAAGCGGCGAAATCGACCTGGAGGCTAACAAAGAATTCTGGTCTTACTTCTCCGATCTATACAAAAACAGTAACAAGGGCATCAAAGGACGAGGCAAAGATAGAAACATCAGTCCCCGAAGTCGATTATCCAAGAGCGGCCATGCAAGTACTGGTACAAATGCTAGCCGTTATATCTCGTCTAACATGCGGAGTTGTCATGGACTCATGGGCGTGGATGCAACCTCACCATTCAGTAGTGATGTAACGATGTACGATTCCGATGCGAGTCTGAGGAGTCATACTAGTGGAAGCATGAGTGTACATAGTAGTTATGGTTCTGTCTCCAGCGATGGAACGGCATCTACCTGCTCAAGTTCATCAGACGAAATTACCTCAGATTATGAGGATCATCGTGGTGAAAACTCAAGAGGCGGATTCTCTTTTGGAGAGAGGCTGTACTAAGCTTCTGCTAATAGTTCAAGACAAGAAAGCTCGGGGATTGGTGAGGGGAGGGCGAGCACATATAACAAACGTACAAAGTTACGAGAAATGCAAGTTACGAACGAGCAGAAAAACGAAAATGGACGAATGGTAGAAAACTATCTTCATCAACACGACTATCATTCTTATCATCATTATCAAACGACCGCGCACACGACCATCTACAAAAAAGCGTTGTATTTTTACAGCACCAGACCGAGTACCTACCCATCACTTCTGTATCAGAAGTAGTTTATCTGGACATTTTTCTCTTTTATTTTTTTTATATCTTTCATTATCACAATCATTTCATTCTTCCATTTTTCATTTTTTACTCATTTTTACCGGGTGGTACAGTCAATACAAAATCTTACAAACTGCGGATATCATGTATTTCTTAGGAAGGGCAGGGATCTTTGTATTTTGGGCAGACAATAGTGGAACGGGGAGGTATTAGTAGATGTATGAGGACAGAATGGGAGTGGGGCAAAGGGATGGAGTATATCTTGTATGGATAGGTTGAGGAATCGATGAGGGGGGGAATAAGTGGAGAGAAAGTGGGAAAGGAGAAGTACAATATTGAGTATAATTATCACAATAGTTGATAGTCAGATAGTCGAGCGAATTAGATTTGTTAACGAACAATATGACCACATTCTTATCAATTAAGCTTGATCCATTTCAAGTTGTTCAATATTTCCAAGATCCCATGGTGATAACCATGCGCTATTCTAAATACTGCTGTGGAGTAATCTTATGTTTTACACTTACTGAAGGACTAGAACTCAAGATATGGATACCAAAACAAAAGGTGCGAGTATATCGCTATTGAATCTTCTCCAGACCCTCAAAGAAGTTACACGTAGTGACCACTGACCGAATGCCATGAGGCTGCAAGTATTGACATCTCATCCATCCCTTACCTTAAACAGCCAGCCTCACAGCTTTCGCCTCGAATCATCCCGTACCGATTATTGGAACCCGACGCGAGGGAGAAGGAGATCTTGGTAGGGAGTTGCCTGTTTCCGATTTCTTCCTCCCAAACTAACATTTCAATGTGAACTAACACACCGAAAAACTGCAGAGAGAAATCTCTAAAATGAACGCACGTATGTGTACAGATTACTGCGCAAACAGCACGTGAAAGAATGTATGAATTGTTCTACACGGTATGTAGGTACAGTGTCTTCAACCACGGCAATTGCCTCGCTTTCGCATTGATCTTCACACCGAGTACCTACCTATCTGCAAGCAAGCAAGCAAGCAAGCAAGCAAGCTCTGCTCTGCACTGACGAAATCTCTGATGTTGCACTGCTTCTACATACACACACATACGTACATGGTGCATAGTACATAGGACGTACCCGGGGGAACAGGTAGGGTATGTACGATTGATGCGGTTCTGCATGCATACTCGAGCATTCACCGCTTCACCCCAGGTTACATTCTGTTACATACACCACCTACCGATGCTGGGAATGGCGATATGAAATCGTCACTTTGACAAACGAATCGTGGTCAATCTGGCATGCATCAAACAAATATCGCACGACTGACTCAAGCCATTTCTTCACATCCCCACGTGCGATTTAAACGCAGGATTAATATCCTTCCATTCCATGTCTTTCTTCGTTTGAAGTAACGTTCCGTACGTATATGCCGTATACTAGGTGGGTATGTAAATTGAACAAGCGTCGCATCACACTAAACCCTTTTCAAATAAGCTTATCTCCTATTTCCTATCACCGGACTGGGCTGAATGGGGGAATGATTAATAAATTGCTGAGTCTTCGAGTGTTTGATCCACTCGAGCCACTTTGGCAATCCTTCAATCACTCAACGATACCTGCAGAAACCATTTCGCTCCTTTGGGAAATGTGTGGAGTCCAGGTTGTTGAGCTTGTTACGGGTCTGCATTCCCTCTTTCATCTCCATCCGCATCTCGCACAGATCTTATGATCTCATCTCGTTGCAAACGAAAACGCGGGAAACAATCCCAGCATGTCTAACAAATTTAGCAAACCCGGCAACTAGCAGTAGTCAGTAAGGTTAAACTGGCAGCTAGCAGCGGGATGGAATCTAGATCTGCCGCGCTCCCCCCTTTAGTTGCACCTGTCTTTGACTTTTCTTTCGATTCGTCCGAGATCTGAATTGGAACTAGTGTGCAGGTCTGGATTTGTTTGGCATGCTTATGGCAACGATTGGTATGCGCAAGGGAAAAATTCTGAACCAGGCAATTCCCCTAGGCTCGTCAAATTTAGGAAATAATCGGTCGTTTTGGGCATAAGTGCTGATGGTTTTTGGCCATTCAAACCCAGTGTGGGGTTCTGTTCAATTCTGGCTCGATTTCCCGTTTCCTGTCTGCGTCTGTGTACAACAGGACATGGGCTCTTTCGATTCGCAATGCGATTCATTGTCCATGTCATGGATTCTACGATCTTGACGGCTTGGCCTATGGCGCGGCGCGGATGGGACGGTACATGTGTGGCACAGACTGGAGGATGCTCGAGAAACTAGCTTTTGGGTACACACTGCACACTATGTATGGTCCCATCTCTACGGACGGACGGGAAGAGCCTGTGAATAGCCGGTTTTTAGTTTAGGGATAATAAATAGGTAATTTTAACATCATGTCAAGTCCTGCTTCTACTACAAACGCTTCCAAAAAATGGTATAGCAGATTTAATTATATCTACATCTCTGGGCTGAATATTGAAAACTTCATGTTGGAGTGGGATCGTCAAGAGAAAGGGGTTGGGTGTGTGAGCCTTGTTTGTCAATTGCGCGATAACCTTTAACCCATGACGCAGATCAGAACACGGGTACATCACGTGCAAGGGAATGGAAGGTATCATTTGGATTAGAACCATTTTGGAATGTATTTAGAATGTACAATGTATAATCGTATGACGGCCCGATGATCAAACTTTGCTGAGCCGAGACAAGGCGAAATCTCTTGTCATCGAATTCTCGGATCATCAGCTGGCTGATATATGATACATCGGTCGCTCCTCACAATCGTATGCTATCATATAACCAGGATGATGAAAATTCCTGACTCAAGTATCTCGCCTTAGTGAAATAAGGGGGTCCTTTCAGTATCCAATAAATTTCTCAGACCATCTAAAAAAAATGATATATTGTATGTAGCTTGCAAACAAACTCAGCTGCAACTTCACCGCGACCCCACAACCCGGTATCCATCAGATTCAGCCCCCGTGGAGCGTCGACACGAATAATATATTATCATTGGATTGCAATGCGTATGAAGCTTCACCCTCTAATTCCCAGTCTGCGTCGTTGATGAGGACTAGGATGCCGGGACGCCTAGGGACACGCAATATGTGGTTAGTATGGAATTTTAGTATGTTCTGGTGCATACGGGGAAGTGGCTTGGTACCGGGGATAGTTTTGAAACGGTGAAAGCTCAAAAGAAAGTCGACGGAAGGTGCAGATAATGGAAATTCAGATGAACATTAGGGGCATAGCATAACATGGTATCGACACCCAAGCCCAAGAGAATCCAAAAATACTTTCATCGAAACCAACCCATGGTAACACACTAGTGTCCTTCCCTTCCCATGCCTTTCGAGACATTGAGGAAATTGGAAAATAATAAACTTGCGACTCACACGTGATCGTCCAGAACAAACATGCCTTTTCTACTATCTTGCATGATTTCGTCGCACAGATAATTTACCAACCAGCCGACTGTAACGGGATCGCCCTTGGAATCTGTTTTGGGGATTGAGAGTTTGTGGGATCGTTGGTCGGAAAATAACATTTCGAGACCGCCACTGTTAGAGGGTTAGTTGGATTTGTTTTAGGGAGTGTTGGGGCGGAGCAGAGAGGCGTACGTAAATTCTACCACGATAGAGAGGGTGTCTGTCGCCATTTTGAAGTTATGTTGTGGACTTTTGAATTCTTGGAGGTTTTGATATTGAAGTGGTGGTTTGCGTCGGGGAAATTTTGGCAGCGGCAGAAATGCGACGCTTCACAGCCTCGCTTATTTTGGACTTGTAGCTTCAGACAGCAACGTTTATTCTTTGTGGAAACCTGAGTTTATGATGGAAAGAATTATAGAAGAATTGAATGCCCAGTTTTACAAGATGTATAAAATTAATTCTAAGTCTTACACTTCTTTTCATATCAATATCAAAGAGTTTCAATGAAATTTGGATATTTAACCGATTTTCAAAATGCATTGTGGTGATGTGACTCCAACCAAAAATTCCTGTAAAAATGGGTGAAAACAATTTTCACGACATCAACAAAATATCTCCAGAACAGCAATATTGAACCCACCACGAATTCACGACTTTATATGATATTGGCGTTCCACCTGGATATGATCCGAACGATTTTACGATAAATCTTATTTTCTTTCGTGAATGCGTTGATGAAACAATACTAAATATGATGGATAAAATTACTCCAGAATATCTTGCGGCAGGTGCCAATAGACATCCTTCTGCTGCCGATTGGGACGAGTCTGGACTTTTGGCCTATGGAACAGATAGGAATATCGCATTATGGTATCCCGAAGTAAGTTTTGACATGTCTTTGATGAAGATCCGGATCATGGAGATTTATGACTGGTCCCATGATGCCTATCAAGAGAAGATACTGATGATTTCTAGAGTGAAACTTCCAGAGGTGTTTTCGAAATTCTGAGTGGCCATACGGATACTGTTAATGTGGTAAAATTCATGCCGAAATCACATGGTCTCATACTCAGTGGATCTGTTGATAAGACGATCAGGATCTGGAAACGGGATGAAGTATCCAAGACTTTTACTTGTGTTCAAACTATTACCAATCATCAGAGCACAATCAATTGTATAGCTGTGACGGAAGGATCCAAAATCTTTGCTACCGGATCAGCAGATGCTATTGTCAATGTGTGGAAACTGGATGACAGCAGTGTTGCAAGTTTGCAGCAGTCTATCACGATTACTCCCCGATTATTCCCTTTGGCTTTGGCTTTGAGTCCTTTGACTGGAGCTTCAGATTCTTTGGTTCTTGCAGTTGCAGGTACTAAGGATATTATTCAACTTCATGTGCTTGATGCGCAGGCAGGGTCAGAATTCAAGTACAAAGCCACATTATCTGGACATGAAGGATGGATCAGATCATTAGAATTCACCAAAGAGAGCGATAGTCTCACGAGTGATTTACTACTCTCATCAGCTAGTCAGGATAAATACATCCGACTCTGGAGAATCCATCAAGGCAAAGAATTGCCAGCCGCAGCCACAGCAGCCGATCCAACATTCGGTGCATTTATGCCTGGAAAATCTCTATCCAACAAGGCTCATCGATTCCAAGCTCAAGAACTAGATTTCTCAGCTACATTCGAAGCTTTACTGCTCGGACACGAAGATTGGATCTACAGTACACGCTGGCTTTCTCCATCTTTGACCTCCAACCAAAAACCCCAACTCCTATCCGCATCAGCAGATAATTCTCTCGCCATCTGGGAACCCGACACCCACACCGGCGTCTGGGTAACCATCGCACGACTTGGCGAGATCAGTGCGGAAAAGGGTTCTACCACCGCCACCGGTAGCACCGGCGGTTTCTGGACCGGTCTCTGGTCTCCCACCGGCAACACCGTCGTTTCGCTCGGCCGAACGGGAAGTTGGCGTCTATGGAACCACGATACATCTTCCGATCGCTGGGCCCAAAATACTGCCATCACAGGCCATGTGAAACCTGTCATGGGAATCGCATGGTCGAAAGACGGAAGTTATTTACTCTCGACTAGCACGGATCAAACTACTCGCTTACACGCCCAGTGGAAGAGAGATGCACTAAGCAGTTGGCATGAGATGGCGAGACCGCAGATCCACGGCTATGATTTGAATTGTATCGATTCTCTCGGCGTCTCTCAATTCGTCTCCGGCGCCGATGAGAAACTCCTCCGAGTATTCAACGAACCCAGAGCCGTCGCCACGCTCCTCCACAAACTCTGCGGCATCGGCAACGAAAACCCCACCAACATGCCCGACGCAGCCAACATGCCCGTCCTCGGCCTCTCCAACAAAGCCATCGAAGCCATCACCGACGACCAAACCGTCTCACAACCCGACGACCGCGACCGCGACGCCATAGACCCCGCATCCATCGTGCACAAATCAACCCTCGATCTCTCCTCCCCTCCCCTCGAAGACCATCTCTCCCGACACACGCTCTGGCCCGAAACCGAAAAACTCTACGGCCACGGCTACGAAATCTCCGCGCTGGCCGCCTCCCACGATGGCTCGATCATCGCCACCGCCTGCAAAGCCAGCTCGATCGACCACGCCGTCATCCGACTCTTCGAAACGAAAGAATGGCATGAACTCAAACCTTCTCTCACCGCGCACTCTCTCACCGTCGCGCGTCTCCGCTTCTCAAGCGATGACAAGTATCTCCTCTCCGTCGGACGCGATCGTCAATGGGCGATCTTCAAACGCGATGATTCAGATCGAAATACCTATGCGTTGGCGGAGAGTAACCCGAAAGGCCACACGAGAATGATTCTTGATGCGGCGTGGGCGCCTTCTCCTTCTGGTAGCACATCCCCCGTCTTCGCAACCGCAGGACGCGATAAAAGCGTCAAGATCTGGGGCCGCGACGCAGAAGACAAATTCGTATGTAAAGCGACCATCGCATCCGAAGCGCCTGTTACCGCAATTGATTTCTGCGATGAGCTGGTGGGGGAAAGTACCGTGTATTTAGCTGTTGGGACTGAAGTTGGGAGATTCAAGGTTTATCGGGTGGAGATTGGAGATGAGATTACTGTTGCTGAGTTGGAGTTGGAGATTAGGTATGTGTTATTTTTCTTCCCTAATGATTCTCATCTTGATCTTGATCTTCCCTCAAACTTCTACTTTAATTCTTCTTTCCTCTTATTTAGATATACTAACTCGATGTCATAGCAATAACTACTACCCCTCCAAAGCCATCACCCAATTAGCATGGAAACCATCTTCAAAAGAAACATCAGAGAATAACACTTCAAGCATGGAACTTGCAATTGCAAGTGAAGATAGTTCTTTGAGGATTTATTCTCTATGTTGAATAATTCTAAGGGGTATCGTATGTTAAAGTACGCCTCCTGTGATACTTTTGTTGAACGCCAAACCTTTCTGCCCATACATAGATACATACAAAGTTAAAGGCGTTAAGGCACTCTAAAGAAAATAGACAAAATAAAAAATAAAAGTATGAAATATGAAACATCCCTTGGACCTGCTCTCTAGTTGAAGTCGAGTGCTGTGTTGTCCCATGTGTATATACGCGTTAAAGCGCTTCACCACATTATTCTCACTGGAATCCATCTAACCTTTTCCCTGTCCTCCTGCTCCCCGTCAATCCCCTCAGCTAAACCATCTTCTCACTTCCATAACCACCGACACCTGCCACCAAATAACTAGTGCCCGAACTGCCGGCGTTCTTCCTGGGTCCTCTCTCCTTCAAATCCTCTCCCAACCACTTAAGAACCAATTCTCCCAATCTCGAATTTCCACTACTATCTCCACTCATCTCCTTCTCAAACTTCTCTATGTTCCCCCACTCCTTCACTCGTCCAAGACTCATATGCACCAGATCCGTCGGCCATCCCGCCAAATTATCCAAAATATGCGTCGCATACACAATCGTACACTTTCTCTTCTCCGTCTCATCTCTCAGGAAATCCAAAAATCTCTTTCGACTCAAGAGATCCAAATCCACCGTAATCTCATCTAGTAGCAAAATTCTCCACGGTCTAATAAGTCCCATGGCAAGTTGTACTCTTCTTCTTTCTCCATCAGATACTTGATGCATGCGCCATTCCAAATCAATATCTAAAACCTGCACAAGCTCGTCTCTTCGCTCGGGATAGTGGTTTCCGCCCACGGAAGTGAGGAGTTCACGCACACCAATGTCGGTTCGTACGATGGGATTGAGTACCCATTCGAGGCCGAGATAGGTTACGCCGACGAGAGAGTCTTTGAAGGGATCGAGACCGGAGATGGAAATTGTAGAGGTGGGAGCAAGTCGTTTGCCGGAGAGGAGACGGAGGAGTGTGGTTTTGCCAGCTCCGTTTGCACCAATGAGTCTGAGAGGGAGGAGATTAGCTATGATTCACAAAGATGGAGGGTAAATTATGAGAATTGTGCGGAGAGATTGAGTGAAGGGATATCCATCTGCCAAAAGACAGCGCAGACCGGAATAATAAGCCAACATACAAAGTCCTCGAGCTAGGCGGCAAACTCAGCGTGATATCCGTAAGACCCAAAGTCGAATCCGGGAATTTATAGGTAAGGTTCTTGACTTCAATTGACGGGGCTGCCGTTTGATCATCTACTGAATTAACCATTTTTGCGTGCTTCGTTTCTATCTTGCTTCTTTCTTTTCTGGCGGAATTCGATTTCAACGATTGAGATTATGAGAGAAGGGAGAAAGAGATTGTCCGAAAACAAAGAAGAAAAAGTACAAGAGTAAAGTTTATATATGAATTTATTTGTAATTGTTTTAATGAGTTGATGGGATAGTGGGGTGATGTCCGACATATATCTTTTGGTGGATAGGAATCGATGACGCTATCTTATCTATAATTCGCAACGACAGGGATTATTTTATCGTGATTAGATAAGCAGATCCTGGAATAGCTTCATATTTTCGTATTCGTTTGGGGATGAGATTGACTTGGGATTTGATATTGATTTTACTATTCTCGTTTAGTCTCTAACTTTCTTTGTGGTGAATGATAATCCAGCTTCAATTGTGCTCTCATAGCAGATACTAAAAGTCTGGATCGTTCGTTCATGAAGTATAAGAAGAGCTTCGTCTCTAGGCATTATAATCAGTTCTTTTAATTTTCGTCTTCAAAAATACGCATATACACAGTATCAATTCATATTAAGTTAGTGCATCAACATGATAGCAGAAGGAACATGTTTGCATTTGTGCACGTGAATAAGACTTGAGTGTTTTTTTCAAACATTTTTGCATCCTTTCTCAAAATAACATCCTCATTTTCATCGTCTCTGCTCTATTCTGGCACTTCGCTTCCGATATCTGCCCAGAAATCACATCTCGCTCCCCTCCCCCCTTCCCAATCGTAAGCATTCACGATTGCTAAATCAGCTTCCAATCCTGACCCTGTATTTTCTGTCACATTCAAACTCAATCCATCTGCCGTTGTCCATACAACCTCTTTCGGTTGCCCTCCAGTCATATTCAGTTTTAACATCTGATATGCGCCATACCCATCAGTTTTCCATAGCGGCCATACGTCGGCTCCTGCTGCAGAAATATTATCTCCCGTCTGAGTTCCATTCCCAAGAGTGGTGATAGATGTAATGACATCATTAGGTAGTGTTGGATCGTTATAAATGATAAATCTCCCCCATATTTTTTCCACCGCAGTACGGAAGCCAGGAGATAGTGTTCCGAAGCCGATGTATTCACGGTTTACAGCATAATATGCATTTAAATCTCCTCCGTGCTGCGATGGAGGAACACTGAACTCGTATTTCCAGGCTTGGGGATATGCGGAGGCTAACCAGTAAGAGGGACAGACAAAGGTAGTTTCAGCATACAGGTTGTTGGCTCGTTGCTGTTGACCCATAGCGTAGACAGATTGGTTGAGAGCCGTGGGACCATGATTACCTGCTGATGCGAAGAGAGGACCTGGGATCGTTGGTGGGATGGAGTAGATTTTGAGGAGGCGATCGTAAGTTGAGTTAGATATTAGAGGAAAGAGGGATTGTGTGTAAGTGTTGAAAGCGGTAGTTGTGTTGATGTGTTGTGGGACGAATACAGGGCCTTCATTAGCATTGTTCTAGGAAAGGTTAGCTGCGCGTCCTATTTTTGAGGATATAGTTGAAAGGAATACTCACTCCGGATAACATTCTCACACCATTAACCTCGCCGGCTAATAGTTGCTCCGATGGTCTCTTTACTACAAATTCGCCATCTGTTACTGGCAAGAAAGCCCATTGTCCGTAACTCACGCTTGCAGAGATACATGCACTTGCATTCTGCAACGCAATCGTATCCGCACAGACCAGACAATCGAAAGCACTCCCATTACCCGTTCCACAGCCCACAGCTTCCACGAACTTTTTATAACTCTCCTCTGGTAACAATCCGTCATAATCATACTGCATTGGCAGATACGGACTTGCCACAATTCCATTATTGAACAAACTCGTCCCTAAACTTCCACCAAAAGCCATACTTTGTAACATTACCGCCCCGCCTCCTGCTGATTCTCCGGCAATAGTCACACGGGAAGGATCACCTCCGAATTTGGAAATGTAAGTTTGAACCCATTGAAGTGAGAAATTCATATCATAAAGAGCGGCGTTTGGGATACCGCCCGAGCCGACAAGTTCTGACGATGAAAGAAACCCAAAGGCTCCAAGCCGGTACTGGATCGCTACTAGAATAAAGGCGTTTGAGTTGGTGTTGGCCAATTCCGAAAAATCATTGTTACCGGAGCCGGTGCCGTAGCCTCCGCCATCTAAAGGGAGTTAACTTGGATCGTCGAAAGGGAAAGAAATGGACATAAACCATAGACTTACGAATCCAAACCATCACTGGAAGATTTGTCGCATTTGGTGAGGCCCACACGCTTAGGAATAGACAATCTTCATTCCCAAGACCTGATCTGGTAAAATTGTAATTTGCGGCCCTTGGATTGTTAGTATTTTGGAATATCAGGAACACTTGACTGATGCTTACATAGGAGCGTTGGGACTTTGGGGGCAGTGAGGAGGGTAGGCAGTTGCCTTTATCATCGAAGTTCTGTTCACTGCAGGAGATTGTGGTTTTTGCCAGCGCAGTGCTCCTGTTGGAGGTGCCGCATATCGAATCCTGGATCTGTGAGTTTCCTGCTTTTACGAACGATTGAATTGACGCGATACATACCCTTTGAAGATGTTGAGTTGTGATGTGGAATTGTAATATCCCTGATATACATTGTATCCGAGGTCAACTATTGGAGATGAGGTATTACTACTTTGACGTTCACCGAACTGCGATTTAGTAATTTCTACCGGCGAACATGTTATGATTGTTGCCGAAAATAGTAGAAGGAAATGAGAAAGCAGCATAATCACAAATTAACGTCCAATCGAGGATATTTTGATCGATCAGAATGAAAATGTCAAAATCATATTTACACGACCAGAATGGGACTGTTAAGGTGTCTTATGCCCATTTGCTTTGTAGTAGGGTTGAAATTCCCTCTGCTTGTCTCCCACCACCATTCTTATATGCATACTAAATGGGCAAGATGCAGCGATAGCTGTGTGTTATTATGATCATTACGAATCAGAAACTTTCTATCGCATGTAAGCGTACGGAAAATATCTTTTGCTAAATCGAATTTCGGGCTGGTATGTACCGATATATATCAAGAGCGGCAGAACTACTGCAGGTCTCACAACAATGCGGGGTAGTTGGGGTGTATCGGAGTGCGATGATCTACACTTGCATTTGTAACTGGTGATGACTTCATAGACACCATGAGAATCAAGTGAACCTTTGACATGAGCTGACAACAGGGAGAAGTGATGCTTAAACTCAATATGAGCATCTCCATTATTGGAACGCCGCTTGTGTCTATTGCTGGAATCTGCCTTTTCCGACCACTCCACCTCGGGTTGATGTGTGAAAAGTGTAAAATTCTTTGAAACAGAGCAGTGCAGTAATCGGCCATTTAAGACAACGATGGAAAGTCCGAAAGACCGATTCAAGATTATGGTTGAAGTTATTCTCGAGGAAAAAGATCCTTAGCACGACAGAGAAGTATTGTGGGTAGGTAGCGAGGTAGTCACACACGCTTACGTAACCTTAGCTTAGACTCGTGACCATCCTCTCGCGTGCAACTCAATTCCTATTCCTACACGCGCATACAACAGAACAAAAAAAAGTTGCAGATCAAGTAAACCTTATAGTAGTACTCTTTGGTTTTTCTATTAAAATCTATCAATTGAATCAGATGCTTCCCATCATTCAATTGGAGATCGACATTACAATCCTTCTTGGAAATCTTGATGGCTTAAGCTTAACCTCGTTCCGTCCTTGTGGAGACGCGTCATCGTCCTCGACATCTTGCAGGATGTCTTGCATTTGGCTCCAAAAATGGATCAAATTCCTCAAGGCAACAACAAAACAGGCTTTTTGCTCATAGCATACTTGTCGACGCTCGTATCGGCATATCTCGAGGTCAGATTATCCAGCGACCCAAAATATAGGTCCGAAAGACCTCAAGTCCAGTCAAAGAAGGCAATTCGCAAGATTGTCTTGCGCTCAAATCTGCAAGAAATCTAACATGCAAGTCTATTTTGACCAAGTCTAGTGACCAAGAGATAGAACAGCGATGATGGAAACACATCAACATTTAGCATTCCAACTCCATTTTCCACCAAAATTCCCCAGATATATTCCCTGAAGATTACTGGCAGAGCTGGAGTGTCCCAGTACCTAGCTTTGAGAGCCTTTGCGTTTGCCAAAGCGACTTGAGTCTTGATTTGGTTTAGTTGCGACGAGCTGAATTTCCAAAGCCAGATTTTCCCCAAAGTACTCATGGAAACGCTTGCATAATACGAATTCGATTGATTGTATTTAGGGTTGGCGATATCCTTGAGAAGGGCATCATAAAATACATCGCGGTTGGTAGTGTTCGAGATCAAGAGGTCAAATGGGGCATTTCCTGTAGCGACGACAATTATTGGGCGCCAGTTGATTTTTTCAGTCGAGTTACTCCAATTGGTGAGCCAACCGTTGGAACGAAGAGCTTCAAGTTCCTGGTTCACTATAGGCCATAGTTCAGACCCGTTGGACTTGAAATCTAAGACTAAAGTTAAAGTAGTATTGGGACTCGACTCGAATACGCCGTTAGGATTGCTGGAACCTCCGTCTGACTCTGTAGAATTATTGTTTTGATTCTCAAGGATGCTGAGGAGGGGCTTGATGTATAAATTCTGGAGCGTGCGATCATCTCTGAGCGATCTCAAAGAATGGCCAACTAACAAGCCATCGCTACCGGCTTTATTGTTTAGCCATATGTCTGCTTCTACTCCTGTACAACCTGCAGCGACAGCTTCGAAAAGAGGAACGGATCTCCAGTAGTCATTGTGAGAATGGCATGACAGCGGTACAATATCCTTTGTGAAATCTGGCTTCCAAGGTGCAAGGAGAGAAGATGGATCGCTGGGATCTTTCCACTGCTCAACCAAATAATTTATTCCGCTCGATGGCACATGAGGCATGTGGTGACGGGGAAGGGTCATAAGTAGCATAAGCCATAGCCTAAGGTTCTGGTTAGTTCGAAGAATTCCAGTAGTTACAAACACAAACAAGATTTGTGAGAGTACTGACAACATGGCAATACTGACAACATGGCAATACTGCCAAGAACTGATAGATAAAGCAATACCCAAAATCTACGTTTCCAGTTCCATGCCCCTTTCATTGGATTTGGAAGACCATCAACCGATCGATGGTAGATAGGTAGGCAACACCGCCTTTTATCAATACTGTCGCCCATATCGCTGATACTATGTTCAGAATGAGCGTAACTTGGTCGATTTAATAGTCGAAATGTCGAATTTGTTGTTCGGGGTTGCGTATTGCTTGTGAGAATACCCATTCTGAAGAGCGACTGTGCTGCAGCGCTATCTTATGAAATACAATAAGAAAGCCAATCCTCATGAATCACTACGATATATCGGAAGACGCATTAAATATTAAAGGAAAACATGCCAACATTCACTGAGGCTTTAGTATCAAGATACATAGCCCCTGAATCCTTCGCAGCGGTTATTGTCATCTTCGTCATACCGTATCGATAGTACGTATGGCTTGCTCTCATGCCTCATCTTTCTTCAACTGCATGGTGCTCGTTGATATACGCAGGCACAATAAATTCTTGAGCTTATCCGAAACAAGTTACTGAGTCTTGTGGGGGTGGTGATAGTCCTCGGAGTTTGACACCACGCAGAAGGCTTCTCAAGTTTCGTTCTCAAATTTCTTTACAGTGGCGCTGAATAGATGCAGAATTACACGTCAAGATTCAAGGCTCAAAGAGAGGATAATGCTCTACCCTAATTACTCAATTATGTCTATCGTTACACAAGTGAATGGGGTCGCGGGGAATCTACATTGAGTTCACTCGGGCTGCGCCGCTGTGTGATGAGAAACATGTCACAACAATTCACTCGGACTGCGCCATTGTGTGATGAGAAACATGTTACAACAGCGATATCATTGAATTTGACACATGCTTAGTAAAGTAATCAGTATACTATTTATATTGCAAAAACGTTCACCGGCAGACATTATGCTATCTATTCTCAGGAGGAAGCCATCTAGTGGTGGCATTTGCGGCGTGAGATAGCACTAGCAACTACCGAACATTTTGGGACAAAGCCGAGGCGGCACGGCAAGCCAGGAATCTTGAGCCAACACAACTATGTGGTGGCTCATGTTTATTAAAAGAGCATGTCAGCCTTCTAGCGAGTGGTGGGCCGCAAATTAGGCTTCGAGCTTACTGTGCCGCTTTCATCGATGCAATTGCGTTGTTTGAGATGCGTGCTCGCCAAAACGTCTCGTGTGCGTAGAGCCAATGAGAGTTATTCTCTGCTTACTTTCTACCGTCCACCAGGTGGTCGTTTCAAAACGATGGGATTATACGGCGTGCGCCGGGCGGTATAACTCGAATCAAATTGGCAAGCCACAAGGCTTATGTTTTATTTTCTAAATCCCCCCTTTGCTTTGCAGTTATGGGCTTAGCCAAACTTGTATCCATCTTACTGAGATTACTGATAAAATTTGGTCAAATAATACTGTTTGCTATAGTTACGTCGGTTTCCAGTTGTACAATGATGACGGAAGTTAGCAAATGATATATGCCCCAAACTTGAAGGTATTCTTGTATGGAATTATCTATGCGATTCCGTAACGGAATATCACGAGATAGAACATCAAATCCTATATCTGTATCCCTGTCTCAAAAAGATCGCGACTCATCACTCGCTAATACCACGACTCTCCGACGCCATTGGGATTTGTTTGGGCTGGTCTCTAGAATCGACACCTCATGACCTCAGAACACTTCTCACTCGTCACAACGCCAATGGAGTACCCTGGCAATTAGGCCGATGATTGTGAATGGTTGGTAGCTGCTTGGTAACTTGCAAATGCACGATTCTTGGGTAGTATTAGTGAGATACTTTCCTAGTAGATTTCAGCAAATGGAATCATCCGGGGGATTTTGCATCAATTCAATGTAGTGAGGCATTTTCAAGGTGTTAACGTCATATGTTCAGACCGAATGCTTCATCCATACTCCTGCAGATTAACTAATCCAAATGGTTGCTTGTACAATTTTCTGTTTGCAATGCTACAACTCGTATACAGCCCGCCGACACGTCTCCATGCTGTATAACTTTTGCTTAGCGTCAGAATCACCCCGTTTTTCTTTTAAAATTTGTAGTTACCTAGATTCCAGGAACCAAGGGCCCAACTTCGGTAGCCGGCTCGTATTTGGTTTCTCTAGTGCTATTTTAAAGTGGAGTAGGGGTGCTTACACCCCGCTTTTGCACCATTTTCGGATCCTCCCGAGAGGGGGGAGATACGTCGGCCTCGTGATGAATATACTGAGCAGTTCTGTTTTTTGTATATCGTTGCCTAGAAAAGATATCAACGCCAGAATTTCTTTTCTATTGGGGAAATAACACGAACTGGCTGGGGCTTTCCATGACGTATAATTGCAATGCGCCGTGTACACAGACTTAGCATTAGTGCGTGATATCTCGGATATCTTGAACCTTTGGGTACTATCACCACGAGCCCTTGGCTTTTATGGCTGCCTCTCCCCGATTCTCAATTATTAATCACTCAACTTGCATACAGCTAGAGGCACCGGGTCTGGAGTCTCGGAAGTCGTTAAATCCGAACTGTCAGATATATCTGAACTAATCATCGACATAGGCTACAGAACCGCAACATACAGATTCTGCTTCTCTGTCTACTTCAATCAAGGCAGCGATCTATTCAGCATCGACTACGGAAATAAGCAAGATGCTAATATCGATCTTCAGCACTTATGCCACTCGAGAATGAGCCAGCATATCGAACGTGTGACCTTCCCAGATTTCAATTACACGATGAGAGCCAGATTAGCATGCTTCGTGACAGAGGTCCATGATGAAGAGTTGGATGTACACCACTCTCCTGACATTGATGTCTGCAAGGAATATTTATGATAACCACGGATTCTATTGGCTATTAAAATCATTTGTTATGATCCCACTAAGGATGATACGAAGTGCGGAATTTGGATAGGGTGAAGTATAAACATTTTTTTATCTTGTTCTTTCAGTCAAAGATTAAGTCGGTGATATATGGGTGATATAAATCAACTAGAGGATTGTAGACTATACGCATAGCATGAGACTAAAATCGTGTTAGAGGGGGCTTCTTCTTCTTCTTTTAGCTATTTTGCCATGTGATTATACTGGGGTTTGCTTTTCACTCATTTGCTATATATTTCTGAGAAAATACAGAGGTATCTAAAATCATGCGGCTGTCGATGCTAATGATTCTCGACGTTAAACCATCATATCGGACCTTATCCTCCTAGATTTAAGCGAAAATCTGGTGCCTTTATCTGATTATCAGATTCTTGAATTAAAGGGGATGACACACTCACTGCTTAATGTGAAAGATATGATTGGTACTGAGCTCTCCGAAAATACAAGATATCTTGTTCGTTTCCTGCAACTCAATTCCTTATTTACCCTACCAGCGACGATTTGATTATGTAAGGTGACGTGACAAAATTAGGCGATACACTTCATGGCATCAGCCATCCTAATCTATCAATGTGATAAAAAAACCAAGCTCAGCACTTCATTTCCCGGTATTTAATCAGAACAAAATTCAACACAGATTTCCCAAATTTCCAAAACAACCTCATAAAACTCCATCAGGATGACTGAAAATATCCTCACCTTCTGCACTGCTGAAATCCCACCCGAAGTATGACTTCTTCCCTTTTTTCAAACCATCGCATTCGCTACCTACTTACTAACATTTTTCTAGCTAATTTCTCACTTCATCAAACTCTCCCAACGCACTCAAGAAAGTTCCAAAATCTGGTCTATCGTCCGCACACCCACCTCCCACCCCCTCGGCAAACGCACCCGCACCACCATCCTCCCATTCCCCACCGGCTTCCTAAACGCCTCCCTCTCCACGCTCTCCGAATTCGTGACTTCGGCTCCGCAAACCGATGGGTACCATTTCAGCCGCAACACATTCGCGGTACTGGATGCGCGGAGTATAGAAGATGAGACGGTGGTGTTGTGGAGTCGGCTGGACAGTATGCCGATGGAGGTAGTGGAGAGAGGGGGATGGGACGAGGGGAAGAAAACGACGGAGTGGAAGGATTATCGCGTCGAGTTTCGCAAGGCGTGTTGGGTGGCGGGGGTGTTGCAGACGAAACCGGGGTTGTTTGGGGAAATTGTGGAGAAGGGTCAGGGGACTAGCGTGGATGGGGAGGGGGTGCTAAAAGTGGATACCCCAATGAAGGAGTGCGATTTGGAGGAAGATGATGTTTCGACGGATGATGAAAGTTTGTAGAATAATGGGTGTGCGATGCGTTGTCAGTTTCCTCCTGCCTTGTTTTGATGGAGGTCCCAAGGTAACGTCGAACCTAGCCACTTTTGATCTAGCCACATCACGTGATGAATATGATGATTCTTGATTTCCTGTATCTTTTTCACATTGTTTGCAAGCAACTTATAGGTAAATAGCTGTTAATTATGGTTCATCATAACCAGAAGACTATCGTTTGCTCGCTAATGAAGCTCTGACTTTGGAGTAGTGACTCTGAGGGAGTATTTGGTAGCACAACCGGATTTCAACAAAATTGAGAAATGACTCGCCATTAAAGAATCCATATCCGATAGTCCCTTTAAATAGCTGTCTTATAAGTCTATTACTTCCATTTTTCACAAGTCTAAAGCTTGAAATCTATATTTAAATGACAAAGAGATAAGTTCGATCGTAGAACTTTGACCTGTTTGCTGTCCGCTTCCTCTTCTTGTATTTTGAATCTATTGAGTCACTTAAAGCTCAAGGATTAGAGCCTGATAGAAGTCTATTGCTACTTTCCCTTATAAGATTTTGTCACTCGAGCTGTTTTGAATTCATGAATAATGTGTAGTGATTAACATCGGATCAGATTTTTTGAGTAAATAAGAGATTCAAGAGTAGAATATTTAATAGTCCGTATTGTGATCCGACAAGAACGATTCTTAAACTCCAAACTTACTAGAACATTTAAGTTATTCATGATGTTGAACTCAATTAGAAGATCTCCAATTGTCTAATTGCGTTTAGATATGAAATCTTTGTATTGTTGAACTGCAGTTCGGACTGTTAAATACCCTGCTTTAACGCCAACCGAGATCATATCACAATACAAGAAGGAGTCAACAAACTTTGAGAGCCTCTTGTACCTCTGCAGCCAAGCCTTTGCGTATAAAAATGTGCTACATGGACACATCTTCATATCCCCGGACCACATGGAGAATGCCAATCATCCTTATGCTCCTCCAACCACTCAAGAAGACCCGGTATTTTATCCGCGTGTTTTTTAAGCTGGAAACAATTAGATAGTACTCAACAAATGAAACCGATTAGGAAGAGTACATACCCACGCAACAGCCTCTTGAACACATTCATACCGGAATACAGAAGATTGTTGGAGTATGTATTCTTTTCTTATGGCAACATTCTTATCTACATTCTCAATGCGATTACATCGATCACCTGTGAGAAAGCAACCAAGTTAGCTTCTTCAATTTGAAAAGTGGAGCGGGAAAAGATCAGAAAATCAGACTGTGGAGCTGCCTAGCTAGAGAATGGACAATACGAACGCATCTGGTCCCAGGCTATGTATCCTGGAGAATTAGTTGAGCCCTCGGGAGGTTCGACGTTTGATTCTAACCAATTCTCGCATTCTGCAACTAGTATGGATATCGAGATTAGCTTTTTGTTGCACATCTATATTCATCGTTTGTTTTAGAATTGTGGATTTTCTATACGATCTACGTAAAAGAAATCGAAGTCAAAAATACCCTTTTTGTTCGTAATAGGTTTATCCTCATCAAGTGGATCAGGATCATTGCCGACTAGTTGAAGCTCTGGGCATGGATTAGTGCTGCTTGGAGTTGCGCTACAGCTTGTAGTAGAAGTAGTTGAAGATTTGGTACTAGTGGTGATATCGGAGAAAGACACAGAGCTGAGAATAGTGGTATCTGATGGAAATTTGGTGGCTGAAAAGATGCTGGAAAAAGCTGAATCCGATTGATATCTATTTGATGAGGTGGAGCCTGACTCGAATATTTGTGAAGTAGATATGCTAATAAGACTTGAAGGGAACGCGGTGGATGTATGCAGAGTGCTTTCTGAGCTAGATAAGGTTGCTGAAGAGATAAGTGATGATATGATACCGCTCGTAGAGGTTCTGCTAGAAGCAGAGGTGCTCATTGACGAAAATCCAAAAGAATGTGTGCTTGAGGGGTATGCAGTTGTGGAAGAATTCTTGGAACTGTAAACTATTGATGTCGGAACAGAAATTAATGTTGTGACCGAATGTACTGATAATGTGGAGCTGGTACTACTGGCATGACCACACGCATTGAAGCCCACAAACACTTTGAGGTAAATTTGACCTTGATCTATATATCAAAGGCAGGGGCCAAATAATGCGGTTTGTCCTTATACTACCCATGGCCAAAGATCTGCAAGTAATGCCAAGCACCTACACTTCCCCTTACTTCCGCTTCGTTTTACCGTTGAAACATTGGGAAAGCAGCAAACTAGTTCTTGTCTTAAAATCGCCATTCTTAATGAAACCCAAGCCCCGGCCCTGCGTGCTTCTTAAGTCGATCCAGCTTTGCGCACCCATATCAGCCTTTTCTTCCATATAGTTTAGTACCAGTAAAAGGCACAACTTACGAATTTCTCGGTCACATTTCTATGTCCTTTCTTAGGTGGAGTGAGTGGATAAGGATCGGGAATGACAGGAGTATTTGGGTCAGTTGGAGGGGTACCTGGATTTGTTGGAGAGAGCGTTGTGTTACATATAGTTCATCAAAATTGCGTTACTATTTTTCGCACACTTACAAAGCTGGAACTATAAGTTTATGATTCTTAAGAATGTGTTTGGTAATACAATTAAAGATTATTAAGATTAAGGACTGATTGATTATGACGGAACTAGATTTGATAGTCACTTCGAATATCTCATCCCGTCTTTTTATTTTCGTTAGTTCATGACATGGAATTTGAGTATCAAACTAGTTTGAGCTACTGTCGGCTCTTTTTACTTCTCATCAACTCAGTTTGAACTATTATCAGATTAAGTTTGGACTACTGTCAACTTAGTTTCAACTACTGTCAAACTTCTTGTAACTAGGTAACAATATCATATCATTACAACTTAGAATGAATGACTATGAATCACAGATTCTAGACCAATACACCACATTACCCACTCAACCTTGTCTTCTCGTACCTACTATAAATATACCTCATCGCTCCCATTTTTTTGCAACACAACTTGATCTTCTCGACATCAAATCTGTCAGGCATTTCCAAATACATTCTCAATCTGTAATCAATTCATTACACTATATCTCTTCACACTATTCTCTCACATCTAGTAGACCTGGTAGACGACTCAGAACACACTCTCAGTCTATAATAAATTCCTTAGAGTTTACCTCAGACTATATTCTCTCACCATGGCAGAAAAACCCATCTTCAATCCCTCGACGATGCATTTTTAACAAAAAGAAATCTCCTCAAACCAGCTACACGCCGAAGAAGATTAGTATCATCATCCATTTCACAAGATGCATCACTCTCCTCATCCGGTTCCGGTTCCGGTTCATCAGAGGGAATCGACACGAAAGGCTTCACTATGATGCCCGAGTTTCTCGAGAGCCAGGAGACCATTGAATGGCTTGGTTGGACTCCCGATAAAGCTGCTGAAATATGGGACGCTTGGAAGATAACAAAATCAACAGAGGATCAGCAGGGAACAATCTTCGAGGTCGAGTTTATCAGCAAAGTTTTAGGATATATCCCTCGCCAGGTTCTCGAGGATAGCTCCAGCGACTGGGAGGAGCATATGAGGGTTTGGGGAATAAGTGAGGAGCTTATTGCTGCAATAATGGATGTCGAGTTTACGGACGTAAGATGCACAAAGTCAGCTCAGTATTGGGTAACCGAAACCATGGAAATAAGATACCTAAGTTTGGAAAGAATCAAGGAGGAAAGCGATCAGAGGACGATCAACAACCATACCATTAATCCTAGTGTTGCAAGTAGTGCGGTACCACGAAACACAAGAGTCCCGGGTCTTCAAACCTTGTTCAAAGCCATCTCGACAGAGAGGTTGAAATACAGGGATGGCAAGATTAATGTTGGCTCTCTAGTGAGTGAGGGAGCGACTGATTTTCGAGGCTACGGAGCGGCACTATATTTCGCACCTGACTATCAGGTTGCGGATCAGTATCGACAATACATCAGAAGACGAGCGGAAACAACACGTGCGCTAGTGATTCAATTGACCCTACCAAATTCATGGATAGAGGCACTCCCCCCCCCGTGTGATGGAATTCGGCGATCTTTGGAAAAGAGTGGTACATACCTGTCGCCAAGGCTACGATATGACCGGAGACATGAAATTTATTCACAATTTGCCCTCATCATCGCGCCAATTGCGCACTCGCCCAACAAGGCTATTGCCAGACTGGAAAATGGGAGGAAGTGGGCATTCGGCACGTCTTGAAAATTCCTGGGCAGGAGAATTTCCCTGTGCAATACGTGTTTCAAGGAGACGACAACTTGGAAGAGATCGGGCTAATAGGCGACCTAAAAGTGGTGGCATAATGTATAGCTTGGATCCCGTTCAATAAATCGAGCTTCGATGAGTAGATTCATTACGTAAATCAAACGGACATTGATTTACATAGGTTTGGCATTCAAGAATCTAGCCTTGGTTTCGATGTAATTAGCTTTCGTGGAATACTATTGAAAATTAAATCACTTTAGAGACTTGCGATATTATTGAAAGGAGCTGAGAAGAGAAGTATGAATGCTTGGAAGCCGTTGTTCAACAAAGCTAAATACTTTTTATATTAAAAGGTGTCGTCGTGGTGTTGGTGCCAAAAATGTAGAGTCTATTTTATCATCAGCCTCCATATCTGGAAAGAATCTGGGTCCAGCCATGTCTTAAAATACCTTCATGTTTTTCGAAGGTCTAGATTTGAGGAAGGGGCCGCAAATTGTGCTCCCGAAAAGTTAATAGCTATATAAGGTAACAAATATCGTGAATATGACTTGAGTAGGGGAATTCACAGAAGGAACACCAACACCCCCAAAGTCTGGTGCTGTTTGACTTCAGTAGGACTTCTCCTAACTTCACGTTGCGATGGCCTGCAAAAGGGCGTAACTTAAAATATATCGGTTCTTTCTCCTAAACAAAACCCGTTGTTATCATCTAGGACTTGGTTCACCAAAGGTCAGAATTACTCCCATCATCGCGTAGGAATATGCATGTTGAAGCAGTCAAAGCTTTCTATTAATACCACATAACTGTATAATTTTGACCACCCTAGAGACACGAAGTAAGTAGCAAGACCTCAAATTCATTTCTCGCAGTTGAACTGTGGAATGAGCCTATTCCCTGAAGAATTTTCAATCTTCGAGAGTCACAGTATATTTTGACCAAGGCCAATGGAGATGGACGCTGCGAGCACAATTTGGGAATGTAGATCGTTAAAAAATCGAGAATAATAGTAATATATCATAAGTCGTGAGTGATTGAGACCGGTAGAATGGGTAAAGACAGATGAATTTCGAGCACGCCAAACGAATGTCAAATGTGCCAAAGATAAGCAGACTTCCTCTTTAGATCCCATCTGAATACATCCAAAAATGACCATTCCATAATTCCTTGTTCGAAAAAAAAGTAAGATGTAAACTTTTCCCATGTTTTATCAAATCACAAATGACGTTCATCAAGCCATTCCTGAAGTCCATCAAAAATAGGCGCGAACAATTTGAGCTGTAATTAAAGCAAACTCATTAGTATCATATTTCATTACTCATCAACAACAGGTAAACTTACAATAGCAACTAAATCCTTGAAATCTTGACACTTAGTAAGACCGTCTTCGATTGCTTTATCTATTACTGGCTTTGCCTTCTCTATCGCATCATATATGCGGATGAGCTTTCTTAGTTTCTCGACTGTTACATGTAATGATGATTAACTTTGTTCAGTAATCTGGTAGGAGAAAGAAAGCTATAAGCTGAACTCACTTTGGTCTGGTGTGAGCTTGGGAGGGTCAGCACGTTTCCCCATGCGATAACTGCCATAGCTTGGTATGTCTGTAGGAACAGTAGTGGGTTCCGTCCAGGTGAAAGTTGGAGATACGCAGGTGCTTGATGATGAAGATGTGGTGGTTGTGGGGTATACATAAGTAGTGGGTTCGGTTGTAGTTGGAACTCCGCTAGTGGGTAGTATATAAGTCGTTTGTTCTGTGGAAGTTGACTTGCTCGTTGGATAAGAGGGATATGTGTCATAAGTAGGTGATGGGAGTGAAAGTAGAGGTTAACACACTGCTAATACCCTCGTAGTAGAAGGTATCACAGAGGGTAATGCGGAAAAGCACCGCGAGGACAGCAGTGTAGAAGTGAGAATGCATTTTTGTTCAAGTGATCTACAGAAGAAATAGGTATTTGAGAGAGATGATATAAGTGCCTGTTGACAACAATGTCAAAATCGATGTTTACTAGAAATCCAAGATTCAAGTGGTTTATATAGATTGACTCTCCTATCATCACTACCGTCACGACTTCACCGCTCCCAATTGTTTTAATTCATGCTGCAGCCGATGAGCCACCTGAGAATAGGCGTACACAATCCATCATGTCGTGACTTGATCACAACTCACCCCTTTCTATCCAACTGAACTCTTACCTTGAAAGCATGAATTTCAATCCAACGATTCCGAAATCATCGTGTTTCCAAGAATTTTCTATGCAAAGTATCGGAGTCGTAACTCGAAAGCCGAGAACACCAAGAGAGAAACTACGAGCGGGGAAACCTACTACCGCTTCCGCCACCTCGGAACTACCCTTATGCCACAAGACAACAATTACATCCCTTACTTTCATTAAGCCACCCCGCAGTCGCCATCACTCGCACTCGCTTGGTGGTCTTGAAGGATGTCTAAGACAGCCACCCAAGAGACGGAGAAGATCCGAAAGAAACAGACTATGTCACTTCGAGCTCTCACCAAGAACAGCGAAATTTCAATGCTAATTCAAACAAATCCCGATAGAATTATTCATAAACTCATCACAGATCTTCGAGTGAAACATTTCGAACCCCCAGAATAAGTATCCGTCTCTCTCTCTCAAAAAAAAAGAACATCTCTAGAACAACGAACTGTAGCAGAGAACAATCATGTAGAAGTGCTAGGCACTTGGCCGTCAACATCTGGTATACCCCTGCTGGCATACCAATCAACATCACTTGCGGAAATCCAATACAAGCGACAACAAAAGAATGGCGCATCAGGCACCGGCTGTAAAATTCGATTAGCGGCAATTTCCAGCGGATGCCAAACCAACTTCCCCGAAGCAAGACATTATATTCCAAGCATTCCAACACCGTGTGTGCTCTACTTGGCGGAGAATTACTCAAACGGCATTTACCCATGCAGCCTTGTACCAGGAGAACTAGGGTTGACACTGTAAGTCTATGGTGTGCAAGCTTTTCACAGAATATAGATGGCTCTACGGCGGGTCAAGTTCATGATGCTGAGGTTGGTGATTCCCAGTTGGGAAAAGTACTCCTGAATTGTTCTTTCCGCCAGTGTCCTGCCCTGGTATGTTTGAAGTAGTAACTAATAATATATACCATATATTCATTATACACATGAACCGACCCTTTTTACTAGGTCATCACTTTCTTTTCGTTGCTCCGCCTTTCTTAGAACTTCCTGTAGCTTTGCCAATTACTGCATCTGCCTTGTTCTCGGCGATCTTGGCACCTTCAAGCCCCTCCTTGACGGTCGCATCAGCGCCCGGGATACTCTTCAAAGGTTGATTCGCAATCTTCTCCTCAACCTCTTCATCGTCACCTCCTTGTCCAAATTCATTGACTCTGGTGTAGTCAACCTTATACTTCCAGCTTTGATAAAGGTAAATGAAAAAGATGACATCCATCTCTGAGTGTTTGCCAAACGATGTAGTGTTGGCATCTTACTAGTGAATGCAAGAGATCGTCGATGAATGTATTCAAGAACTTGTACATCATCGCTCTACCTGGCATATGTGCAACACTCTTGAGTCGGTAGTTGATGTACAATGAAGGGACCATCATCAAGAATCCGTATGCGTAGACAGATCCGACAAGAGTTGCGATTACGAAAGAATACCAAGATTTGTGACTTTCGTATTTCAAGGAGTATGCTCCATAGGCGATAAGAAGTGGAACAGCAATCATGTACATATACTTGAAAGCAACTGCATCGTACTCCTTGGTCTTTTCTTCCGTCTCGGAGAGGACATGTTTATCTTCAAAAGCGATGCGGTATGGTATGATCGAATTTGGTGCATCGCGAATACGAACATTGACCACCGTGGTGATCTTCCAGAACTCGAGTACAATCCCCATTCCTTGAGTGAACAAAATCATCCAACCTACAAAATGTGAGTACTTATATCTATGAACATGGGGCTGAGATATGAACTTACTAGTGTTCTCATTGTTGTCCATCAAGTACAAGAAAATAACACCTTGCATGAAGACGTTTCCGAGGATCGATCTAACTGAAATTCCAACATTGTTCTTCTTGTTTCGGTAATGGCTGATGTCGGATTTGAAGGCCATCATCTCGAAGATCATGTGGAAAATACTAACGATGACCGTGGTGGCCAAAAGATATATATTGGTATCTAATAAAACTTCCTTGATCATCTCAAACTCACTACCGTCTCCGCCACCGGGTGGTGCTTGTCCTTGAGCAGCATTTCTGGCGGTCTGTTTCGCACCTTCGTCCATACTTGCCATCAAGGTAAATTTCCAATTGGCAAAGTCTTGCAGGTCAATATGAATGGGAAGTCTGGTGACGGTTGAATTGAGTACTGTCATGTGAGTCTTCAATTGCCAAAAGGTGTTGACGAAGAGTAGTGGATAGTACCATCCATTGAGTCCGGTGCCATCTCTAGCTCCACTTGCCTCCAAATGAACATATTGACGAACAGCAGGATGTAAAGATGGAAAGTCCATGACGCCAGAATCTGGAATGAAGGACATTGTAAAGTTAGGATGATAGTGAGATTTGATTACAGGCCCAGTAGGAATTTCCTCTTCAGGCTAATCAATCGTTAGTGGAATCTTTTGAAATTGGACCTAACAAACTCACCTCATCCGTCTCTTCAGCAGCTGCCAAAAGATTTTTGGTCTTTCTGATTTTCTTTTGCGCAATGTATTGGGTGAGAGGATGCACAAAGTGAAATGCCCTTGTAGGATCATAGCCGGGTGTAGCAGGATCCAGTTTACTTCCAGAAATTCCAATATAGAAGTGACCCCAAAGTGTACCATTATTCTGCACCTCAGATGGAACATCGAAGCTCGCATCAATCGATCGGTGTTGGTTGTAATCTCCAAATGCGAATCCAGTCTCATCCAGTACGATTCTCTCCTTTGGTACTTTTGCAATAGGTTCCGCTACAAAAGTGGGGGAAACAACAATAGTGATGTCGAGAGGACTATCCGTAGGCCACATCGGTGCAATTCTCTGAGGAATGGGACTCCATACTGCTCCTTCATCTAATTTGTCTGGTCGCGCAAGATATGGGGGGATTTCACCATTGTTTGCTGGGACATTCATAACTACTCCAGATGCATCAGTTTGTAGCAGTAGTCCGCAGGTCCTTTATTTCCAGTAATTTGCTTCATCAAGAATTGCATGCCAACGAAAATGGCGATGCCTTGCACAGCGGATTTGATCATAGGCTGTTCATGACATTGTCAGTAAATTTTATCGGGCAGCTCTAGGAGGGACTCACACTCATACCGCCTTCTTGGGCTTGCGCACCCGCAGCTGGAGGAGCTGTTCCGGCCGGCATATTGAAGATGATAAGACTTCTTCAATTATTTGTTGAGGTATAAGAGTCAACAGGTACGTTGTCTAGATGTAAATAATTATGGAAAGCTTACGGCACAATAATAAGCTAAGGCGACGGAATAATTGTGGTGCCGATCACCGAGAAGCGACCCCGAACTATACGTTTAAGAACGTGACATGATAGTAAGTATTACTTCAATATGCTCAGATTTGGGCCTTGAGGTTTCACGGAAGATAACAAGATTGAGATTAAACATTCTTGGAAGCGTTTTGACATTTGAAAATCTACATATACAATTCTCGAGTACTGAGGAGATAGGTGCCAAGCCGCTGGCTCAACAGATTTTGAGTTACGCAGTAAAATGAGATAGTCTCTTTAAGGCACGCAATCGTCCTTTGGAAAGACAAATTTGGGTAAACTCCAAGCAAAGAAACCCCAAACCCATAAATACCCAATCCAATAATGCCATCTCGAATCATTGCTCCATCCGTAGCGTCTCAGCACTCTCTTCCCCCATTTCTGAACAAGATCTTCAGCAATAATTGCACAAGGACATAGGGAATACCACTGAAATATGTGACGTAGTCCACAGTTCGGAAACTTCATTTTTGCTGGAATATATATCATGGCGTGCATACATGCAGAGACGAAGAACACCAAATACAGCATGGCGATTTTGTTAAACCTAGAATTTCGGGGAATACGAAATAGCTTTGAGGATATGAATGATGCCCAAGCAATAAGATCTCGACGCAAGAATTGATGCCAGAAAACACTGGGAATGAAAACAAGTTTAGCATGGACTGCATTCTCTATAGTCATATGAAATGATCACGTACCCCCAATATCTTCGGATGGTATATGCTTCCGTCAATAATCCATAAACAGGATAGTTCCAGCCAGGTATAGCTTTGGCACCACCAATGAACACCGCAACTGCAGATATAAAATAATGGTGCGCAGAAATGCTAAGAATCTCAGGCAGAATCCACAATACAGGTAGTGATATTCTTATGCCTATCTCTCGTATAGTAACATGGCATATTCTCCGGAAGAATTGCTCTTTCTCCGGGCTATAATCACCAACCTGAAGATGAGTGTGATAATCTCTTTGAAGGTCGTTGACTATTCCCCAGAGAAGATAGTGAAACCATGCCATGAGTGATCTGCTAATGACAAATACATTTGGATCCGTCAGGTGAGCGAATTTTGTTATTGGGAACAACGACAGGTTTCTCGGCTGCGAAGTCGTTCCGATTTGTCTTGGGTTGAGATATGCATCCATGGCCCATTTTAGTCTCTGCTTGAATGTTGCGGCAGAAAAATGCGGCGACTCTAGTCTGAATAATCCATAGTTAATGGTACCTAGTATTTGGCCTGCAAGCACGTAACTTGTGAAATGTGAATAGGAACCGACATTGGATTTTCCATAGTATAAAGCGGCGCAACCATAGACGGAGAAAAGTAAAAATGAACATGCTCGCCACGAGAATCGTGGGGGAGTATAGATCATCATCAGGCTGCCAAGAATATAAGACAATGCTAGCGACAAAATCGGGCAGTTAAAAGTTGGATTGCCTGATTTTGATTAGCTATGTAACAGTGAGAACGATCAATATGCATTTCTAAACAAACCTTCAAGGTAAGTGTGTAAGTTTTGAAGAATTGAGAGATCCATAATTGCTGTCTCTTGCTGGGGCGGCAAAATCTCTCTTGGGAAAAAAAGGGTTCCTTTTAACGATTCAGGAAGTCTCGAGGGAAACACGATAGAATTGGAGGCGTGTAAGCATAGAGAGAAGACAGAGGTAGGCACATCTCTCGTCTTCGATCGAGGGATGTAGCTTTCAAACGACACGCCATTCGAAGTGATTGAATCATATAAACTAATAAATATAGCACAATGACCTGACAGGAAGCATGTCAATTATGGTTGTCTACTATGCAGTGAATCATGATCATGAAAATAAACCGATCACTCATACGCTTCCCGCTGGCATCACTGGAGCAACCCCGTCCCCCCGTCCCCCCCTCAAAAGAAAAGCTACAACAGTCATAATTCAGTTCCAGAGCACGACGTTGGGCTGGGTAGGTATAAAAATAAAAACAAGATTTAAATCAGTAGTTACTGGTAACGTACGAACTTGCAAAACCTTGCCGCCCCATAAGAGGGGCGGGAGGAGAAACCCCCGCGGGGTTTTTTTTCCGAACCAGGCGATGTTACCACTCCACCACAAGAGCGCATTTGACCTGACCAAACAAGCCTGTTTGACGCCTTTGCGCTCTCGATGGAAATGTTTCCTTAAGACGCCTTATATAGTACCTAAGCGCATTTCTCCTCCGTACGAAAATCCACTGATTCTTTTCAAATAATTGAACTGCAGCAAGCCCCCAATAGCAATCTAGGCTATTGCGATATTTAGAATTGAAGTGAAACGTAAATAAAGACAAAACAAATGGAATCAATTGCAACGGCGTTTTATTAATCGGGGCTATATTGAGTACAGAGGTTCGTCCAAATACCGCATGAACAGCTGAACTCGGGTACTCAATATTTTGACGATCGCTATCAACCGCTACCGCATTAACGAACCAGTCTTTTGAATGCTATTTATATTTATTTCTAGGTGAGCTCAAAGATCATCTTTGACAGACGAAGTGGTAGTAACGATCTTCGGTCAGTCTCAACATGGTCCCACACTTGCGATGTCTTTGAGCTCGAATTGATGACGAAGACTCATACTATGAATGGAGGACCCTAGAATATAGGATATCAAGATCAGACATGACTAGCGTACATCATTTCACCGGCCTCTGAGTACTATTATGGCAGGGTCGATGTCTGATTGGGGTTCGTTTGAGCATGAGAACTGACCAAGTGCTTCGGATTCAGTAGCTCATGGAGCACTCTCGATAACATTGAAACCGACAAGATCAAAATAGCCGTAATCATCTCGTGTGACCTCTTCTCCTTTACATCAACGATGATCAAGTTGGTCCGGACATGGAGATGAACAAGAACTGAGGCACAACCTTTGCGCTGGATCGACCTACCCGGACAGGGTACTGACCACAAGTAAAGTATATCAAAGTATATATGTTATCACCGAGTAAATCTTGGAAGGTCATTGGAATTGAAAAGCAAAACAATACCCGAGTAAGACTTCGGATGTTAGTAGTGCTTATCCGTATTTGTGAGTAACTATTAGCTAATTCATGCAGTGATGGGACTCGTGAAAGCAAACTAAACCCAACTCATGCAGTGGGATAACCGTTACACAAAAACTATACATACTAGGTAAGCTTACATAGCTCATTACTTGAATCGACGAGGCAGAATTGCCCATTGACATTTGAGAGATGAATCTTCTCACGATTCTTGCAAAAATGGTTTCTATCATTTTATATCTTGACGTCGGTACATGCACACGTGGTTTACCACTAATCGCCGCTAATCAGCCCTAAGCATAGTTAGTTAGTATTTATATCTAGCCCCTGATACCCCACTATTCCATATCATGTAAGCTAAACCTTATTTAATTGAATTCTGCCACCGCCCGGGAAAATTACACCGCCAGATCTTTGTCCTCCTTGAACACAATATCAAAAAAGCAACTTTTTTTTTCCTTCCTCTGTTTTGGAAAATCTCTACCTGGGAATCACAAGGGAAGTACGGAGGAAACCCTCTCAAATTACAAGGCAGGTGCAGACAAATTACGATGTTGATTCAGAAACCCTTAATACTCTTTATTGATGCATATGATTCATTCTCGAATAATATCATTTCTCTCCTTGAAACTTCACTCACCGCCTCAGTGCGAACGGTCAAAATCAATGATCCCATCCTATTAGCATCTGAGGAAGCATTACACGAAGAATTGAGACACTATGTAGCGGTAGTATGCGGGCCGGGCCCTGGAAATCCGGAGACGGACAGTGATATCGGAATTATAAAGAAAATCTGGAGACTTGCCGATGAGGAGATGTTACCAGTATTGGGTATTTGCTTAGGATTTCAAAGATTGTGCTTGGAATTCGGTGGACAAATAAGGAGGCTAAATGGTCCACAACATGGAATGATTAGAAAGGTTCTACATGCAGGAGAGGCCCAAGCCGTCTCCGCCGTTGGAAATGATTCAATATTCTGTGGGGTTGGGGAGATTACCGCTACCTTGTATCAAAGTTTATGTATCGATATAGGCCAGGACGACATTCTAGATGAAGATTGGAACACATCACGATGGGAGCCAACAGAAAAATCTCCCGATTTGATACCATTGGCTTGGGTTGAAAGTGCCGATCTAGACGCTGAACATGCGAGAAGTTGCGGTGTGAAAGACAGCAGAGTTTTGGTCGGTGTACGACATGCAACGAAACCCTTTTGGGCAATACAATATCATCCTGAGTCGGTCTGCACAAATGATACAAGCAAAGAAATCTTTATAAACTGGTTCAAGTCGGCACAAGATTGGAATAAAACTTTCAGGAAGACGGAGATAAATTACGACGGTACAATGCACGGCCAATCTGCTACACGAGTGAGCCTTCTCCAACAATTCGAAGCTTTACAAACAATACCTGTATCTCCGACTAGCGATATCTCGACCGGCAATATGAAGCCCAAAAATATGTGCATTTCTCGAACAATTGATTTACCAGAGAATCTATCTGTACCTGATATTGTGGAATCCATCCAGGACATGGGTCGAGATCATATTCTACTGGAATCCACCAATGCAGACGAATCCTCCGCAGGATCTGCCGATGTGAAAGGACGATATAGTATCATAGGCCTGGACATCGATGATTGTTTGAGATTCGAATATCGTGTCGGGGACGGATACATAACCAAGATCCCCTCTTCATCCGGCGAATATCTCGATACTAAAGAGGAGATTGATTTAAAGTCTTGTGGCGGAGTTTGGTCTTTGTTAGCACATCGATTAGAGGTTGCGCGTGTTGCTGCAGGCAATGATGAATCGCCTTTCTGGGGAGGGTTTATGGGATATACGACATACGAGCTGGGTCTGGAAACTATTGATGTGAAAGTTGATAGACCCGATGCTCATAGCAACCGACCAGATCTCTGCTTTGCATGGGTCACTCGAAGTATAGTGGTCGACCACGTGAAGAAGGTTCTCTACCTTCAGCAATTGGCCAGCCTTGGTGATAGCCAAAGCGACACTGCATGGATGGAAGCGGTTGGCCCCAAGCTTGAAAAAGCAGCCCAACCGAAATCTCCAAAAAGCACTCGCCAAATCCCCCTCCGACCAGGTGATCTCGTCTTATCTTGCGATCGCATAAAGGTTTCTCGTCGAGAAAAACGAGCTTGGTCACCAGTTCGTACCCCCGCTTCGAAGTTTTCCATGGCTATCACTCAACCTACAGCCGATTCATATGAAGCAAAGGTCCGTCGATGCCAAGATAAAATTGCTAGTGGTGACTCCTACGAGTTATGCCTCACCGACCAAACCACCATCACCCGTCTTCGCAGCGATCCTCCTCATACATCAGTCCACAACACTACTGAGTCAATCCTTCTTTACAACAAAACTCCAAGACCAGCTCCAGCTAAAGGCGCCTGGTCCTTGTACAAAAATCTTCGCACACGTCAACCCGCCCCCTTCGCTTCTTTTCTTCGCCTTGGCGCTGCGACTTTAGTTTCTAGTTCTCCAGAACAATTCCTTAAGTGGGACAATCGCGTCGGAAAATGTTCTCTTCGACCTATGAAAGGCACCGTTCGTAAGACTGACGAAGTGACACTTTCAGACGCCACCGCACTCCTTAATGATCCAAAAGAAAAGGCTGAGAACCTCATGATTGTTGATCTCGTTCGTCATGATTTACATGGCGTCTGTGGGTCTGGCAACGTTTCTGTTCCACGATTGATGGTGGTTGAGGAATATGCATCAGTTTTCCAGATGATTTCTGTTGTCGAAGGTTCTTATACCAAATCCGGATCCGATGATATCGAGACAAATATGTCATCACTTACCATCAAGGACGACAAGAAAATAGCATACACTGGACTCGATATTTTAGCAGCCTCTCTCCCACCTGGATCTATGACTGGCGCACCAAAGAAACGTAGCTGTGAACTCTTGCAAGATATCGAACACCACAAACCTCGTTCTCTATACTCTGGTGTTGTAGGATACATGGATGTTGGCGGCCGCGGCGACTTCAGTGTTACTATCCGATCAATGTACCGTTGGGACGATGAAGATGGCGTCATTGAAGCCGAAGAAAAGGATACAGAGAAATGGCACATTGGTGCGGGCGGAGCTGTTACGGCTCTTAGTACCCCCATTGGCGAGAGAGATGAGATGTTAACAAAGCTTAATGGAACACTTGGAGTGTTTCGTTGAATGAGATAGAGATTTTCTTCATACGACGCGAGTCGGTTGGTTTATGCATAATGAAGGAAGATTTTCCGGAGTTATTCATGGGGCTATTCACTTTTCTTCTTGGTTTCTTGGGAGATTTTCAAACACAAATTTATGGTAAAGTCCCCAGTTCGAGATACCTCAACGTATCGTATCTATCATATAGAGAGCGGGGCATTGACGACTTATGACCTTGGGATGGCGCTTTCGTGTATTGGATATGGATTGGATAGGAACAGAGACCGGGACATGGAGTACAGAAAATCTCAACGAAGACATATATCTTTTTATAGAGAGAGAAAAGAAAAGGTCCGCAAGGATTCACATGTGCAGTTACATACCTAGATAGATATATTTCATAGACTGGTAATACCAACTTTACATTCTCAACTCATTTTTGGTACACGATCTTGCGTGCATGGTTCTACAATTGCGACAACCTTTGGATGTTGAAATCAATTTCCTACCTATTTTGTCCCAACCCTCCCGCATGACCTGACTACCATTACTACATCGTGCATTTGAGCTCTTTCTGAATTGTCTGCTCGTTATCATATCATGTCTTTCACCGCGTTAAATTCCATGCGTATGACGTTATTTCATTCCATTAATCATTCGCATGTGTTATTCTTTACTTTGAATCCAAAATCGAAGTCCAAGTACTCGAGGGCACTCCTTGGGGTGAGGTCTCTACCATGAATTGAAAGGACAAGTAGTCCTTGACATAGACCTTATCCCTTCATCACAGCCATGGCTACATTGTGCTCCTCATCTTCTTTTACATAGTGGTCGCAACCTTCTCTTGTCATCATCATTATCTCTTTCTTTCACGAAAAGTCCAATCTCTGCATCCGCTTAAAACCCTATATATCCTTACACTTCCAGTTCCTCCTTTCCCATCCCCAATACATCTGCCCCTGCAACACTTCCTCCTCCCATTCCTACACCCTCCTAAAACTCAGCCTCCTCCTGGAAAAACATTCCAAAACTAATCACCGTGCCGTAAATCAGCACACCGCCAATAATGCTCATGACCATGGCTGGCACAGTAATAATATGACTATGCGCCAACACCGCCGGAAGAGCTACACCCATCATACACAAGAAACCCGTTGCGAAACGACCGAGATCGAGAACTCCAGAAGAGGAAGAATCGGAAAAGTCATCGGGAGAAGAACAGCGGGATGCGAGAAATTGGGGAGAGAGCGATAATGAATGTGAGAACGACAAGGAGGGGAAGGTATTGGTGGAAGAGCGCGCAAGAGAGGATTACGAGGAGGAATCCGAGAGCGAGGACCTAGGGGGGATATTAGAGACTGAGGGGATGGGGCATATAATGAGGGAGAGAGAACGTACGAAAGAGAGGGAAATTATTGTTTTAAGGCCGGCGGTCATATTGAATAACCTGGGAATGGCACGTTGGATGAGTTGCGATTGAGGTTGCGATTGAGGTTGATAGTTATCGGTCGCTTGCTTGCGTTATCGGTGTAGCTCAGTAACTATCGTATCACACAGAATTGTACTATGCGATTGTCTTGTGTGTGTTTTTTGTTCTCGATAGACGGCTTGAATGAACGGGTAGATGTGAGAATTGTTGGTGGAAGATAGAATTGCTCAAGCTTGTTGTTAGTAAGAGATTCAAAGTATCAATCACCAACCGCCTTGGAGCTGACGTTTCGGAAGCACGCGCTTAAATGATAGCTTCATAGCCTTGTTGATCCACTCATTAAAGCAGCACTAACTCTTCTCCTTTACGCAGAACAATAAACCTCAAAGTCTTGCCATTTTAAGCTTCTAGCTACCTATTCTAAATCATACCTAACAACAGTTCGAGCTTGCCTCATCATCGTGTCTGCCTCATACAAAAGCGTCCAGTTCCTCCATTCTGCAATTTACACTTCTCAACCACTACATCCAAAGTTTTTGACGCATATTTGAAGATACCCGTGTTTTTATCTCTGCGTCTGAGTGGTTTCAACTTGCTTTTTAATCAAGATGTTCAGAAACAATTATGATAACGATTCTGTTACCTTGTAAGTCAACTACTTCTTGGTGGCATGGAAATGGAAATTGAAATTGATGAGATGGCAATTATAGCTCCCCACAGGGTCGAATCTTTCAAGTCGAGTATGCTTCAGAGGCTGTGAAGCAGGGTAGTGTTGTTGTGGGAATAGTTAGCAAGACTCATGCTGTTCTTGTGGCTTTAAAGGTTAGTAGTTATGGACTATTTACTTTCTGCTACGACCACAAACAGCAGAGTATATGATACGGCACAATTTACTATCTTCTGCTTCGCCCCCATTCTATAGTACTGAATCAAGACTAACACATTCTTTCCCAAACAGAGAAACGCAGAAGAACTCTCCTCCTACCAAAAAAAAGTAATCGCAATCGATGAGCACGTCGGACTGGCCCTCGCCGGTCTTGCCTCCGACGCCCGCGTCCTCTCCAACTTCATGAAAAACCAAACTCTCGCCTCGCGTTTAACATATGACCGAGCTATCCCCATCGAACGACTCGTCGCTTCAATCGGTGACCGCGCTCAAACTAATACTCAACATTACGGAAAGCGTCCATATGGTGTTGGTCTTCTCGTAGCTGGTGTTGATGAAACCGGACCTCATCTATTCGAGTTCCAACCATCGGGCATGACGCAGGAAATGAATGCTTGTGCGATTGGTGCGAGGAGTCAAATGGCCAGAACTTATTTGGAGAGACATTTGGAGGAGTTTCCAGACTGTGGAAGAGAGGAATTGGTTAAGCATGGTTTAAGAGCACTTAAGGAATCTCTAGCTCAAGACAAGGAGTTGACGGTCGAGAACACAAGTGTGGGAGTTGTAGGAATTAAAGCAGAAGGGGCTAAGAGCATTGAAGGTTTCAAGCTATTCGATGGTCAGGATGTAAAGCAATGGGTAGATTTGGCAGCGGATAGTGCAGAAGGCGCAGAAGGTACCGAAGCTGCGGAGGGTGGTGATTCGATGGAGGTAGATGCATAAATGAAGGTTGAACAATTTGGATGGCACTATGGATCATGACTTATGCTAATAGAAATGAGCTCTGAACGCAGTGTTCTTGTTGTCTGAAAGTGATTCGAATTTCAAAGTCTAATGCACAATTAAAGGTAGGCACAGTTAGAGGATGTGGGAATGCTAACCGTGTGGCTATCCCAATCTGAACTTTTGGACGCATTTTGGAATATCCATAAAAATGTCTATGATTTTTTTGGAACACAGAGACGATTGCTTCAGACATCGGCCCTAAATGTATGGAATATTTTTTCATGCATGTAATCTCACATGGGATCCAAAATGAAGAATGAGAATGAGATTTTAATGTTGGTGATTGTCTTGGATGTTCAGAGTGTACGTACGTGGTGCTCGCATGGTACAGGTTGGAAGATTTCTTAGAGGGGAAGGGAGGGGAGGGGGAATATAGGAGGTGAGATCACCTAATTACCTCTGAAAATACTGTTCTATTTGTAGGCTAAGTTGGTGTTGAAGTTATTCTGGGAGTGGGGGAGAGGAGGGGAGGGAGGAGGAGATGGAATATATTATTTTCAGGTGGAGAGGATCAGGAGAGAAGCTTTCTGTTGCGAAGTGAATATCTTCTAATCCTTGATATTCGACATGAAACTTTCGCATACACAATAACTTAATTCGAGAACTCCACTCCATTATATCCATAGTTTCGTTACGGTTTCAAGATTTTGAATGGCTGCTCATTTGATCTATCGTATGTAACTATTGATTGGGAACAGGAAACTGATACTTTGATATCCTATATGCTATAGTCCATGCTAACAATGCATTGCCAAAATCTAAAATGCTAAGGGGTATGTTACCTTCCGTCTCCTTTTTCGGGCTTGTACTTCCTATTTTCAACATACTCAGCGCTTCGTGTGCTTTCTGTGGAAGAAGTTAGATTTACGTCCGTGATGACGGAGATGTAAATCCATTTTGTCTTTCCCGCTCTGAACACTCGCCTGTCCAAAATGTAAAGACAAGACTAACGCATCTGCAAATGCAACATCTCCCTACTGTATCAGGCATCTCTATCCCTCGAGAAATAGGACACCTGTCTACTCATTGCCCCACTCCAATTTAAATCTTCCTTCCGTCAACTTGTAGTCCCTCAATGCCTGGATCGTCTCTTCTGCCGTCTTGCAATCCACCACGATATTTTTGTTAGCCTCTCCCACGAATCCAGCCTCTACAGAATTTTTAACCCATGCCATTAATCCATCCCAATACCCATCCACATTAAGTACGACAATACCTCTTGTATGAATACCCAATTGATTCCAGGTAACCACTTCCATCAATTCCTCCAGGGTACCATACCCACCTGGCAACGCAACGAAGCCCGAACCTGGACCCCCAGCAATAACCTCCTTAGCCATCATTGATTTCCGCGCATGCATATCCTTCACCACAGTAGTTCTTCCATAAATCTCATATTCAGGAAGCCCGTCTCCATTTTCTGGTGTCCCGGTTCCGTTTTCCTTGCTGTGAATACTCGCCGCGTCGCTGTTGGGCCCGCGCTCATATTTCACCAATGGAGCGGGTATGATGCCGTGCACGGAAGTGGGACCTGAGAGTGCAACGAGGGTTCGAGCTACTTCGCCCATGAGTCCAACGGTGCCGCCACCGTAGACGAGTGATATGTTCTGCGCAGCCATGTGTTGGGCGAGAGAACGCGCCATGGCCATGTGAGAGGGAGAGAGTCCCGGGGAAGAACCGCAGAAGACGCATATTTTCGTGGGGGGCGGAGAGGTAGAGGAGGAGTTGGTTGTTTGGGCTAAGGGAGAAGAAATGGATGGGTTGGTTGATTCGCGAAGGGAGGGGACGGGGGAAGCGGCTGAGAGAGGAGAGGCGCCACCGGATGCCATTTTGTTTTATTGAGATGAAAGTAAAAAGTGTGGATGATAGTGATGTTGTTTGTGAAGTTGGAATTAAAAGAATATCTTGTGTATTGAAAGTCTTGTTTGTTGTTGTATGTTGTATACTGTCTGTTAGATTCGAGGTCTGATCAAGTATGTTACGTACTTTAAGTACCCAAGAGAATTAGTGGTAAGAGTGGATGTTATCTGCAGGTACGAGTTGTCTGGTGACGATCACAATAGAGAAGGAAACCTGTAAGAAAAGGAAACGTGGTTTGAATTTCGAGAAAGGAGTGTGTTGATTTCTTGGTACGGAATTGACTGAATCACCGTGAATTATCTCTGATCCCATATGTAATTGGGAAGAGCCCTGGAGAGGTACGAAATAGTAATGTTAAGATAATTGTTGGGTGTGATACACTCCACCCCGCAGTCTGTGGGGTTGTTAGCGCTGTATGATTGGTGTGTGGATGATCACAAGGGGTCGAAGCTGAAAGGGCTGTTATGTCATTGTGCTTATGTAATCGTAACCTCTCACTGCATGGCAAATTTCCCTACGCAATCGCTTCCCGGTGAGCGACTGGGTTAATTGATCATTTGATGGACTCGGGTATGGAATTATTCAGAAGATGTTCAGACGACATCAACATCATCGATATTGATGAGTTGGTACAATGGAATTATAAGGATCAAGAATCTGGTCATTGACAATTCCTAGGTTCACAACATGATCCTCATGGTGAATTCGAACTTATTGATCTCACAAGTGTGTTACCCAGCAATCACTCGTTGAAGCACCACATCTCAATCTCCAGCGAGGACCAATCGTGTGAGCTACTGCTAAACAATTGTTTCGAGTAAGTTTGCAGTCAGAAGTTTTGTTCATATGATAATCAGATGTGGAGTTGTCGTTGTTTTCTGTAGTGTATTCGCTGCTTTGTTTTGCCTAGTATCCATCCATCCACCTATTCTCTATCAATGACAACAGATCGAAAGATCCACCCATACCCTTGCCTCCTCTCCTAAACGCATACTCAAACCAGCATCTTCGTCCTGCCAATGCAGACATCACACTTGCTTCCCCTTATCCCTTTCACAAATCAATATGTGGAAATCTTAGACTCAACCTTCTTTATTGCTTTAGTCCGGATGCTAGAGCTTGGCTAGTGAGGGGAGTAGCCCTGATTTGGGGAGTCATGTCGATACCTATCTGGGCTGTCTTAGGAAACGATTTCCTAACTTGGTTGAGTCGGAGAAGGAGGGAAAGATGACGCATTCGAACTACAGATGGGAAAGGATTTGGAGAGGAAGGAGAAGAAGTTGTTTCATCATGGATTAGCTTCAAGCAAGGATTGAAGCGAGGTTTGTCATGAGATGAAAGGATTGAAGTAAGTGGGTCTGTGTTTCTGGGTTTCGCAGAAGCGATTCTACTAGACTTGGCATTTATTTGCGGAATATTCAATAGTAGAATAGTAAAAGTAGTCGATTTAGCATTTAGTGCCAAGAATGCATGTTGATATTAAGAAATGTCAGAAACGTATCCCAATCACAAAATTTTAAACTAGAATCACAGAACTTGAACTTTAGACTGCCAACTCGTATTCTTGTCTAGTCCTGTTCATTGAGGCTAAAAATCATACAATACAGTAAAGGGTCCGCAAACGATGAGAAAGTCAAAGGCCTCAGATCAGAACGATCTAATAACTATGTGAGAAAATATAAACATCTTGATTCCTTTCAGTATCGTGCTCTTTTGCTTCCCTGGATTATGAATCTTAATTTGAATATTCAATTTTGTCTTTACTCCTCTCACAGTAGCAATTACTTACATCTAATAGCAAGCTTCAATGAGCCGCTATGGTCTTGTTTCTCAGGAGAGAGGGACATGAAGAAGGAAGAGGGAGGAGGTAAACTTCAATAAGGAACTTTTTTTCTCGAAAAGGGAATGGTAGGGTTGAATCTCGTCCTACTTTCCGATTTCTAAGGGCGAGTGTGAATAAGCCTCTCTCATATTGTGTTCTAGGACAGGAGAGAGAGCGAGGGAGCGAAAGATTTATATTTGGAAAACAAATACAAATAATTTAGGTCTGAACGTATTTGGGGCTTCACTCTTTGAATGGTCTTTTAATCGATCAAAAACTTCAGATAATAGGGTCTAGTAGCAAATTTGGAGAAATAGGGTCATTCCTACACCCTCTCTACTCCTATCTCAATATATGAAACACTCTCTTCCTACTACCCAAATCAAGCGCTACTGAGTCTCCCGCCCCAGTCCCATGGAGAAGAATGGAGAAAGTCAGAATACTTTTTCAAAATGCTATCAAACAAACATTCTAGAATTAATTCTACAGAACCCTCCAAGATTCAAAAAAATTCATCTCACCAGGTATCTCAAATACAGGGGCATGAAACCAAAAAAAGTGCCATCTACCTCGTTCTGAGCATCTTGTCTATCCATAAGCCAGAAAGATGCCCAAAACGAGGTAGGCAAAATACATGAAGAAGTTCTAGACTATATCTCGGATTAACCTTCCTGCTAGTGGTTGGTCAAATGAGTTTCCTGAGTTGTAAACAATTTATTGGTGAACATGGGGAAAGATCTCTTAGATCAAACTAGATTGTTGTCTGCTCTTGTATTAGATTAGACAGCAAATTCATAGATCTGTAGTAGTTGCTTAATCTCAGCATGTGCTTTGGATAAGAAAGTAAGGAGCTGAACAGGTTTTCTGTGGTGGAAAGGTAACAAAAGACCTAATCATCAACCATATATTATTGAGAAGGTGTTATGATAATCTGGGGTGGTAATGAATAGCAAATGATCACTGGTAAAACAATAATATCAACCTTTGCTCTAGAACAAAGATCCAGCCTTCGGTTTATTGACAAAAGTTCATATCTCTTTAGACTTGATGATAGTAATATCATGAAGGGGCAGGTCACATACCCATAGATTCAACTATAATAAGTTCTAATACAGTTTACTCTTGTAAACAACTGGCCACCTCCATTTCTCTTACACCAAAAGCTTTCCATCTGAGCAATCCCCATGTTGCTGCCTCGAGGCACCCATCATGTCGCCGACTAAGCAGAACCTCAAATCTGACTGGATATAGTAATTAGGGCAACTTTTACCCTTGGACCTGATTTCTTTCTCCCACAATCTCTTTAATCCCTTTTAAAGCATCACCTTTCAAACAATCCAAAGCTTCCACTCCATCAACATCAACACCAACTCCAACTCCAACGACAACTTCAACCCCATACAAACATTCACAATTGCTCCGTTGCCTTCGCATCCCATAATGCCTCAATTTTTTACTGACTTGCTGTGCATGGCATGGTTGTAGGCCTATTTGTAAGTTTTCCAATACTTTCTCTTTGCCTCCAAGATCGACAAGAAGCAGCCTTCGTACTTTATGGAGGCTGCCACTGTTCGTTCAGTATTTAACAATTTCCAATAAGTGATACGTACTAACAAATGGGGTAGATCGTAGTAGGTTTAGTTGTATGCCCTCGACTGGTAATCGTGTTCTTTGCGGAAATAGTGAGAGAAATAACGAGAAATCGTTTGCGATTTTAGGAGAGAAGTAATTGTTGAGAATATGTAAGTCTTATTCATGAATCTCTCTTTTACTTTTCTGATAAGTTTGTGAGACCCAGCAACACTTAATGCTCTCCAATAATTTTAAAATATTTCTTGTGCCTAACAATGAGATTTTCAGATCGCCGTTTGCACCACCGGAAGCGCATCAAAAGCCAAGACAAGAGATTTGCATCTACTGCACCTTGCAGTTCGATGGGTAAGTAATGTTTCTTCAACCTAAAACAAAGACGCAGCAATATACTAACACATTTCGTGGCGCAGAGAGATAAATAACCAACGCACCCACAACAAAAACCTCTTTGCATCGGCTGCAGCAGAGGACTCAACCTATTTCACTCGACACGCAAATACCGACGAGGCCCATCGACGTCGAAAGATGCGCTGTCGCGTGAACAATCGGATGGTCACGAACAATCGTGGCTCCTTCCTGGAATATATTCCGTGGTATGACATTATCCTTAGCCATTCCTAATTGAAAGCTAACATCATTGCAGTTATACCGAAAGAGCGAGAAGGGATTCATTGAGCATGAAGACGTATTTCATACTATCATTCATCCAAAACCTATCACCCCTATCCAGGGTTCCCTTCAGGCTCTATTCTAAATCCTCCTTTCAATTTCAATTCCAAATTCCAAACTCGAAGATATCGATGATCAAGTGCGAGATGATTTGAAAGAAACAATTTATCCAGAACTACGCTACCCCATCCAACGGGCGACTGGCAGACCGAAAACCAGTAAATCAAGCGCAAGATTCAACCCATTCAGTGATTCGCATCGTTGCATCAAGTTTAAAACAAAGCTTCGTGCTCATCTTGAGCATTAGGAAGTTTGCCGACGCCCATTGGACAGCGCAGCATTATAGCTTGCATTTCAAGAATCCCTGACTTGGTTACGAGATGCTCTTTCTAGAACATAGATGTCGAGTGCCACAATAAGCTGCGGCATGGATTACCAACCAGTCCATCGAATAGTCCTACCTCGCCATCTTACTCGCCAACCTCTCCAAATTATAGTCCATCTAGTCCAAACTATGCTGGATGGACTATAACTTGGCGTTCTCAAGTAAGACACTCTGGCTATGGAAATCTCGCAAGAGGTCAAATTGGAGCAAGCACTTTGAAGGGAAGATCGAGCACTTCACTCTTCCACTCCAACTTCCATCTCGGCAAGCATCAAAGCCTCGAAAAGAGCACCCGCGCCAACTACTTCTTTAAGCAAAGGGTTTCCAACCTTCCAAGCCGCCAAATGACAACTGATCTTTGAATCCTGCGGAGATAATTAAATCCCGGGTTCCAATTTCCTATTAGACACGGCACAGCTTCACCACCATAATAGAAGAATTTATGGGAGCAGGCATGAGAATGAACCAACAAGCTTTGAACTGACGGGGTTTGCAATCCTTTTCGTTGCCCCGGCACGTCAGCCCGTTGAATATCAACGGTATACGTGGTCAACACTGCATACATGCAAATTTGCAGATCCTGAGGGACCCAGCAATTCACAGGTCATGCTGAACTCCATCCGAATACTCTGATGTTGCTTCCGCCGCCCAATCCCCTAATCTGGGCCACCAAGATATCTTCGAAGCCATAAACCAACAGCACTCACCGGTGCAACACCATCAAGACTCAAGACTCTGGAAAGTAATGTCTATCTGCCCATCCTCTGCGACACACTCCAGAAAACCTGCAACAACAAGGCATGGTGCCTTTGTGGGTGGGAAGTTCCAGGCACTCGCAATAACACAGGAGGAATGAGCGAAGCCCCTGAAGCAGGCCCAAGCAAACGGGGCTTCAACATATCCTCATTCTGCGGGTGCTTGGAACTTCCTGAACCGGTACGTACTGCCTACAAGAATGCGATTCTCAAGATGAGTCCGGTGACACCTACCAATTACTCGTTCGACGGATACAACATGATTTTCAATGCGAGTCCTACCACACCTACAAGCTACTCAGCTGGTGACCATCATGGTTCAAAAACTCCTATTCACTTCTCTCTCTATCTCTTTGAGTAGCAAATGTTGTCATCGCAATGATGAGAGTACTCGGACTGCACCAATTGAATCTTTGCGTAACAATTTGGTCGCTTTAAATTCATCAAGAAAATGCTATTACACACCCATAAGAACAACATGACACGGATTCTCTTCCTCGATGAACTTTCGCCTTTCTTCCCCTTGGCTTGGTATTTGCCTTCCGAACCACGCCTTGATGATTTCAAACTTGAGGGCAGTCTGTGTGGATTTTTTGGACAGAGACGAGGTCAATCCAAATGATGGTGGAGAACCAGATGACTTCTATCAAGATTATCAACCCTTTCAAAGACAAACGGTACGAGACTAAATCATAGGCCCTACTGCACGGAATAACCAAACTGCATTCAAGGAGATAAACCGATTTGATCGATCTTTCCAGCACCTGGGCCATTCATCTTACCATTTCTTGGTATCCTGACACCAATCTCAACAGGATAAGCCCAAGCTGCAGGATTTCACTCCTGTTCAGAAATTGTTATTTCTCCGGCTTTCAGCTGGTATTCTCGCAACGCTTCTCGGCAATGCAAACATACCTCTCCTGAAGATGAGCGAAACCTGCCAGGTTATCCTCAGCCTGGTCTGAACTCGTACACAGGTGAAGAGAGTCCCCGATATCGCTATTGTAGCAAGGAAAGATGGTGGAGAGTCAGCCACTCAAAGCAAAGGCGGATTTCATTTTCAATACTCTTATTGCATAACTTAGATAAAACATCTGAGCAAATTTAAAGTCGATGTGGCAGTCTCTTCCAATTCCCATGCAAATTCCGTCGAGAATCTTTATGTGTTTGAAGCAAAGAAATTCGTTTATGTCGAACAGCCTAAGCTTATGAAACCAGGACAACAAGGAAAGAACGCAATTAGACACTACGATTACTTCGAATACTTGCTTTTTTGGTACAAAATTACAGACGTGAATCTCGCTTATGGCCATCGGTGCTTTACATAGCTCCTCTCCCTTGCGGTAATAGCCCTCTTGCTGATAATTTCGATGCCTACTACCATGAACTGAAATCGTCAGCAACAAGAATTCAACAAACCCCACCTTTCTTTGAGAAATCGTGGGTGCTTTTGATATTGAGTTACAATGCACTTGCTCCACTTCGACTGCACTAGCAGCTGCTTGCTCGAATTCTTTCAAGTCATCGTTGCCAGACCTCTGGCTTTCACAACCAATCGTTTCGCGAGTCATTACATTATCTTTCGTGTGTCAGTCCTCCTTCTCTTATTCTTCTAGTATTTGCAGCGAGAAGAGAGAGAGGGGCGATCTAGAACTAAGGGACCCTATGTCACGTCTTGAGTGGAGGGAATACAGATGTACAGGTCATCGAGCTTTTGGGCCTTCTTGTGATTCATCTTTCTTACCTGGAATGATGATGGATTGTTTTCGTACTTTAAAATTCCAAGCCGAATTGCGCTGTAAGTGGAAATGGAGCCAAAAAAAGATTGTTGTGAAAAGCAGCTGACCATTGTAGATCTAATTATTTTGAAGGAAGACAAATTGCGATTTATTGGGAATCATTATACATGGAAGCAAAAGCTACCGCCGTTGGTCTCGAAAACTCCTTTCATGTACATCACTAACGCCTCTCCAAACCCTATTTTACGTGACTTTATCCATGAGCACTTAAAGGATCAGAAGAATCTCCACCAGATGAAGATGATCATGAAAAGTCCCAGCCCGCCAATTGGTCCATATTGTTTCAACATCAGTTCCCAATTGATTCTTACGGCAGCTTTGCGGTATTTCTTGCTGTCTTCTCTCAATCTGCTGCTCACCTCACCCATACGCTCCAGGTTGTCTCCTCTGTAAAGCAAGTCTTCAATATTCTTGGTCATGACCTTGGTGACATCTCGAAGTTCATCGTTAAGCTTGTCAAGATTCTGTGTTGCTCGTGTATCGGAATATGTGGATTTTGTCCGCGAAATGAACGTATCGAAATCCATGAAGGCATATGGGCGTAAAGTTGGAGAGTGTACCTGAGTGGCGGGGTAGGTGGTGTTGAATTCGGTGCAAAGATCAGAGAGGTATGTGAATGCAAGCTTTCGTGGGTATGAGCGTTCGCAGATGCATAGGAAAACGATGTCGTTGGCGATCATATAGCTGAGATATTGTTAGAAAGGTATGCATGATATATCCACTATGAATTCTAGCTGCTAATGGATCACAGGCAAAAAAAAAGGCAGATAGCAACTCTGTCTCTGCAGAACATAGCATCGAGAATTTCCATTTCGAATTCAGACTGGCAATAAGATCCCTCATTGCCCAACGCCAAAATCAAGAGATATGTTCAAGAGTTTCGTGGCGGGAACAATTGTTCGTGTCTCACATGCGCATTTTATTTAGAGGAAAATTGAGATCTGCGCTTGCTAATTCTCGCTTTGCCATTCCATTTTGTAAGACCGTATGTGCTTCCTAAAAGAAGTCTCATGGCTCTAGGCCTTGCTGCATCTCACAGTAAGGGCTACAGAAGCAACGAGAGACAAGATGCATCCAAATGGACCAAAGGATATTATGTTCTTGTACGTACTGCATAGTATATGGACCGCTATCGAGAGTTGCTTGATCGGCGGAATTTCGATTCATTTTTCGGAGAACCATCTTGACTTGCGACTTGATCTCTGCCAGGGAAGTTTCAGTCTGGAAAGTACCTAAGTCAGCTTCGCAACCCCCAACTTAGGAACAGCATGCGCACCTGCTCGTCGTCAACTGAGGCGCATAACATAAGGCCTTTAGTGCGAGGTTAGCCAAATTCTAACAGTATAATCGAGAGTCGCCATACCATCCAGCCTCGCAATTTGCGTGGATCTGATCATCTTGTTTGGTCGTAGCTGGAGCTCCTCAAGGTACGTTTGTCGAACTTATTAGGTGTTATTTTATGATTATGATATTAATACATGTGTCGCAGACCTTGTGCAGATTTCAATCTGATAGTAGAAATATCAGAGAAAAGAAATCTCAAGAAAAAGTACAGATCAAGAAACTTATTAATCAAAGACGTGGAAGTGTTTAAAAGGAACTGGTTACTTCAATGGATTCAAAAGCTGTCCCAATTTCCATCATCCATATCCAGAACCCTGAGTCGGATTAACTCTCTCCGAACACCGACATGACACCTTCCCCTTATAGCACTTATAGCACGAGGCTACCAATGACGCACTAAGTGAGGAGGAGGCTACAACAGATATTTATTATATTCTAAAAAGAATATTTTGGTGAGTTCTTGTTTGTTCTCTTCAACTTTCAATTTCACAACAGTCTTTTTCAGGTTGGAAATCTTTCACTCAAAAGAGTCACTCGTTTCAGAAAGGAAAACCCTCTGTTCTCTGACTTTATTCTCTCTATTTCTGAAAAGAGAGGATTATACTTCATTATCTGCTGGACCAATTCTGCGACTTTGCGTTTCTTTTCAGTTTTCTCGGCCATAACCTCTACTTCCAACCCATTTTTACTACCATTATTCTGATGGCTTTACCTAGTGCGCCTCCTGTTCCGGAGACGGCTGCTCCACCGAGCTCGCCTGTTCTAGGCCCCGCGGATTCTGGAATTAATCCCCAGACCGCGGTGGCAGCGACATCAATCCCGGTGTCAGAAGCTTCGTCCTTGGCTTATAACGAGGCGATTGGGTTGCTCGACCCAATCGCCCCGTATCAAACAGCAGCAAGATCAGTTAGTACATTCATATAATCACGTGTTCAATATTCAGATAACGAGCTAATATTCAATCTTAGGAGAGGAACCTGGCTCCTACCAGGGAGATGAACCAATTGCATGCAGAAAGACCGCTCAGTGATCATTTCATGATCTCATCCTGCTCGGATAGATCCTACGTCCCAACGCCATTCAACACCCCTCGCACTGCATCCGGAAGAGAGTCTCACCCTCATCTTGCACAAGATTCCTCCCCTAGAGGAGAAGAAAAGCCGACTATCAGAAGAGTAGCACCTCGTATCCTTAGTGGTGATTTAGGAGAAAAGGAGAAGGTCTGCCTTCGCGGAGGAGGTCCAAAGAAGAGGCGTGGTAGTGCTGCTGGTAATGCTCGCAAGAAGCCAAAGCCTGACAAGTACGCGGATGTTGACCACTTGTTGTCGGACTTCAAATCACCCATCTTCCAAGAAGATGCGAATATCAAGGTCATGAATAATTTTAGATTCTTTTTACCATATCTTACTAACTGTTACCAGGCGGTTCTTACTCATCCATTGACAAAACAAACGATGGCTGAGCAGGGTGGACCATACCCTTTCGATGGAATGACTGGAGATGAGATTGCAACCACTGCCGCAGACTTCAAGTCAGATGGTAGTTACGGAAGATTTGACCCAGACTGGATAGAACAAGCTATCAAAGCATCTCAAACCCGCGCATCTGGTGGATATGATGCTTATCTAGACAGTCAATTCGCAGAAAATTGGGCTGAAGACGAAGAGCAAATCTCAGATGAAGAAACGAAAGATCTCAATGATAATGGCGAAGATGGCGGCAACGGCGAGACAAAGCCTGAGAAAGAAGATGAAAAGAATTAACCGATGGTTATCACCTGCTCTCGCCATGTTGTAATTCTTTCGATCCTTCCACCTAGTATAAAAGCTCGCAGGCATTCAACAATACCGACGACCAGAGTACGTCAAATATATCACTGGATTTGTCGTAATACTTCCTTACACCTGATGTTGAACCTCTTCAAAGTAGCAAACTCCCTCACAACACGACCCTTAACAACAATCATCCGAAACCTTGGCTTCTCTACTATACTACATTCGATCTTTTTACAGCCAGACTTTGCGCAAATTTGAGGCGCCCTCATTTCAGTTTCACTTTTCTTATTCTCAGATCAACAAATTTCATTGCGCACGCGGCGTTCAGTATGTCAGATTAGATACCCACTTGTATTTCTTGATTTCATCGGAGAGCTTTTCAAAAAGATACCTTCGGAGTTTGATTTAAGGCTGTTTCTGGGGCTAATTTGGCTGTATTTTCTAAAGTTTCTATTCTAAGTTTACGCATGTGGTGTTTGGGATCTACAGGGGATTTATGTGGCAGTTTGTAAGAAGAAGCTTCAGCTATGAATCGACTCGATGTCATACTCGAATCTCTGATAAAAAGTCAGATATTTACAACCAAGGGGAGGAATGCATGTGCCTAGCATATCTGTCTACAATTGAGAATCCTAATTAGTTGGTTCGACTTCCCGTTGTTATGTGTGGTATTTAGAAGGGGGGGGGGGTCGTAGATTAGGCTTCTTCTAGTTCCACTGTTCATTTACAAATTGATTCATTTTCGTCTCGATATACCCTCTCTCGTAGGATGAACATTTATTGATCAAGGTTCGATTTTGTTCCTATTGATGTAGTATTTGTAAATTTGATGATATTGTGTTTTTGAAAAATGTTTTTGTTATGAAAATACATCGCATTCGATTGTTCCTGACCAGTCCTTGGAAGATGAATCACAAAATTGCAATGGTCAAAGACAAATTCCAACTGAGTTCTTTTCTGAAACAATTCTCCTTTTGCCGTGGCCAAGGCCCGGATAGCTTTCCTATCAAACAGACCCATACCCAGTAACCAACCAAGTTCCCAACCTACTCATTCCTGTCAATGAAGCACTACTTACCGCTTGTCATACCAAAGAACCCCCAAAGAGAAATAACCCCAGCACTAAGCGTTCTAAAAGCAACACTCCCCGGAACCCCATGCTTCCAACAAACATAACCATCCACAAAGGCCAAGTATCCCAAAGACGCAATCACAACATCCATCGCTTCGAAATGATCGCCCAAATACAAACCCCATAGTGCTAGACCAACAGCAGTAACGCGGGCCGAGCCAGATACCATCACGGGATGAGCGGGTTTAGAAACAGCTATTTTCTCGTTGAAGCCAAATGTTCGGATGGCGTTTTCGGCGTTCCAGAGAGGCATGGTGCCGCCTATGGTTATTGTTGTGGCGAGGAGGAGAGGAGGAATGTGGCGGAGGATGATGTGCTCAAACATTTTGATTTGAACGTTTCGTTTGGTGAGTTTGTCGACTTTGCGTGGTGAGATGAGATAGCTAACTCGGAGGGAGCAGTTGCTTGGTTTGTTGGAGATCACTTATGGAGACCTAGGGAGAGTGAGATTTGGATGATCTTGTGTATTTGAAATTGCGCTCAGGACTTCATATCAAAAAGAGATTCACGTAAAAAGAAGTAAGATTGTTGTATTTCCAGATGCAAGAAAGTGGCGTAAGCGCTTTTGTGAATCACTTGATAGACATGCGCAGCTCACATTTTATAGGAGTCGCTACCCCGCCGACCCCCACTCATTCAAACGTCTAATGGTGGGAATTTGACTGAACCACCTATATTATACACAAATTTTGGAAATTTGACAGTGTGTTTAATAAGAATCTGAACTTGAATATATGCCATGATAGATTTAAGGTTCGGATAACTCTTCGTGACAGGCACGTCAATATGAAGATTATCACATCGTCTCTAGGCTCTTGATTATCAAAGGTGGGCCCTGACTCGCTTGGCTAGTATGAATTTTGCTGCATAAGGTTACCCGTTTTGTTTCAAGCAGATCCCATACGGAGAAGGTTTAAGGGTCTAGAGTACAAAGACCTATCTCGCTTTTGCATAACTGTACATCGATCATGTTTTGTGACCCAGATTTCTCGGAATGACTTGAAAGTTGCTCAAAGATCATGAAGAACCAAGCACGGTGCAGTATGTACGGATCAGCCACACCATGCGACGAGTGGCGATTCCTGCAATCTTGAGGTTACCGGTATGGTGAAAACTACCAACTTGTCAAATCTCTTCACTCAAATCATACAGAGCTGTTATCATTAGGAGCGTGTTCTTTTTGTGTTGCGCCCCGGCGCTTCTTCCTCTATCATAGCAACGCTCATCTGAGCCATGCTAGACTCAAGCTCGGTTGAGCGAGATATATACCTCGGAACCCCCGGGGAAGCTTCCCCGCGTTCTGGACAAGGGTTCGGCAGATCAGCGCATATAGCTCAACTACCTTCCTCCTTTTTCCTTACTTCAAAAGTTAGAAAGTTCGGAATTACTGTGAGATTTTTGATTTACTCTAGCTAATCCTTTTCAACCATTTCACCACTAGAGATTTCAAAGAGGCAGCCAATCAAGAAGCCTAACTATCATCATGTCTAAGAATAATTACAAAGACATCATTGTCACCATCCAAAATAAGATAGGAATCATCAAAGTAAGATATGAACATTGAGTATGTAGTATAAGAATTCGCTGATGTATGATTAGCTCAATCGTCCTCAAGCCCTCAATTCTTTGGGAGGAAGTCTAGTACCAGAAACTATTGCTGCTCTGCGAGAACTAAATGAACACCCCGATACTGTATTTACAGTTTTAACAGGAGAAGGGAGATTTTTCTGTGCCGGTGCAGATGTCAGACGTGGGTTTGGGAGGAAGTCTAATGTCTACAACGTGCTGACACGTGAGATATAGAAGATGTTTCATTATCTGGCAAGAAGGAATATGCCAATGCTGCGGAAAAGAAAATTACATACCTCTCTAAATTGACCTTATGTAAGCGCCTTTTTACTCCCAGATCTAAGTAGAGACCTAATGACCTAGCTCTCGAACTCATGCGCTCAATAATCGACCACACTAAGGTTTTCATTCTCGCTCTAAATGGGCCAGCAGTAGGTGCTGGAGCAGCATGGTTTCCAGGAGTAGCTGATATTGTTCTCGCATCTACATCAACCTACCTTCAAATTCCATTCTCGGCACTTGGTCTAATTCCAGAATGTGGCTCGGCTATTTCACTAACTCAATCCATGGGTGTTCATCGTGCCAATGAGTTCTTGATGTTTGGAGGAAAACTTACTGCAGATGATATATTATCGTTTGGTATTGCCAATCGGATTTTTGAGTCAGAAGGGTTTGGAGAGAAAGTGATTGAGTATCTGGAGGAAATTTTGAAAACTAATGATGGAAAGAGTATGATGGAGGCGAAGAGGCTGCAGAACTTGCCCCTGAGAGATTCAAGAATATTGGCGGTGTATAATTCGATTGATGCCTTGGCTGAGAGATTCGTTGATGGAGCGCCGTTTGAAAGATTTGAAGCTAAGAGGAAAGAAATGGAGGGTAAGTTTTCGAGTAACCCTTTTGATAGTGACATATGGCTAATCTGATTTGCAGCAAAATCCAGAAGTCGAGCATCAAAAATCTAGATTGGGGAGTACGAACGATGTATTGTTACTAGAGAGGGGCATAAGCAATAGAGAGGGTAGCCCATATTACAGCAAAGTAATGATTACTCTCGTTACCTACTGTTTATTGATCCTATTTGATGAATTGATTCTGCTTTCCTTTACAGTTTGGAAGTTGGGAAAGAATGATTCACGCGTATCCACCGTGTTGTCAACTTTTATCCGGAATAAGCAATCAAATCACGGAAAGTGCAGAGACATTTAGTTAAAAAGAGATAAAGAAACTGGTAGTCATTGTTATTCACTATTAGCAGGTCCAGATATACGGCTAGCTATAAATCTGGAGTCTTTCCCTAGCCCACCAGCCCAACGTATCTCAAACTGACGGATATTCCGTCTTCCAATTCTACCTCTGTTCATTGAACAATCCGCAAACAACACTTGAGTCAACACATCATGGCTAACGGGTGTGTCGTATGCCAGAACCAAGGTGGAAAAGTCCTCTATTGTAGTTTGTGTCGTTCTCGGCAATACTGTGGTATGTTTTCAAATTGTCAGAAGTCTCTTTGAAGGCTTGTATTGAGTCTCGTCATGTGAAAGATACGATTTATATGGGAAATCTATACTAAGGGCCCGTTCGGATCGATTTTTTTAGGTGATATTGAGCTACATTTATTAACAATATAAGTCTAAATAAGCATTTACCAAATACAAATATTATCCAACAATCTATATTAATAAAAAAATTGAAAAAAAATTATTTGTCGAATACTTATATTGAGCTACAAAAAACTATAAAATGTAAATTTACAAATTTTGAAAATTTGTATAACAGTTTTATCAAGTTTCGTTAAATCTGTAATGTAACTTTGATTATTATAGTATTTATTAATATATTATTACTCTATATTTTGTAGATTACAAAATTGAATCTATATTCACAAAATTAAACTAAATTATTAGTTAACAAATCATTTCGTTAACAAATTAAAAAAACAATCCGAACGGGCTCTAAATGAAAGGTTCAATGTCAGTTGGAAACGCCTGTGGCTTTTTTGAAAAGCCAAATGCATTCCAAAAGCTTCGTGTACTAGATATTGTTCACAGGTACAGATTGTCGAACCGGGGACTTGCCAACCCACAAGGCAAAATGCAAGCGCGGGAACTATATTCTGAAGGTTGATCTCTGCCCTCGTCATATCACAAACCCCCTCGCATCAGCCGAACTCTCACGTGTCCTGCCACAGCGTCTTTCGCCGACCTGCATGATGCCCTCCAAGTTTCATTTGATTGGAAGAACTGCCATCTTTACAATTTCGACGTTCTCGATCATAAAGAAATGATGGGCTCCGAACATAGGTTCGTTATGCAGCCGGTACTGTGCAGGATTACCAATCTGGACACGTCGGATAATGGCGGCTTCAGCACATACCCAACCGAGAATAGCAAACACACCAGGCCTCATCAAATTATGGATGGTGGACTCACCAGTGGTAGGACTATTCATTACATGTATGATTTTGAAGATGGCTGGGAACATGTCATCACCTGTGCTGGGCGAGCAGATGCAACTACCAACTTCGTGGTATTGGGTGGTGAAGGTCATGGATGTGCGGAAGACGTGGGAGGGTATGGCGGATGGCCCAACCTAATTATAGCTTATGAGTCTGATGAACCGACGAAGTACCAGAGATATTTGATGTATTGTTTCGAAAATACGGCTCATAACAAGGATCCGAGAGGTCTGCGGAGAGTTGCAAAGTACGCGTGGGACAAAGACGAAATCAATGCAATCTTAGAAGCACTCGATAATTCCTACCTCCCTGCACTTCCTACTTCAATACTTCTGGTATTCTTGGCTAAGGAGTCATGGTTCGATCTAATGTACGCTTCTGTACTTGCCCAACTTCGCTCTAAAGCCACGATTAGAGAAGTTACAGATGGTATATCGGCAATGATATGTATCGGATAACCACAGGATTTGACGTCATCATCGTTACGAATGCGGCAATCATGGAATCCGAGTTCGTTGCTATCAATCAAAATTTGGTTGAATATGCAAAAGCCGGTGGAGTTTTGATATTCGGATTTTCGATGCCAAGCCTTACCGAGCCATCAAAATTTGAGAAATTGATGGAAAGCTATGGCCTAGATTGGAAGTTTGGTTATTGTACTGGGGAGATCTATAACATCAATAGAATGGCTGATCTTAACAAGAAGTACAGTTTGATGCCCTACAACATGAACGCTCTCTGTTTGAAGAACGTTAGGCCTGAAGATAGAGTCTATTCTGGCTCTCACCGCGCTAAAGATCAGAGTCCCGCAATTTTCGCAAAGTATGGAAGTAGCGGGGGTCGAATTGGTTGAATTGGCGATGTTAGTGGAGAGGGAGAAACGACAACACTGCTTCTGGCGATGTGTGAACTTTTAGATTTCTCGATGTCCTGCTAATCCAAAGATCTAAAAACATCCATTCAAATTAAGTTAAATACAGCTCTGTTGTTTTGCTCTTGCAGCCAAGTTCGAAGTCTCCTGACTTTGAGAATGAACGGATAACTCCCCGAAAAGATCCTTTAAATCTCTTCGTATGTCTTCTGGTGCCCATGTTGATTGCTTATGGTGGCTGAAAACTAAAATCTTCCTTCGAGTTATTAGATTCAGATAGTGTTTTCTAACCCTCCAAAGATTAATTTGTATGCTAGATTGGTTGGTTAAGGGTCATCCAATCATCCTTCAAGTCACAAACCCCAGATCCGCTCCAATGACACTTTGTTAGGAGGCGCAACATTCAATTAACTAAACAACGTGAATCAAAATTTCGACATTAAGATTAAACAAGGTACGCATCTTTCAGACAGATGTTCCTGTTCAACGTCTTAGGCAATCAAACCACTCTTTCATCAATACCCATCTAGTTATCTCTCGACCTAATTATGAGGAAGCCCTGTAATGAACACGAATATTACAAGCTACAGTCTGTGGCCTAAATTTTGTTTAGAAAACGCAACCTTACTGATGCTGTTAAGGATTCACCCTTCTTCCATTATCCATAGGAACAGTTGGCGGTGCTTCAGCAGAAGGAGTAGGCGTCCATTCAGGTTCCCTTACATAAACGCTCGGCTGCAATTCTTTCGGAATAGGATCCTCGCGGCATATAAGTTGCAGCTTTGAATTTGCATAGCTTCTCGGATTTTCTGCTACTGAATAACAGCTTGCATGAATATACGAGCGTGGAGCGTGGAGCTGATCGGAGTTATTAAATTTGCGCATACTGGTGCTGGATATGTGCACTTGCGGGGATTATGTGGACGACGTATCCGGGGATGAATGAGAGTCAATCGGCGAGACTTGAGGATTGGAGTCTAGAGGTGGTGTCTTTTCTCTCAGGTTTTTCTAATACAGTGAAGTCAGAGGGATCTCGATATAATGATGTATCAATAGTAGCAGGAAGAAGGACAGTGCCATCAGCGCGACCGAACTTGAAGATGTCGAAAGCTTTCTCTGATGATGGAGGCTTTGATGGGTCCAGTACGGGAGTTGTATTAACAAAGAGACTCGCGCAGAACACGATTAGCATTCCAGTTAATTGTTCATGATCCGCGGACCCACGTAATCATTACCCTATGCACCATTGCAGTGCCTTAATTGGCAATTGCCGAATTGCTTATATCCAGCAACACAGACCTACCTTATCGCTATATCGATCTCCGAGTAACTTCAGTCACTTACATAAACCTCGATAAACTGAAAGGGCTCCAGCGCTTGAGTCAACTAACGAATCTTCAAGTACTTGTAGCTTCAGCATTCGGATCAGTCGAGCAATTTTACCCCCAACTGGCACATGCATCACTAGGGTGACGTGACGGGAAACATGCGGCCTATATCATGAGGGCAGTCAAACTATTGCACATCTTGACTAAAGAAGAATAATGTATGAAAAATAGAGCTGTGAGTATATAGATTTCTATTGATATTATTCGGGACTAGGTCTTTTTGTTCCCAGATCCACATAAATCAAGCCTTCAAGACAAGCGGTATTCGGGTTGGATGAGAGCTTGAATGAGAGATATGAGAGCAAGACAACAGACGATAACATGCTTTAGGTTTCCCAGGCCTACATGGCGATGATCAGTTATCGAATACTACGACTTGCCAGAGCTCGGTCAAAAAGAAATTAGATATATGATTAGGTCAGAAGGCCCAAGTCATCACCAATTCATTGAGATGTATGTTTTTCTAAGGTTCTTCTTATGGGAAAGAGAAGTACAGACGCAAAGGGCGAGGTCTGTAAATAATCAAGCATGAACAACAAAGTGAAGGAAGGCAGTGGAGAAATTGGATTGATGATGAAACCATAGACGAGATACGGTATATGAGTCCAAGAAAAGAGATAAGATATGCAAAGGAAGAGGCCAAAAGAAAGGACCAGGATGCGGGGGACAATGTTTCAACCTTGTGAACTTCAAAATTATCAAGATAGAGGTACGCATAAAGCACGCTCTCCGTCTGATGTGAGACGTGCAGAGTAATGGATGTCCAAGGTCAAGGATGAATGGAGTTTAGTCCCTTCGAATCTTGTCAACCGAAGAAGAGCTGATTGAATATCATAAAAATTGTATGCTTTATTTTTGTATTTGTTATTATACACAGGGGTATTAATCGCAAGGTATGCCAAGGTATCGCGGATTTCGTACCCTTCCCCATAACTCCATGTAGACATGAAAATCTTTGATCCCATGGCATATAAAAATGCCGCGTCGCATCTCCTTTTCTGTAGTCGCTGCTCATCATGCAATCCTGCAAGAACCGTGTCTTGCATCATAAAATCTCAAAATGAGGTATTCGTAACGTTTCGGTGGTCTTCAACGGTCCGTGAACGGGAAAAATGGAATTAAAATCGCATGTCCCGTAATCATCTATAGCTGCGATTTCTATCATTTCCTCGCCCGGCATTCCAGTTATTGCCATTGCGGTTGTTGTTGTTGTTGCCAGCACGACCTCCTACAAGGTTGTCACTGTAAAGTCCTTGGCTTCGAGTGTTGTTACGACTGCCCCCGTCCCGGTCATCGGTATCCATGCGATCCTCAAATCCGTAGGAGCCATCGATAATATCATCCCGAGAACTTCGCGAGCTATCATATCTTGAATCGTAGCTATCGGAACCTGCACTGCGTTCAACACGGCTAGCTCTTGGGCCTGTAGGAACACTTGATCGAGGAACAGAACGTTGGCTGGCAGGTTGAAGCGTTGGCGCAGGAGCTCCCGACTTATTGTAAACGTTCAATAAATTACCATCCGCCTATCATGGGCCTATTAGTAATGCTTCAAGGGTGTTCTACCTTGAGTGAAAATACCTCTTGGTTGTTGAATGTATCAATGACATTGTCAGCTCCATCTTTTGTATCAAAAATGATCTCTGCGATAATTCTGGGGTAATCAGAGATAAGGCGGCAGCTTAGTGGAGGTCCACCAACTGGTGTCATTGCGGTCTCGATATCTTGTGCTGAAGTGCCTCGCGCAAAGTTTTCTGCCATTACAATATACGGTCCTGCGAGTCCCTTGATAGACATACTCTTAGTCGCCTTCGACTTCCCAACGATATTATACTGAGCGTTCAAGTTCGGTGTTGATGCAGAGCCGTTGAAAGCTTTCGCAAGTCGATCATTGCGCGCACGCGTGTTGATATTCTTAGGGCCACGAGGAGGATTTTGGGATGTTCTAGAACTGCCTGGGTTGTTAAGAGAGTGCAGATCATGAGTCCATTCCGCATCAACATTTCCGACAGTAGGTGTGGAATTTTGCCTTGGTGCAGGTTTGGATGTAGCCGGGCCGCGCTATTCGATTGTTAGATTCGTAGATCTGTAGACACCTGCCAGTAGCCTTCATACCTTTCCAACGCCCATTCTGCTTGCAAGTGAGGGACCAGCGCCTGGCTTGCGATTGTTGTTTGTCGCTCCTGGCGCACTCGCTCGACGATTCTTGCCCAGGAATTTATTTGCTAGAAGCTCATCCTTGCGACGCTCACGTCCTAATCTTATGTCAGTCACTGACGACATAGCAAACATACTGCATGTCCTGATCAAGGTTACCTACCTTTGTTAATGAATCCATTGAAATCGGGTAAGTCAGTTTTGGGTGCCATAGTGTTAAGTTGCAGCTACCGCTATCTGTTATCAGTATTATTAGAGTTGATAAATTCGCAGATTTCCTGAAGTCCGGATGCAACAATACTCAAAAAGGCGGATGAATATCTTCAAAATCGAATGATAATATTTGAGGTTAAAGACAGGAATTATGGTGAATGAGAAATAGGATGGCCGAGGATAAATAGAATCCTAAAGTTCAGGTCGCGAAAGTTTAACGTCGCATTTGGGGAGTACGCGAGTGACTTTGAAGCGGAAAATGCGGCCGCGTGATCAAGTGTACGGTTTAGCTTGAGTTAGAACGAACATCCCTTTATCTTTGCTCACTCCAAGACCTGATAAATAGATATATTTCGAATAGCTTCGTGTATAACTTATTATTATGTTGAAAACGATCTGAGTTTTCAAGGTTTGGATCGATTTGTAAACTAATGTACCACCAGGGCTGGACTTTAAGAATAGAAATCTTGCAACCTCGCGACCCCCTTTTCTATTCTAAGAGCAACGAGACTCATATTGATTGATTGTGACATTACAACTCAGGTAGGTGCGAATGTCATCCAGATAAGTTGATTCTTTACTCTTGCCATTTCTCAATGGTGCGATATGTGATATTGTCCAGTCAATTTTTCTTTCCTTCTGATTCTCTTCGATCAACAACCCAATCTTTACATGTTGCTTTCTTTTGGATTTTTGGTTAATGAACTACAAACAAGTAAGAATGTTTTTTTCTCTTTTCTCCGTATCTTGGTCTAATCTAGCCATTTCGCTATTCTTCCCGTGCTACTCATGATCTATATCTTCCCATTCTTGGATTTGTACCCCTAACTAATGAAGTGTAGGTAGATCCTGAAAGCGAGTTAAACAAACATGGGTTCCATATCATTTCAAAACCCTGAGAAGATGAATGATGAGAATGTACCTCTACCTCAAGCTCCACATACGCCCAACTCACACAAGATATCAGATTTGGGACGGACATCTTCCCAAAAAAAAGCTCGACAAATTTTTGATAGTTTAAGAGGTTTAAAGTCACGCGGGAGACTCAACGTTGATGTGGAAGATGTGGGAGGTTATTCTGCTGGTCCTTCTAGCCCCATTCGCCGCAAAAATCCAACATGGGACTTCTTGGGAACCATTCGTACAAAAAAATCTGGTGAATTTGGTACTCCTGAGAATGAAAGACCTCTCACCACAACTCCTCTCAAAGCAGAGCCGCAAATCAGTAAGTAACAATCATCTTAATCTCTCCGTCTTGAGCTAATATTGTGTTTGTAGACGAGGCATCGAAACTGCTTCCAAGAAGACGAAAGAGTCTCGTTAACATACTCGGATCAATCTCCAACAAGGTATCCCCTAGACGTAGTACAACCCTTCGTGAAAACACTCTCGGAGAAGAGAGATTACCAAATTATTGTGAAGAGGACATATTTGCCGAGAGGTTGGCAAAAGAGTTGATAGATTTGAAAGCGAATAATTCGAGTCCTCTGCAAACAACAGCATCTGATGGTCAATCAAGATTTCCTCAGGAACGATTACGAGGAACTTATAATTTGGAAGAGAATCTCAATACCATAATCGAGAGTGAGTTTCTCAATACGTCGCAATGATATTTCATGGAAGGAACATGTCTAACCAATACTCAAGATCTTCAAAAACTCCGACAGTCTGAAGATCTACCCAATGGTCGAGCAGGATACGACGCAGACAGTTGTGAGTTTTCCTACTTCTAGTATTTTAGAAGTATGTGTTTTGACACTTTGACTTTAGGGACGAGTCAAGCGCAAACAATACAAAGTGTAGGATCTAATGAGCATTTGACAAGTCAATTTCCAACAACAGATGTAGATGAAGACGAATCAAAAACGCCAGACTCATATCTTTGCTCGATGATTGAGTCTTTTGACGACTATAACAATGAATCATTTGCCGCCAAAGGGAAAGGTTTGATTGTCTCTCCGTCGCCCTCCCCTGACAAGTTACGCCCAACCAAACCCGTTGATTTTCTGAAAGATTCGAGCCCAGATGTGATTCCTGAGAGATCAGGCCCAAGGTGATTGTTTCTTAGAGGTTACAAACCATAGCTAACATTTGTTCTAGCAATCAATTCATGGATACAATTTCGTCAATAGGTTGCCAAATTAATACACTGGCAATACCAGAGCAAAAATCCCACCAAGGGACACGGCCAATGATTAAAATTCGGGAAGTGACATCTGATTCTAAATCTAACTCGGCATTCGAGGATCAGATAGCTCCATCACCACCAACATGGCAAGCCGCAGCAAAATCTAGAAACGCAATGCTGGAAAGCAGAGCCAGAGTTCCTTATCAATTTGATAGACATTATGTTCAAAAAGTCGATGCTCCTTTTGTGAACTTGGTTGAAGAACGAAAGAGTCACTGTCAGAGATCACAGCCACCCCCTTCTAAGTCCGATGAATCAGATCACCAGAGAATTGCCCACAATATCAAGCAGACCGTAAATAAAATGACAAAGAACCTCCATCTTTCCTCTTCCTCGGAAGAGACAATAGAAGATTGGGACGAGAGAATCTCAGAGGAGACATCTGACAAGAACCTAGACAACATCTCGGAGACCGACGAAAATTTTCATACAAAAACAATTGAGGAAGTCTCGGGCGTTAAAATGATACGCAAAAACATAAGTTCGTTCACGAGCAGGCAGTTTTTGGACGGCGCGATGTATGTCAGATTTCCTCAAACAGACGCCAAATGGCGCCACATGCAATACTTCTCAACAGGAAGCCTTGCCATTTCAGATATTCGCAAACGAAACAAAGGGGAATACTCGGATACAGTATCATATTGCCCAGAAGAAACTTGCATTTACGTTCATCTGTGGGGGAAGGTTCCCAAAACAGAGTCTGAGCTTAGTGTTCGCGTTAAATACCCGGAAACAAAGACTCGATGGGCTCGAACCAAATTTTATGACAACGGCGATCTTGCCATGGCTGATATGGACCGAGAGAATCGAGGTGAATTCTCAGACATTAGATACGATTCATCCGAACGCTGTTTTTATGTTTACGCACGGGGTGATATTGTTGAAGCACCGAAACGTGAGGTTCGCGTTGACTATTCAGAAATGAAAGCTGGATTGACACGAACACAGACCTACGGAAAAAATGATTTAGCATTGGTTGATCTGTGTGAACAAAGCCGTGGAAGTTTGTCAGAAGTCAGATACAATGCCTCGGACCGCAGGTCCCAATATTTCATGTTGGATGAAGCTATGGATGAACTCCACAGTTGTTCCTTCGCAGGTTTTCATAAATCAGAGACGGAGCGCAAAGTCTTTGTTGGCTCTCCAGAATCGACTCAAACCCAAATTTCCGAATCCAAACCGGATATCTCACGAGTTGACATCGACAAGAATTCCACGTTTCTTTACAGTGCTCCCGAACAAAGCTCACGTGTAGAAGCACAAACGGCAGGTATTGAGCCAATTTACAGAACCCGCGAGCCTGTATGGAGACCAACACTATCGCCTCTCGGTGACAGGGATGAGAGTGACCAAGATCTACCCGATTTCTCCGATTTGGAGAATGAGTTCCAACTTGTTACCATCAAATCTCCTGAAAGTTCTTCACTCAGTATAAAATCGCAAGAAGAAGCAGAGGAAGCAGCTGGTGAGGATATTTCAGGTAGCAATGATATGAGCCTCTGCGTGGAAGCTGGAACTCCTCGAAAGTCAGATCATGAATTTATTACTGAATTATTCATGGCAAACGATTCCGATAGACCGGCACCTCTTCTTAGAGGCTCTAAGCAGATTCTCGAGTATTTGGATAGCTTTGATGGTGTGAATCGCAGCAGCAATTCCGTGTACGCAGACAATGATCTTCAGTCAAATCGCAAGACCGCAACAAAGATATGGGCTGAATCCGAAAATGCTGGAGAAATGTACGATTCTATTGAGCCAACTCCCGAAAGCGTTCAAGCTATGATAGACGAACTTTTCGCTCAAGCCACTCACCACGCAAAGCTTGACGACTCTTCGGATGATGGAGGTGCATCTTTCAAAATCGAAGTTGTTGAGGAAGAAACTAGAGAGAGCTCAAATTCATCTTTTAAAAAAGGGCACAAGCTTTCAAGGTTTCTTGATAATCAATATTGCGGAGTTTCAGGACCCAACGACGTTCCAAAGAATCAAGAAGAGATAGCTTCTGAAACAAAGGGTGCAAAAGAACACACTATTTTCAATTTTGGCAAGGACATGATACATCGCAGGGAGCGTTCAAATGCCATTTCTGGAGAAGGCCCTTCAGTGGCTATGCGGTCGAACAAATTGGATGAGAGTATATTCATTCGTCCTATCGATAACATTGATTTATACGAGGAAAATGCTGGTTGTGGTGATTCAAAATCACCCTGCCCTGCAGAAATCAATGAGAATATAGCAGCCTTTTCTACTGACGCGGACTTGACAGTCGTGGTTCCTGAACCCATTGATACTGCGACTGTGACTAACCACGAAACGAACAACAATCTTTCCAGTCTTGATCTGGCCAAAGCAGATTCCGAGAACAAAGAAGAGACAGCCAATGTCAAGCCAGGTCTCTGGGCCGGCACCTGTACAAAAGAGCAGAATAAGTGCGATGCATCCGCATGCACTGCATCTTCTATATTCGGTAAACTAGGTCTTGAAACCGCGCTTGCACCAGCAGCATCAAAAATCGAGGAATTCGCAACATCTGACAACAAAAAAGACGAGTCAACAGAACCCAAAGACAACGAACACATAATTCAAACCTCCAGTCTTCGTGTAGAAACAGTGTCGCAAGCATTTATAGACAACGAGGTTCTTCCACAACTCAACACAAGAATTGAATCAAAGCGAGTCCCTACGTTAGTAAACATCTGTCACTCACGAGGAATGGCGTCCCCATCTTCAGCTCGGCCATTCTTAGATAAATGTTCCTCTCCTCTCCAGCCAATCTCAACTCTTAAACGAGTAGAGACATATACTCCAATTCAAATTCCGAGAATCGTTACGCCTTCGGGGAAGATTTATAGCCCTGCGCAACTGGAAGAGGACAAGAAAGTTTCGAATCCAATTCAGAGGGTTCAGACGCCGGGAAGTGGGCTGGAGAAGCAGTGTAAAGGTAGAGATTATTTTAGTGTGAACATGAGTGTCGATGATACGGATGATGTAGATTTGAGTGGTGATGAGACGGAGATTAGTGAGGGATTTGGCGAGAAGTTGGAGAGAATGAGGGTGAGTAAGTATTGCTTGATAAACGAAGAGGACAAAAGTACGAGTGAGAATGAAGTAAAAGCATGAATGGGTCGTGGTTTGATAAAGGGGTAGGAAGAGTGTATTGATTATGTCGGGCATTGTTATTGGGTGGAGTATCGCTTGAAGATCAATGATGCCGGAGAAGGTTATTGATATTGATGGAGTGCGAGAAGAGAGGCATGCCATCGCTAAAGTTGAAAGACATGGTAATATTTTTATATTGATTGAATTCAGTTCCGGGGAGGATAACACCAGACATTGAGTAATCAGATAATTCTCAGAATTTGTCATTGTAAGACTTAATCCATAATAAAAGACAAATTCAACTGAACATCGCATCGTCTTTGCTGCATTTCGCTTGTGAGGCAGATGAATTTTATTGGAAATCAATTGTTATGGATGAGTTGCGGATGTATTGTATAGGTTGGGTATTTTTATAACATGAAAGCTGATAGTGTACAGTATATAACATATGGAGTTTATCTCAGCAACCATCTTGTGCATTAAGCAATGCTGTACGCCCCGGGAAACTACAATTAAAAACTAGCAGACGTCTCAGTAGTTGGCTTCCTGTTTGCAAACGACGCCGGAGCCCCAACATTCGACTTCCTTTTTGCAAACGGTTGAACGCGCGCCACATATCCCTGAGTAGCAGCAAATGGAGCCAAGCCCCCCTTGACTGCTTTTTTGAATTGCATTTTCGAAAATTCATGAGTGCGGCGATCGATAGGCTTTTGGAATTCAGGGGTCTGGTGATCGGTAGACATTTGGGGTTCTTCATCATCTTCTTTGGGCTCGAGCTTGTACTTGAAGCGGCCTGGGTATTTTTTAGATCCGTCCTGCTGTTGTTTGGCACGTTCTTCGTAGGCCATGAGTTTATTGCGACGTTCGTATATTTCAGTGTACGTGTCGCGGGACACGAGACCTTTATCCATGAGCGTGTCGTAAGCGCCTATTATGCGACGGATAAGAAAGAGGACTTGGTCTTTGAACTCTTGGTTTTGGAAGTGATCATCGGTGACGGTGGGGTTTCCATAGGTGGCGAGAGCACGGAGGTTAAGGTATGAGGGACCTACGCGTTCGAGGGCGCGGGAGATTTGTTTACCTTGTTCGTATTTGGTAGGTCGGTTTCCGGAGGCTTTGCGGATGAGAGAGGAAGAGACGGCGACGTCCATTTAAGTTACTAGAGCTTTAATGTCTGGGACTGGGAGGTGCATCTTGCATTTATATCGAGGATTTTTAACCGCGGTGGTGAAGACGTTGGGGTTAATTTGTCCCGAGCGCAGGTACTCAGTGCGAGTTTGAAAAGTTTTCGGGTTTCAAGGTTTCTTGGGCATTGTTTGTAAAAGTTCCAGGACCTCTCGACTCGATCGGGAGACTCGGAGGATTCTCAGATATCTGTGGTAATTATCCGCATCAGGTACAACACCCAACTCTTTCGTGAAAAGTTGCCAATATTTTGTTGCAGCGTCCTTTTTAGATAATTTTAGTAATGCCTTCATTATCATAGATAATGTGTTTGGTCCTGGAGTAGCGTATACATGCGACTTGGGCAATGAAGCCACTGCAGTTCCGTAGCTAGAAAATATGTTTTCGAGATCTTTAGGAGGATCGATATCACCGCCTTCTATCTCGGCTAATCCCTTATTGTCATCAGGTCTGGACTGCCCTTGTAGTCCCGGTTCAATCTTCTTTCGAGATTTTGTACCTCGCTGAGGTACTTGGCGTCGAATGTTCATTGTCTGCTGAACAAGGGACAAAACATCATCGTTGTCTTCTTCTGAACCAAGTAGTAATGTCCGGCCCATAGCACAGACAAGCTCTTCATCGACCATTATATCTCCTTTGCGCCAACGAGTATAGATGTCCCCCCACATTCGATGCGCACTAGCTATAATTTTCTCTTTCATTTTTAAAAGGTCCTTTTCAGGCATGTCTCGCTGGCTAATAACCTTCATGCGAAATGCGTTCAGGATGGTCGTGAAAGTAAGGTTGTCTGGTGCGCGATTCCCCTCAGCAGGCATTGAGAAGCGATTTCCTAATAAAGCCTCCTCTTCCCTGCCCTCGAACAAAGCCTAAGTACTGCATTCATGTGAATAGTATTTGGTCGTAAACGGGAACCATCAGAGAGCATCGAGGTATAAATTGCTAATCCCTTCTCGAAGGCTGGTTTGGTATGAGGACTCTCGCTGCAGCCTTTGAAAATGATGGTGTAGGTTTGCGCGTCTGGAAATTGCGCTCGTTTTTTCATCTGTGATCATCTGGTCAACAAAAGCTTCATCATATATTACAGAAATACAAACCTCATTGAATGTTTTAAGTGCCGGGTTCAACAGTCCCTTACTGAATTGCCATTCAATCAAATGATTCCAACTAACAACACACTCAACATTCTTGCTTGCAGATCGAACATAAAGTAATGCCTCCTCAAAATCGTCCTTCGAGAGAAGGTTTCGCACATAGTCGGCGAGCTGCAGTGGATCTTGCAGTTGTTTAAGCTTCCAAATAAATTTATTGTCAATTCGTGGATCAATAGCTGCCGGCTGTTTGTCCTGCGGGCCTCTGTCCCCGCGAATCTAGCCATTCCTGTCGTTTGGCCGTCCTGCTCTTCGTTGGCTCGGAAGACTCTTTCATCTTGTGAAATAGGCTGGTAGGTTGTAACTATCAGTAATCCGTCGCATTCGTGGCAAATGACCTATAAAGTTGTCTTATGGGGAATTATGAGTTGTGAGTTGTACTATGAATCGTTGGAATCTCCGAGGAGTGCTTGTAGGCATCTCCTCGGACAGGCGCCGACATGTAAACATCTTGTCAAGGCTAGAGTTAAAAGATCAATTTCCCCTCCATTCTTTCATCATTATGATACTTTTTTCGTGGTCGGTTTAATAATAATCCGTTTGACTTAGTCATCAAAATCCAATTAACTTTCGTGTCGATAATTTACAAGGGTTCGCGATTTCACAACGCGAAAAGTGGTAGGAGCGCGTCAGAATTCCCCTTCTCCAATTTCGCGTATCAATCATCCACTCTACAGTTCCAAAATATTGTACACAGACACATACATACACACATACCTATCTACCTACATACATGAGGGGGTTCCAATCCAATTTTGATAACTTTCTTTCAGAACATATTTGTACATTTCTCTTCTTTTAATGTTATAAACAATCGAAAACTACACCTTCCAACATCTATCCACACCATCCCTCTAATTCATAATGTCGAAAGCCGCTTCTGCGCGAGCAAAGTTCGCAGAACTTCGTGCTCTTCGAGAGTCTGGAAAGAAGCGGTCTCGATACTTACGAAGTACATCAGGGAGAGGATCTATATGAAGAGGTTGACGAAGAAGGGTACAAGAAGTCGTGAGAAATCGCTTTAGATCAAGATGATTTCGTCATCGACGACAACGGCGAAGGTTACGCAGATGATGGCCGTGAGGATTGGGATCGAGATGATAGACGAGGCTACGGAACTGAAAGTGAAGAGGAGCTTCCTACGAGGAGCAAAAATGGAAAGGCTGGTAGGTATTGGAGGCCCTTATTATGATTGCACTTCTGACAGTCTCATAGCAAAGAGGAAAAGAGAGGAAGAAAAGGCCAAAAAGGAAAATATGGACAAAGGCATTAGCAACTATTTCACCAAAGGACCGGCAGCTGCTCAGCAAAAGCCAAAGGTAATTGCAACTAGTCTGATCTGTTTACGCATTGCTAATTGTGGCAGCCTGTTAAAACGAAGGCAGATGACGATTTTTTAGAGGGACTTTTAGGGCAGGTAGACACCAATGTTCCTCGGCCAAAAGCCCAGCCTTCGAGAGTTAGTAGGACGCAGGAAAAGAGGAGGACGAGAGCTCTATCTCCATCGCTAAACGAATCTCGACATACGTCAAAAAGAACTAAGGTAGCGGATAGTCGATCTGCCAATACTACGGCTGCGCCATCTAGCCCTCCTGTCTATATGGGCGACGACGATGATTTTATGGCGGGAATTGACGACGATGATATGCCCATTGATGAACCGCAGCCTTCATCTCCTGTGGCGAAAGCTGTCGAGAGAAGACTTCATATCAGTGTTAAGGAAGAGGAAGAGGATGAAGACATGATGGAGGTCGCTCAAGCAGATGGTATCACAGCTAGCAGCGTCAATATTTCCGGGACCAGGCCTCCGCCCAAGTTGAAGAAGGAGCTATATCCAACCCCCACAACTTCATCCCCACCTCGCGGCCCAATTGACGAAGTGGATGCATCGTCTTGGAACGATGTTACGCAACGATTGAATGTTATGAACAGTAGCCAACCTACGGAAACAACGTCCTTTGGAAAACTCGACTATAATGACGCAATTGAAGAAGATGGAAGCCTTCACATGTTTTGGACTGATTATACTGAGATGCACGGTAATCTGTGTCTTTTTGGCAAGGTCAAGAACAAGAAGACGGGCACTTTTGTTAGTTGTTTTGTAAAAGTCGACAACGTTTTGAGGAAGCTCTTCTTTCTTCCACGACAATACCTTCAACGTAACGGTCGGGACACAACTGACGAGGTGGAGATGAAGGATGTCTACGAAGAGGTTGATAGCATGATGACCAAAATGAAAGTTGGGATGCACAAAATCAAACCTTGCACTAGGAAATACGCTTTCGAACTACCTGAAATACCGAAGGAAGGCGAATATTTGAAGTTACTGTATCCGTACTCAAGTAAGTGTAAAATCTACCATCTAGCTACTCAAACTGACCACTCTAGATCATGCATTTAAATGCAGACCAGCTACACGGGCTCGACTTTCTCTCATGTTTTTGGAGCAAATACTCCACTCTTTGAACAATTCGTTCTATGGAAGAACATTATGGGTCCGTGTTGGTTGAAATTTGAAGATGCAGATTTTGGAGCTCTTAAAAACGCTTCTCACTGCAAATTAGAAGTTCAGGTTACAAAACCAAATCTGATTACTCCCATCAGCGATTCTGATAATCTCGAAGCGCCACCATTGACTTTGATGAGCATTGCGATGCGAACTGTTTTCAATGTCAAAGAAAATAAACAAGAAGTTCTCGCAATCAGTGCACGCATTTATCAAAACATCTCGCTAAGCGATACCACTCCACCTGAAAAATTGCCTTGCCAAACTTTTACTGTCATGCGGCCAAATGGATCACATTTTCCCATCGGATTCGAGGGTGTGGTTAAACAGCGTTCGATAGGGCTTGTCAAGCTAGTTAAGCAAGAGAATGAGATTTTGAGCTACTTCCTTGCTCGTTTGGATTCAGTTGACCCAGATGTCCTCGTTGGCCATCAATTAGAAGGCGTTGATTTTAGTATTCTACTAAGCCGATTTCAAGCTAGAAAGACCCCGCAATGGTCACGAATCGGTCGAATGAGACGTAAACAATGGCCAAGCTCTATGGGGAAGATGGGCGGAAACTTCTTTGCAGAACGCACGCTAATGTCAGGGCGTCTAATGTGTGACTTGGCCAACGACATGGGTAAATCGACTATGACGAAATGTACATCTTGGACCCTTACAGAGATGTGCAGCCTTTACTTGTCAGGTACTAACCGTCGAGAAATCGACAACGAGGCTGCATTGAAGACATGGGCTACTAATAAGGATGGCCTCATGGACTATATCAGTCATTGCGAAGCAGACACGTACTTCATTGCAGCTCTGGCCTTGAAGGTTCAAATGCTTCCTTTAACCAAAGTTCTCACTAACTTGGCGGGAAATTCCTGGGCAAGAACACTTACCGGTACTCGAGCTGAACGCAATGAATACATTCTGTTACATGAATTTCATCGCAATAAGTATATTTGTCCTGACAAAGCTGTTTTCAAAGGTAAACAGCAAGTCGAGGAAGAGAATGCTGATGAAGAAAGTGGGGATGTTAAGAAGAAGGACAAGTACAAGGGAGGTCTAGTATTTGAGCCTGAGAAAGGTCTATACGATAAATTCGTGCTTGTCATGGATTTCAATTCTCTGTATCCCAGTATTATCCAGGAATATAACATTTGCTTTACTACTGTTGATAGGTTTAAATCTGGTACGTTCATGCTCTGCCATTAAAAGTCATATTTTACTAATAAGTATAGTCCAATGACGAGGATCGGGTTCCAGAGGTGCCAAAAGATCAGGATCAAGGTATCTTGCCTAAACTTATTGCCACACTTGTCAGTCGACGTCGACAAGTCAAAAGTCTTATGAAAGACAAACATGCAACCTCGGAGCAATTGGCGACTTGGGATATTAAACAGTTGGCACTGAAGCTTACTGCTAACTCTATGTACGGTTGTTTGGGTTACACCAAATCTAGATTTTATGCTCGACCACTTGCAGTTCTCACTACATACAAGGGTCGTGAGATTCTTCGAAGTACCAAGGATCTGGCCGAGAGCAAATCTTTACAAGTTATCTATGGTGATACAGATTCCGTCATGATCAATGCCAACGTGGATAATATCCAAGATGCTCTTGCAGTTGGAAACGACTTCAAAAAGTCTGTCAACGATTTGTACAGGCTATTAGAAATCGATATCGACAACGTGTTTAGACGTATCCTACTTCAAGCTAAGAAGAAATACGCTGCCATTAACCTTGTACAGGTCGATGGAAAGTTCATTGACAAAATGGAAGTCAAGGGTTTAGATATGAAGCGTCGTGAGTACTGTAACTTGTCAAAGGAAGTTTCATCTCAACTTTTGAATGAAATTCTGGTCTCTTGGTGATGATTCTGAGGCTGTTATCACCCGAATTCACGATATTTGCGAGAAATTTCAACAAAAATGAGGGAAGGAAATGTTCCTGTTCAAAAATATACAATCTACACGAAACTTGGAAAAGCGCCAAAAGATTATCCTAATGCCGATAATATGCCTCAAGTTCAAGTTGCTTTACGGGAACTTGGCCAAGGGAAACAGGTCCGAAAAGATGATGTTATCGCCTACATCGTGACAGGAGAAGGGAAAACATCTGAGAGTGCCGCCAAACGTTCATTTACCCCTCAAGATGTAATGAAGCGCGATTCAGGTCTCAAGCCAGACGTTGAATGGTATCTTTACAAACAAATTTTCCCACCCGTCGAGAGATTGTGTGCAAACATCTCCGGCACTGATACAGTACGCCTGGCTGATTGTCTCGGACTTGATGCACGCAAATATAGCATCAATAACAACAACTCAGCGGGCAGCAATGAAGCAGAAATCCATCCCCTCGAGAGTCAAATTGATGATTCTGTGCGCTTTAAGGATTCGACTCGTCTCACTCTCCGCTGTCGATCATGCAAAGCTATGTTCGGATTCGAAGGTATACTCAATAGTACTGAGAATTGCTCTCCGTCCGGTATAATCTGTCGCTGTGGCACCACTCTCTCAACCCTTTCTATCATGACACAACTCGAACATCAAATTCGTCAAGAAACATGTAAATATTATGAAGGCTGGCTCGTGTGCGATGATCAAGCATGTGGTAATCGTACCAGACAAATGAGTGTTTATGGTCATAGATGCTTGGGACCAAAGGGGTTGGCTCAAGGATGTTTGGGCAAAATGCGATATGAATACACCGAGAAAATGATGTATAACCAATTGCTTTACTTCTCCAGTTTGTTTGATGTGGATAAGGCGAAGAGTAATGCTAGGGGTACGGAGAAAGGTAAGGCTTCTTTTACTTTCCTATCTTGAAAGGAATTCGTGAGACAGAAGCTAACATGAAAATAGAACTCGTTTCAGCATTAGCAGAACACAACCGAGTCAGATTTGGTACGCTAAAAAGTGTAGTGGAGAAATATCTGGATAAATGTGGTAGGCAGTGGGTTGCGATGGATAGTCTATTTGGCAAATTGGGTTTCTCGGCTATGTGAGTTGGATAGATGGATGGAGGATACAGGATTAGCTTTGTTGGTATATGTAATGAATTGATGGGTGCATGAATGCATGGGAGTTGGCTATAATCATGTGTTTTGACACCGGAGGGGGCGTTCGTAGTGTAGGCATTTCATGATTGAATATCAATATCTTGTTCACTTTTGAAGCGAGTCCTCCTCAAGGCCGTCTTTAATAATCTGCAAGTTTATAGAAATTATGGATAGACAAGTAGCACCAAAAATGGCCCTTAGAACCCGAGTATACTTTCAAGAATCTAGCAAACCAAAGTAGAAGAAATGAAGATGATAAATAATAAGCGTCCAACTTTTTCTCTCAATAGACAGTGGTGATGGTATCATTGGAATCTTTCTTTCTTGACGCCCAAAATTCATTTATTCCTAACATTAGAAGGCAGGAAGCATGCATAAAATCGAGGTAAGTCTTCACAACATATAGATATCAAAACTAACCTTCGAAAATGTACGACTAGATTACGGTCAATGGAATGAGTAAAATTAGCATTCGACCTGGTCATTAATATTGAGAAATGAGTTGCGATGGGAGGACTTTGGAAGCAAGAGAATTTTGTAGTGTAGGGGTCGCGGTTTAAGTGGTGTATATGTGGTAGTAATGGTAGTTTCATCTCTGTTTCTGTTTCTTGTCCGGTTTCACTGGAGTATGTTCGTCTCTTCTAGAGGTTTCTGGGTGTGGGTGGATGAAAATATTCATCATTATCTAGACTCTGTTTGCGTATTTCAAAGTAGAATAGAATTCTAAAGGTCTTTGTGAATTATACTTGCAGTTTGAGTCAACTGCATCTAGAGAAGGTCGATCTGCCGAGTTTCCACATCAGATATCACCTCTGGAATTATACTCGAGGTTTTAATGCCGACAGAAACGTGAACATATGAATCGATCAGCTGATGAGTATATTCCTGGGTCTGATGGTAAAATTCATGTATGGATCGCGTCGAAGAATATAAGGGAAGTAACAGGGCTACACTATCCATTTGATTACCTCGAATCATGCCTGCAAGGCGAGGTCGAGAGAGCTCTCTTCTGAGAAAACCAGTACTAGACGAGGTAGTATCGAATAGTCCAACTGGTGCACTACTATCCAATGCTAATGCTAATAGATCATCGGTGATAAAGATGTCAAATATGCCAAAAAAAGCAGTTTAGATACATCTTCAATTTAAAGACTCTTCAAGTATCCATTCAAAATACAAATCTATAAACGAACCCATGATATCCGAAAGGATGATATAGAGTGTATAGTATAATAATCAAATCTAAATCTGATCGTATGAAGGGAAGGAAGATATGCTACCGACCCGCTCCCAAGAAAATCTCATAGATGTGCAGGTATATAAAGCAAGTCCTCGTAGAGAGCACAACCATATTATAGCTTTTCTCGTTAGTCAAATTAATACAAGGTAAACTATACCCTAAATTCTATCAATTCATTCCCCACTGTGACCTATTTCCACAGAGTCAATAGAAGTCAAGACGCGAAGCTCTTCGTCCGTGAATAGGGGCAAAACTTTCGTCAAATCAGTAGCATACTTATTGTCGGAAAGGGATATAGTCTATGAATGCGATGTCAAGAAATGATTGATGGTGAAGACAATGATAGCAAACAAATATAACAATGATAATAATCACAACAATAACAATTCCTCCATCAACCTCCACAAACCAAACAAGAAATTCCAACTTGACAGATTGTAGACTATACTAACTGCCACAATGACATTCTTAATCTAAATATAGGTGATTCATCAACATACTTCTCACCCCCCATAATTTTCCGTTTCCGCCAGGAACGTGTGATGTCTGGAGAGGAAATGTATAGTAGAAGTGGAATTGTTATATACTGATATTCATGGGTTTTCCAGCTCGGTTTTGCGGAGGGAGAGGGGTGGGGAAAAGATTGGGGGGGGGGAGGGGATTCACTTATATACTCTGGTGTTTGTGAGTATGTGGTGTGCATGGCAGAGTTTGGATACTTGCGGGTGGGTATATAAGGCGTGGTGCTGCTTGTTGGGTTCGATAATGTGAAGTGATAGCTTTCGTGATAAATATACAGGAATGGAGAGCGAGGATGTGATATGATGTCCCTTTTGGGCTCCGCTCTTGAATGGCTGTTGGAGTTGGAGCAAGTGTAATAGACAATGCGAGTTGGAGTGATAGTTCCAATATATTTTGTCGGTTTACGCCTCTCACTGTTATTCATGAAGGTGTATTATGGGATGTTCGGATAGATAGAAATGGCAGTGATGAGAATTGAATCGCGATAGTGGATTGACAATGATGGTGTATTTTTGCTGAATATTCCAGAAATCTGAGAGATCAGGTATTTAGAGGGAGCACTTGCGGCGCGTTCTGAGTTTTGGAATAGCGTCACCCCTTTTCTCTGTTGCAAACTCTACTTAGCGATTTGAAGAGAAAAGGATAGATGGATGGGTTACGTGTATTTATAGTGAAGCCATCTGAGGCGAAAGGGTAGAGAAGAGAGAGGGTGTAAAAACAAGTGCATGACATGGGCATGCAGAACCAGAGGGATTAATTTATTATTTCAAAATATCATTGCTCCACTGCTCCAACCATATCATGCTAGATTAAAGTATTAACTCCATACACCACCACTAGATAAAATATGACCATTCCTTAACACCATACCATCTAAGACTCCACGCCATGCATCAAAATCCCACGACCACGGCCAGCGTCAGATATTCACAGTCAGCCCCCAAAATACACATCTCCCCTTCCCCTTTCCCTTCCAATCATCTCCCCGATCTAGGTCCACTAGGTAAACCCGGTCTCCTTCCCGCTCCAGGTCCTCCACTGGGTAATCCCATCCCCCTCCTCGGTGCCGGAGGTTCATATCCCCCACCACCAAACTCCGCCTCATTCGAAGCCCACGGGCTCGTTGCCGCCATAAACGGTTTCTCTCCTCCCGAATCATAGCTCGCATCACCACCCGACGCACTCGCATTAGTATTCATCGCGCTGCCCTTCGATCTCCCCATCTTCAATCTGTCTCGCGCAGATAAACTACCCGTTGCGCCTGCACCCTGCTGACTCGCGAATGGACTCTGAGTGCGAGCCGGACCGGCTGTTCCTCTCGCGGCGCGCAAACTCCCTGGTGGTGGCGAAGGCGCATTTGTTCTTCCTGTCGCGCCGCCGAAGAGACTGTTTAATCCTTGTGAGCCGCCTGGTGTAGGAGGCGCTTGACCATATGTCGAACCGACGGGTTGGGTATACATTGGTTGGACGACAGGAGCAGGTGCTGGACCACGTGGATCGGGGGGAAGCCACGCTGGCAGATTTTGTTTCTTTTCTTGGAGATAATAGGTGCGCATTACGCGGCAGAGATAGGTGTCATCTTCTGTATCGCCGTCGGCTTCGCCTTGAAATATGTTTTGTCGGATCGAGGTTACTTTGGAGGTAATAGAGTTGAGATAGGAGGAGTACATTGTGTTGATTTAAGGACCGTTGTTGGACCAGCGATGGCTAAGGCTGTGTGTCGCAATTGAACTTGGTTGGTATGCGGTGATTCACCGACAATAAATTCAAAGAATTTGTTGTTATCGTTTTTGAAAGTATTGGCTGGTCTTGAATTTATGGTGTTTTGTAGAATGGTGTCGCAAATTAGTTATGAAGTTATGAATTTATGGAGAGGAAGTATTAAGTTGAAACTTCCCAGGTTTCGCTGCAAGATAGAGATCTGACCCCACCACGCCAAAGGATGAGACTAATAAGGAGGCCGATGAAAGAGCCACTGATGGTACCGGTATTAAAATTGATATGGAATTAATCACAATAAATTAATCAGTCAATAATTCATTTGGTTCTTTCTTCCAGAAATTGTTCTTGAATTTCGCTTGCTTTGATATACATAGCCAAGTAAGAAAGCTGTCTACAGTACTATAAATTAACAGCTATTTTTGAGGGACCAAGAGCACCAACACCTATAAAGAACGCCCAACCCCAGGTATAATGAAAGTCCATGCATTCCCAGATTAGAAAGCCAATTCTCGTTGTGGTCCTTCGAGCTCTTGTTCGTATTCGACTTCCATCTTCGAGATTCTCTTCTTTGGCTTGGTTTTGGAAACTGGTGCTCTCTTTCTCTTTGCGCCGGTAGCATTCTTCTTGGCCTTATCATCCTCGCTGCTGTCACTCTCACTATCTTCGCTATCATCTTCACCGGTAGCTTCCTCATCATCACTTCCAAGCCAATCCTCGATATCTTCCAAATCCTCTTCATCTTCTCCCAAGTCACTAACGTACTCCACGTCGCCAACGCCCTCTTCATCTTCATATTCTCCTTCTTCCTCAAATTCATCCTCTTCGATCCCTTCATCCATATCCTCATCTCTAGTTCCTTCTCCTTGTCTCTCCAGACCTTTCAAAACCTTCTTCCAAATAGATTCGCTGACGTTCAATGGTTGATCACCATAAGCACCACTCCTCAATCTTTCAATCAATTCTCTTTCAATCGCTCTCTCGACCTTAGCAGCTGCCATTGCCTTTCTTTCTCTGGTTTCTTCTCTTCTTCTGACCTTAGGCGCCATTTTTGGAACAAGTTTTTCGCCCAATCTATCTTCCTCTTTGGCCAATCTTCTCATGCGAACACCGACTTGCGTCAATCTTGTGAGTCTCTGCTTGCACTTATGAATGAGGAAGTTAGGCCAGTACTTCAATTTGTCGTCGATTTGTACCAATGCATTGGCATAGTTGGAAGATAGCTTTACGCGCTCCCATAATTTCGATGGCATGTGTGCTCTTTCAATTGTTTTCATGTAAAGGTAAAGTGTACCGGTTTGAGGATTTGCGCGAATAGTAGCATATCGGGAGTTTGCGAGAGGACATGATTGTCGATTACAGAGACCAGTAACATTGTATTCGTTGCGACAAAAAGTTTGATCCTTCGTAGTCCTGATATCATTAGTAGATGGAAAGAGCTATGGATATAATCGACTTACTTGAGCTTGAAAGAACAAAATTGTTGGTTAATAACCTGCCAAACGATTTCGTCTGACGACATGGTGATTGATGATTTTGGGAAGTTGAAGTTATTTCGTGTTCTTGAAGACTAAACTCTCTTTTTCTTTTCCTCACAGCACGAATATTTTCCATCAACTTTTTTTCGGGGCAAGACGAATTCTGCCAGCGAGAGCGGTGAGATGGTCACGTGTGAATGGAGATAAATCCATCATAGCTTTTATCCCTGCTCTGATTGGTCTATGCGTCGACATCACATTGATCGATTGACATCGACTACCTACTACAAAGCTCACCGGGAGTGTCGCCATGATTTTGTTTCTGAATGTATGCTTTTGTTTGGAATAATGTCTAAACTTCGATTTGTTTTTATTGCTGCTGAAATTCTGGAAATGCTTGACATAATTCCTCCTTTGTCTTATCAAAGCGTTGGTCATTGAAACATTTGATATATCATCTACAAAAAGAAGTAGAGAGAAAGACTTGAAAGGATCGTTTATTATACCGAAGTTTTCCCTGCTCGTTTACTTGTTCCAGGTATTCATCACATCACTTCCACTCACTCTCGCATCACACATCACAGGTTCATCTGTCTCTTTCACTGAACAGCAAGAGACTCTCATAATCAACGCTATATATCTATATTTTCACATAGAGATCCATTTCGACAGGAAACAATAATCCATCTCGTGCAACAAACGTAAAAATGGCTTCAACATATCCAACTTATATCTACAAAATCATTCCTTCTGATGCGAAACCTACTTCATCACTTCCAGAAGTCCTTCCAGTCTCTGATCTCGATAAGAGAGACGGATTTGTTCACTGCTCTACCTCGAAGCAATTACTAAGAACTTTGAATGCATTTTTCTCGTATGTTCTTGCACCGTCTTCCTTCGATTTCTACATTCTTTCCAGCGTATCTTGGCATCTTCTCCGTGTCATTGCCCCTAATTAACGCTCAATTAGAAAAGAATCCCACGTCTACATTCTCCGCATCAAGTATGAGCAAGTGGCTCCATACATCAAATGGGAGAATGCAGTGGGAAAGCAACCCGAAGAAATAGGCGGGTGTTGGGATACAGAGGGAAAAGCGGGATTCTTTCCTCACATCTATAATGGGTTGAAGGTTGGAAAAGAGGAAGTCGATGATGTAGGAGAGTGGAGGAAAGGAAACGAAGGTTGGTCCGGTGAGGACTGGTGTTGGGGAGAGGTGGATCGTCCCATCTAATCATGAGATGGGAAGACTACAAGGATGCAAGATAGGCTTGGAGATAAACAGTCTCTTACAAAAGGTGACTTTCCCGACTTATATTGCGTTTGTGATAGTGTGATTTGGGTAAGAAGCGTCGCGAGTTTCGTGATTCAGACAGATCTAATAATCTAAGAATTGGTACATCTAATGTCTTGGGAAACAGTGGAAGGAAAGCCAGGTTAGATCTGGCACTCTGAAGATATCACCGTATTCTTTGATACTCGAATTCAATCACAGGTCGACTTCAAAACATGATCCCATTATCTACCTTCACTTACTTTCTTCAAAAAGTGGCCCGCCGCGACCAAATACAATCTCTTTTTCAAAATGGTCAAACTAGAGAAGGCATATTTGTGAATTCGAGACATGCAATGCCCAGATGAGTTTCTTCATATTTGAAGCTCTCATTGTGGCGAATGCTAGATCAATCTCGTCGTTTCCTATTTCAATTCTGTAAGGAAAACGTGGCAGGCGCAATAGTTACCAAGTCATATTCATCCTAAAACTTCCAGCTAAGTCATCCTGCAACAAAACATCAAGCTTATTACTTCTCTCGAATTTTTCCCATTTGAACTTGACTGCGTTTATTTCTTGGATAGACTAATAGCATATTGTATTAGCACACTAAACATTTATAATCCGAACAAATCGTTCGTTAAAGAGCAATTGGTCGCAACTGTTTGTTGCAAGCCAATAGCTCATCGGAGGGCATCGACATTTCCATTACCACTGACAAGGATCTCATCATGACTGGTGGGAACTATAGATGAGCAAGCAACGCTTGGAGAACTATATAATGATGTTTTCTCGGAAGTACCTCTGTCGAATAATGACGAGATGCCGGATACCCCAAATTCGCCTTCCACAAAAAATCCGCCGAATGAAGATTATAATTTATGTCGATACCGAGCAAGTGAAACGTTTATACCTATCCGTATTGCACAAAGAGTTATATAAACACTCGCAAATCGATGTCACGTATTGCCCCTGTTGATATGGAACAAGAGGAGGTTCTTAAATGCCCTCATTGTGAAGTCCCTTCCATCAGAGAGAAATTACAATTCACGGAGGAAATAATAGAAGCAAGATCCAGAAAAATCTACACACCAATTTCTACGGGAGCGAAACGTTTTTTATGTCCGTATTGCAAGAGGGGATTCAATACTTCTTTCGAAACGATGTGGACCATCGTCCCTAAGATTACCGAGCAAGGAGAACTTCTTACATGTTTGTATTGTCTAAAGTCTTCGCCTGAAAACCACTTTGGAATCTCATGCCGATACGATGTGTGTTTTCCATATTTCGTTCCTCGCTTCAGCTACTTCCAAAATTCTTGACCTATCCACCCAGCCTGATACTCATCACAATCAGCTAATTATCATTATTTCTATAGGTTCCGCGAATTTCCTCACATTTGCCATCCCAGCCGATGAAACCAGTTCCTGGAATAGTAAAGTTCATCCTTCGTACCAAACATCTTCCCCAGACCAGGCCTTCAACTGGTACACCATCACAATTTTTGGAAGGGATCATTCACACACCAGCTTCTCAAATTTCGCCTAATCAACAACCAGCTTTCCAAACTATTCTCGATGAACAATCAGCTGTCCAAAGTACCACCAACCAACACTCAGCATTCCAATTACCCTTTAATCAACAACCAGCTTTCCAATCTAGCCCAAATGACAATCTTTTTCTAACTTGAACTCCCACCAACAAACCAATCTTTCAATCGATCTTCATCAACAACCTATCTCACAACCTACTCTCCAACCAGCTTTCCAAATTACTCTCGATCAACGATCAGGTATCCAAAATATCACTAATCAATACCCGGCTTTTCAAACGGCCTTTGATCAACAACCAGCTTTCCAACCCAGTCTGAACCGGCCATCAATTTCTCAATTGAGTTTCAATCAGCAATCAACTTTCTCACCCACATACCATCAACAACCAGCTTTCCGAATCAATCCCTCTCACCAACCTATCGCACGACCTACCCTCGATCAACAACAGCCAGCTGTTCAGTCTAATTTTAATCAAACAATCAGCTTTTGCTTTAACACTGATCAACAATTGGCTTCCAACCTTTCTTCCCAAAGCGATCCATTTTGAAACGTATAAATGCGAATACTGTGGCTTGCGATTCTACTCTCAGAGGAGTCTGTCATCACATAAAGGCCAAAGCTGCGAATCTAAAGTGTGGTATTTCTGTCCAGAACGAAGTTGCTATTTTCACCGAGAAAATCATGAAAATGGGTTTTTGCACCTAGGAAATTTGCGGAGACATGTGCGAGAGCAACATAACTATTCATACGATTATCTTGTTTTGCCAGATTATAGAGGTGAAGTCAGAGATTCACGTGAACTTCTTGGATGGCGTTTCCTTTGATTGGTAGACTTCTCGGGGACGCGGCATTCATGGATTTGGCGGAGAGGGAGATCTACGATTGCCAATTCAGCGGGAAAATCACTCTTAGATTGTCTTAGGAGTAGAGCGCTACTTTATATACTAGGTATCAGAGAATCACAGCTTCACTTCCTTCTACATTCTTTATAGAATATCAAGATTTCAAATATTCTTTCAGAGTACTTGTTTGGCAAAACTACTCGTAGTTGAATGATTGATTGACTATTAATGCCAATATAACTACGGATTACATCCAAAGTGTTCAAGTTCACAATACCGGTAGATGATTTTCGGTAAACTACATAAATGCATGATACTAACTTGATAAACCTCTGAAAATCTAGCTATTCAATTTCTTGCTCTACCTACCTACTTTCTTCTTCCACTTCTACTTCCACTCCTCTTTCCTCTTCTCTTCTCTTCTCTTCTCTTTTCCCTCTTCTCTTTTCCCTCTTCCCCACTCCCCTTATCTTTTTCCTCTTCCCTTCTCTTTTCCCTCTTCTCTTTCATTTTTTTTCCACATCATAATATATACCAGATCTTTCGAATATATAAATATAAATATAAATGATCTCTCTGGATCATTTACTTATTTATTTACTTATTTATTATTAATTACTTATTTAATTACTTATTTAATTACTTATTTAATTACTTATTTAATTACTTATTTAATTACTTATTTAATACTTATTAATTACTTAGTTACTTACTTAGTTACTTAATTACTTATTTAGTTACTTACTTAATATATTATAGTAAATCAGAGTATATATATAATAAACTAAAATACATACATCTATAGTAAACTAGAATCCATCTCTAGATTACTAAAATACATAGGATACATACATACATACATACATACATACATACATACATACATACATACATACATACATACATACATACATACATACATACATACATACATGAATGTATAGAAGATAGCCAGCCGGTCGGATGATATATATATATATATATGCAAACCTTATTATATATATACTAGATCATGATTTTGAGAGGAGAAGTAAATAAAGTGAATGAAGTGAAGTGGATGAAGTGAATAGGTCAATCGATATTTAAGAATTCTATGAGGTAGGTAGGTATTTCTATGGGAGACTTGGAAGAGAGACTTGGAAGAGAGACTTGGAAGAGAGACTTGGAAGAGAGACTTGGAAGAGAGACTCGCTCACTCACTCGGGAGAAAGGGAAAAGATTCTGCTTCTATCGTACTGCTTGCTGATTAGATATGTATACTATACCTACCTAGGTATGTATATGTATATAATATGAATACGAATACAAATATACACACACCATCTCCACTGACCGAAATGAGTACCTACCTACCTACTCACACATCACATCAGATCAGTTCACATCAATCACATCAGATCACATCATCACATCATCACAAAGAGAAATCATAAAATATAAATTGAATATTCTTTTTCATTTTCTCATTTCCATTTCCCATTCCTCACTCACACACTACTCCCTCACTACACCTTCTCCTCACACCTCCCAATCAAACTCATGAAACTTCTCTTTCCCTCCCTTCATACGTATACGTGTATTTCATCTCCTCATCACATCCATCACGAATCATTACTGAAATCGAATCAAGCTTCTTCTTGTCACCAAGTTCCAATGACAATCTTCCTTCTCCCACACCATCTCATCTGATCTCCTCCCCACGCGTCTTCACCCCCCCCCTCTCAAATTCATTCTCCTCCACAATCCCCTTAAACCCCCCATTCCAATCCAATTCCCAAAGAAAGGAAACCCAAACTGCAAACCAACCAATCAAAAGGAGAGGTAAACAACGGTAGAAAAACAAAGATAACCTAATCCTTAAAACAAAACAATAAGTTTGTTGCCTTAGCATGCCAAAAGAAAAAACTAGCTAAGACTACTCAAACCAGAAATCTTACAAAAGCAGTTGTGAAAACGCAAATGAGACAAAAAAGTCAAGAATTATGCTCCCACTTCCCCCACCCTAACCATGAACCCGCTCGCTTCCATATCAAAAGATGACGTATAAAACAAAAATGGTGCCTGTGACTGTCAATAATGTTGACGAAACTTTTTATCTACTTCTAGCCGAACTCGCACGAGAAGAAACAATGTTTTGCCGAAATAGAATGAAGGCCGCCCGGGCAGAAAGTAATACAAGAAAAGGAAGACCCCTTTCAGTTGTTGTTAAGGCGACGTAAACCGACGGAGTAAACGCGAAGAAGAGAGATCAAAAAATGGTGCTCTTGACTCTCGAATGTGATCGGCCCTTGCCCGAAGCTCCGGAAGCTTTCCTCATTATATGTTCTTCCCGTTTGAGGACCATCTCACACCAACCACCTTTACCACCTGCACGTTCTTTTCCTACACAAGGGTCGAGAACAGACATCCATGCCTCTTTGTCGGCTGGTGAGTCTGCATAGAAATCAATGACTTCGCCATTGTTGAATCGAATACGGAAACCCTCTTCAACAAACATGTAACCTTCCTCATCTTCAGCAAAACCAGACTTGCGACGTTTACCAGATTTGGCAGTAGTCTCTTTTTGTGTTAATGCTCTGCGATCATCAATCAGTCTATTGGCGTTTGCAAGATTGATAGTGACACGAGGTTGCCTGGTCGACTCGTGGTAGGCCGTGAGTTTGCTTCCTGATAATCTGAAGAAACGACGACGCCAGAACTTGAAGTGTGTTAGTAATGATCAGATTACGTGGGTATGTGAAAACTTACAGGACAGTCACCACCTTGTTGACTCAGGTGGCCCTCAAATTGTCGAGCAACCTCGAGTTCGGCTTCCTTCATCTCGCGGATGCAAGCATTCATACTCTTGGGCATGTCATCATCACCTGCGCCCTTTGGTTTTGGCACGAAAAGGAGCTGTAGTTGTAGCTTTCCAATGGTATAGGGAGCGCGCTTTCGAACTGGAGGAGGAACGCTACGTTTGCTCATGACACTCGATGATTGACTGACCTCTTCAGTAGCCCATTCATTGAAAGCAGCCACATCGACATTATAAGGTCTTCCGAAGCAGCGAGTCTCATGATCCTTTAAGCAAACATAAGATCTACCAAAGCTACCATCTGCGGCAGCAAGCGGTGAGAGGAGATCCCACGCAGTTGGCTGTGATGATTTCTTCAATGCTTGAGCGTCTTGTTGTTTTTGTTGTGCAATGCGTTGTTCTTCTTCCTTTTGCCTCATCTCAAGTTCCTTTCTCTTCTTTGGTGAAGCAAATACTCGGCTAAAAGTCGAAGGTTTTGAAGGTTTTGAAGCCTTGATCGGAGAAGTTTGGGCGCGCTTTGGTGGTGGTGGCTTCTCAAGTTTTGCATTCAATGTTAATTGAAACTCAAGCTCATTGGGCACAACAAGTTCGAACTCTTGTCCAATAGGAGCATTTCGTCCCAACTCTAACCATGCTGTAGTGACACAGTGCACACCATTGTCCAAAGTCAGGCTGAACCATGATCGTTCATCTATTCTCATGTTAGTGTGTCAAAAGGTAATGATTGAGTGAAGACCTACTTTTGGGTAA